GGCTTGTGCCCACTTTTCCTCACTTGCTGTAGGCCTTGCTTGTACTGTGATCTATATATATATATACCTGCATGCTTGCTTTGCTAGGTAGAGATCACTGTGATGTTTGTGTTACATATATGCCTCTGCATGTGAACTGGCCTTGTGGCCCTTTGCTTGTGCTCAGTGAGTGTGGTGACGTTGTGATCCACCCTGAGCTTGCTTTGCCTTTCTTGACTGGTCTTGTGACCCCTTGCTCTCCCCCACTTTGCCTATGGGGGTGTGTCAAACATATGTTTATATGTTATAGTTTAGGTAGGCTTTAGTGGGGTACTCACTGTGGGGTACACTCCCTTGTTATTGCAGGTATAAGCAGGGTGTTGTGCTGATTGGGGCGAATGCGTGGCGCAGGAGTGGCAGGCTCTGCCAAGGAGGAGAAGTGGTACGTGCCGGGGGGTGCTTGCAGGGGGGCCGTGATTTGAGTCGTAGGGTGTCGCCGCGCAGTGGCAAGAGTCATGTCGGTTGCCCTTGCTTCCGCCACTCGCCTCCTGCTGCTTCTGACCCTCCCTTGTTGTGCCTCGTCTGTGTGGCTGTCTCTCTCTCCTCATGCGTGTGTGTGCCTCACGGCCTGCGAGACGGACGGGATTGGCAGCGAGTGGACGCCAGTGGCTGCAGCGACTGCAAGATGATGGCGAGCACACAAGAGGTTGTTAGTGAATCAGGTCAAATTTACCACTTCACTTTTCACTTTTCGCCATCTTCCTGCTTTCCGTGTTCCGTTCTCTTCTGTCTACCATTTTCCCACGGTGCTCATGAGTCTTTGCAGCTGTGCTGCCATGGTTTCAACTCTTCTCAACTCCCAGACCCCTCCTTTCCTGTCCTCTCCTCTTCTCTGCAGCAACGCATTGGTGGTCATGACGAGAGCAACAACTGCAGCAGCAGCAGCGGACGACGAGCGACTTGGAGCACGGGCAGCAGCAGGGCGCTGCTTGAAGCAAAGGCTTGGCGCAGCAGCAACGGAGCAACATGGAGCAGCACACAGGCGTGGTGCAGGAGGCAGAGCGGGCGAGTGTCACAGCGGCAGACGGAGGAGCGTGGTACGTGCCATGGGTTGCTTGCAGGGGAGCCGTGAACTGTCATAGGGTGTCGCCGCGCAGAGGCAAGAGTCGTGTCTGTTGCTTGCGGCTCCGCCACTCGCCACCTGCTGCTTCTAACCCTCCTTTATTGCGCTGCTTCTGTGTGTCTCTCTCTCCCATGTGTGTGTGTCTCTCTCTCCCCATGTGTGTGTGTGTGTCTGTATCTCCACATGTGTGTGTCTCTCTCTCCCCGTGTGTGTGTGTGTGTGTGTCGCTCTATCTCCCCATGTGCGTGTGTCTCTCTCTCCCCATGTGTTTGTGTCCCTCTCTCCCCGTATGTGTGTGTGTGTGTGTCTCGTGGCCTGCAAGACGTGGACGTGGACACCTCAAGTGAAGGCGTGGCGCAAAACTGGGAGAGCGGTGGACGGATCATGGTACGTGCCAGGGGGTGCTTGCAGGGGGGCCGTGAAGTGAGTCGTAGGGCGTCGCCGCGCAGAGGCAAGAGTCATGTCTGTTGCCCTTGCTTTTGCCACTCGCCTCCTGCTGCTTCTGACCCTCCCTTGTTGTGCCTCGTCTGTGTGGCTGTCTCTCTCTCCCCATGCGTGTCTGTGCCTCACGGCCTGTGAGACAGACGGGAATGGCAGAGAGTGGACATGGACTGTGCATGTGTGTGGGGGGGAAGGGGGGAAGGGGGATGGGGGTGTGCATGTGTGTGTGTGCGTGTGTGCATGCCTCTGAGTGTGCCTCTCAGCCTGCAAGCTCCGGAGTGGTGGATTGCTCGTGGTGTAGCAGTGGGAGAGCAACGGACGGAGCGTGGTACGTGCCAGGGGGTGCTTGCAGGGGGGCCGTGAAGTGAGTCGCCGCGCAGAGGCAATAGTCGTGTCTCTTGTTCTTGTTTATGCCGCTCGCCTCCTCTCCTGTTGCTCCTAACCCTCCATTGATGCGCCGCTTCTGTGTGTGTGTGTTCTCTCCCCATGATTGTGAGGAAGGGGGAGGGAAGGGGTGGAAAGGAGGGGTGATTAAGCAGTATACCGCTTCTCTCTTCACCATCTTCCTTCTTCCCTTGTACCGTTCTGTCTTGCCTACCATTTTCCGCGGAGCCTTTGAGTCTTTGCAGCTGTGCTGCCATGTTTTCATGCCTCTCTTGTCAGCTCCCAACCCCCTCCTCGCCTGTGCTCTCCTCTTCTCTGCAGCCACGCACTGGTGGTCGCCACGAGAGCAACGGCAGCAGCAGCAGCAACCCATCAACCTGGAAACGGGCAGCAGCAGGCCGCTGCGTGGGCCCAAGTAAAAGCACGGCGCAGCAGCGGCAGAGCGGCGGCCGGAGGTGGTACGTGCGAGGGGATGCTTGCAGGGGGGCAGTGAAGTGAGTCGTAGGGCGTCGCCGCGCAGAGGCAACAGTCGTGTCTGTTGCCCTTGCCTTCTCCACTCGCCTCCTGCTGCTTCTAAACCTCCCTGGTTGCGCCGCTTCTGTGTGGCTGTCTCCCTCCCCATGCGTGTGTGGCTGTGTCTCTTCCCATGCATGTGCGTGCGTGCGTGTGTGAGTGTGGGTGCGTGCGTGTGTGTGCGTGCATGCTGTGCGTGCATGCGTGTCTGTGTGTGTGTGCATGTGAGTGTTTGTGATTGTGTGTGGCAGATTGTTCTTTGAAAGGCTGCTTTCACAGTACAAGAGGTAATGGTGAGTGAATGTGAAGCAGCAATGAAGTTTGTAGAACTATACTTTTGCCGTTTTCATACGTTTGTAGAACTATATGTCTTTGCTACTGTACTGTGTTGCCAGATTCGCATGCCTCTTTGCTTTGCTCTTGATCCCCTTATTTCCTGCCCTTTCCTCGTCTCTGCTCTCCTCTATTCCATCACCAGAAGGGAACAAAATCCTATTCAGCATCATCAGTATGGACAGCAGCGGTGGCAGCGGTAATTGCAGCATCAATGCCCGCTGCAGTGGTTGGTTGCAGCACTGGAGGGGGTGAGTACATCTTACCCTCATGCTTACGAGTTCCTTCCGAGTGTTGGTTCTTCAACATTCATTACGTTGTTTTCTAGGCTTTTACGGCTTGCTCGTCTCCCTTAATCCTTCTCTTTGTGTTGCTCGTCCTCCCTCTTTCTGTGTCCCATCTCCTTGAATATGGTGCCCTTGCCTTTCGCACCTCTCCATCCCATTCCTGTCTCTGGCAACACCTGGGGGGGGAGCAGCGGTAGCAACAGCAGTGCTGCGTATTCTATTTGGTAGGTGATCTAGTCAACTGAAAAGTCACCTCTGTACGTTCATCGGGCGGCTCGTGCTTCTCCCCATCACCCTCTTGAGTCCATCATCTACCTTTCCCTCGCCACTCACTCACCTCCCTCACTTTCCTTGACCTCCCCTCCTGCTTGTTCAGGCGCCTCAATCTTGACCCCTCTTCCCCCCCTGCCGTGACTCGTGTGTGGTGGGAGTGCAGTGCAAGAGGGGGGACCTGATAGACAAAATTCAGGCGCAAGTGGGTGTGTGCAGTGCATGCTGAAATGCCGTTAACTTCGTCCCTCTCCCCCACATCTCTTGCGTGTGTGGTGTGGTGGGAGTGCAGTGCAAGAGGGAGGACCTGATAGACAAGATTCAGGCGCAAGTGGGCGAGGGCTGCAACATTTACGGCGTTCTCGAGGTGAGGCCACAATTCACAAGTATTTGGCGATGTGCTGGCTCCCTTTATCTCCATGTTTGGTTGCTATGTCGTTGGCAGTGCACAAGTGGCTCTACTGTGGTGGCGTACAGGCGAGGTAGGACACGTGGGGTGCCATGCGGCATGTGATGAACCACCAACAGCACAAGATGGGCCGCTGCTGTCCTCAGCTGTGCTAAGCTTCGATTTCAATTGCTTAGGTATGCTTAGCTTTTCTTATATTTGCTGTGGTTACTGTTGCGCTGTGCTGTGGTGGGATGGGGCTCCATGTTGTAGAGGTGGGTGGGGCGGGGTGGGCAGGCAGCCTGAGAGGCACCTGGGCACAAGAACCCAAGCAGGTCAGAGAGTCCACCTGTGGGTGCTGTGCGTGGCATCATGCCTTGCTTCATGGTGTGCCTTGCTTGGCATGAGTGAGAGTGGGACGCAGCTGGCATGAGAGGTAAGCGCACACTGACATTGTGCAACAGACGGTGGGTGAGTCAGATAAAAAACCCTCACAAGCAAGTGACAGTGGTGAGGCACGTACACGCTGCACCTACAGCCGTACAGTAACGAGCAGCTGGTGAGGAGACAGAGAACAGGGGGTGACATGCGCACCATGGCAGGGACTGACAGAAAACATTGAGTGTCCATATTTTATACAAGATACCCAATGCAGCAGCGGCCAGAGTAAGAGCAGGAATGCAAACATACCACATGCTGCAGCTGTGACAAGAGCAGCTTCAGTAGGCAAGGCATTCATGCTACGTACTAGGTACAACAAGATCAAAGATGCTACCCAATGTTTCACCTGCAACTACAGATGCCATACTGTACCCACCAGCCAACATTTCCCAACCCAACCTACCAGCTAACCAGCCAAGCAACCAGGCATGCAGCTCGGCAGTCAAACAACCTGGCAGCCTAACAACAAGCAGACAGGTTTCCATGGCAGGAACACTAGATCTGTTAGCATTACAATCTTAGCGTACCTTACATTGTAACAACATACATACCGATACCCTAGGGCTCTTTCTGAATGCACCCACGCATAATGGGCAAGGACCTGACCACTGAAACCAAGAGTTCTTTATTGTTGACACGTAATTAAAGTGTACACGGAGCATGCAAGCAACTTAGCTTCACAGTTACCCCAGCAACTGGCTTCAGAGAAAGCCGTGCTAGAGACTGCCGCAGGACCATCGATATGTACGTATTATAACTTTGTAGCGATTTGTATAGTGTACATCATATCACAAGGTAAACCAATCTCAGGAAACTACGGAAATGAATTGAGTGCACTGAGCTATGCGACCTTGAGGAAAGTGTAGGCGAAGGCGGGGTTAGAGTCAAACACCTTTCCTTGCTCGCTCCCTGCCCTGACGCAGGCATTGCTCTGCCAAATGTCGCACCAACCTGCAGAATCGACGCGGCAGACATTGACACAGAGAGAGGTGAGTGGGCGGGGAGAGGAAAGCGAAGTGATACGGCGGATTGAGTGAGACATCAATTAAGATTAGCGAATCTGGAGAGAAACGTACCGTATTCCTGGTCGCTAGAGTCAGCGGACCATGTCCAGAAGCCGGAGCCGTCAACCTTCTCGCAGCAGTCCCTAGGAGTCATGCCGGCGTAGCCAGCAGTACGGGTGAGGTCACCGCGAAGGTTCGTCTCGATGATCTGGCCGAACTGCACGGAGGGATGCTCCGCAAGATCCGGAGCAGTGGCGGCGTCGGGACATGTGCTGATGGCCTCGAAGGTTGGGCAGGGATACTGGCCGGGAGGGAGACGGTCCGCCGCCAAGGCCAGAGGCAAGGCGACGAGGAGGATAGCGAGGAGCGTGGCTACACGAGCCATGGCTAAGACGAAGCTTTGCGTTTCCGGGAGATGCAAGCACGTGAGCGAGAAAACTTCACTAGGGTTTGCAGTGTGGGTGTGAGTTGTGAAAGAGAAGAGCAGATGCTTACACAACAATGCTTCTTGCAAAAGGTTTTGTCAAAAGAGGACGAGCAGAGGGGCACAGTGGGGTTGCCTGTTTGGTTGGTGAAACCTGGACGTCGCTTGTTACGTATTTGCGAAGAAGTGTACAGCACCCGAATAGACGGGCAGAGGGGGAGGGACTGCGAAAGGAGGGGCAAACGAGGTTTCTGTGTCTGTCTGGAGGGAAAGTGAGGGGGGAAGATGTTGACCGGCGGTTTCGTCCTGACTCGAATAACGACAAGATTGGTGAGTTTCCCAGATGCGTTCAACAGAAAACGTTCACACCAAGCGTTTACCGAGGGCCTGGGAAGAGACCTGCTGATGACCAAATGTCAGGCGAACGCCGTGTACACGCGAAGGTTCTCGCCTCTGTTCCAGCAAACCTGCGGTACGATGGCCTCCGTTTTTTCGAAGACGGCACGTGAGAAAGAATCGTGTACAGTAGGAAGGGCTTGATGTATTTTAGTTGCTACAGAAATTCACTCTCCTGAAAACGATTCTGTTTTTGAGGAGGTTACACAATAAAGGGTAAACAATTGTCTCATGCCAATGAATTTTTTAACGATACCTATTACAGGAAGTGGTTCACTACAGAGCTGATCATCACTCTATGATTCAGATACCTACAAACATCATGATCCAAAGAACCAACTGTATATATCAACGCATTACCGGTCGTCCCTGCAAACATGAAGTGGGCAGAGAAATACATGTGAGTGGTCATAATAAGGCACATGCAAGAAAGAGCGGGACTTCTGAGTTGTCCGTCCCCACTTGCTATCATGCTGTGAATTAGGTTTGTATAAACCAATAGCACCTCCTTGTTTACCTTAAATTGCCACTACCAAGCTTGCATTGTGTGCAACAGTCTCCTGCTTGGGCACTGCATGGTCGGGGAAAGGTTGCAGCAAGCCCTGATCTGCTGAAATGCTGTCACTGCCAACTGGTCTCTTCTTCTTGCCAACTTTCTTCTCCTTCATACCACCAACGCCGTATCCAACACTCACATCCCCCTTGTCTCCGCTGCCATCACTCTTCTTTGTGCCCAGAGGTGCCTTTTTCCCTTTCTTCACCGTGGCCCCATTCTTCGCTACCCGCTTCACTTCCCCACCATCTCCAGCATCATCGCCAGCACTGTCACTAGCCTTCTTAACCACCTTCTTCTTCCGCTTCTCAACCGCTTTACCATTAGCATCCGCCCCCACCCGCTCGTTCATTGCCGCACCAACCCCACCAGCTCCTCCTTCAGTCCCTGCCTCATCACCACATGCCTTACCCACTTCCAGCACACTCTGGCCTTTCTGCTTGCCCTTCCCATTCCCCATCCCCTTGCCCTTCACCTTTTTCACACCATTCTCCTTGTCACTGTGCTCATAAGCATCGCCGTTTTCCGTCATCCCACCACCACTACCACCACTGCTCTTCTTCCCCTTCACCGTTTCCCCACCAGCTGCCTCCTCCCCTGCACTCGCACCCGTACCATTCTTCTTCTTCACTCGGCCATTGCCTGTGCTCACTTTCTTCTTGACCTTGCCACTGTTCTCTCCACCAACCGCCTCCTTCCTCACCTTCTTCTCGCTGTCACCCTCTTGCACCGCCCCTGCATCCGTCACTTCCCACCGTGCTCGCCCCTCCCCAGGCTCCTTCCTTGCGCCTGTTCCCTTCTTGCCGTCCCCCTCTCCATCAGCAGAAGCAACAGCGGCAGCACCAGCAGTAGCACCAGCAGCTTCAGCGGCACTAGCACTTCCGGATCGGACCTCCCAAGCACTGCTTTTGATGCCCTCACTGCCTGAGTACCCATCCATCAGCCTCTGCTGCAGCCACCGCTCCACCCCCACCATTTTCTCCTGCCTCTGCACATCTTCACCCCCATGCCCGGACACTGACACGCTCCCCCTGCGCTCCCGAGCCCAGGCGCGCACCGCCGCTGCCACATCATCAGCCACGTCCTCCCCGCTCCCCTTTCCGCCTTTCCCCGGGGACCTCCCCACGCCAGCAGCTGCCGCTGCTGCGGCTGCCGCTCCCCTCCCCACCACGCGCGCTGACCCCTGCCTCCGCCCGCCCGAGTGGTTCACAGGCGGAGCAGCGGAAGGGGACGTTGGGGTAGCCTGGGGTTCGGGATGCACTCTGTCAGGCCGATCAGGCAGATCAGACCGGCCCTTGCCCTTGCTTGTGCTCTTCCCCACGCCATTGGTCCTCGCCTTGCGCTCCTGAGCGTTCATCATCTGCCTGATCTGCATCGGCGTCGCGTCTCCTGGTGTGGCAGACCACGTGGCACGCCCCTGACGGTCGGATTTACGGCGCGAGTCCTCTGCATCGTCGGATGTGTAGCCCATGCCTCTGGTACTAGTGGCAGAATCAGCCTCTTGCTTTCTCATGCTGTTCCTTCCTCTAGTGGTAAATCCATCCTCTGCTTCTTCCGCAGACACCCCCCTGCTCGTTCCATCCACCCTCTCCGCGCTCATTCCGCCAAGCACCAAGAAACTGCCCCCCGCGTGCCCTCCCCCGATGCTTGCCCACCGCTTCCGCCGAGACTGCCCCCCTCCGCCTGCACCCTCACTCGCGGCGGGGCTGGCGGGGACGGAGGAACCGCCGTACGAGTCCCACGGCGCGGGGACGAAGGTCCCGGAATGAGGGGACGCGGAGGCGGAGGCGGAAGTAGAGCCTTGCGCCGTACGGGGAAGCCCATACTGCGGAGTGGATGGGGCAGTGGAGGCACTGAGGGGAGCGCGACCTGCGGTAACCACCGCGGAAAAACCGGTAGCAGCAGTCGCGGTGATTGAGTGGAACAGTGCGCGCGGCGTGACGTCGGTGGCTAACGGGGAAGGCGCAGGGTTGAAAGCGGAGGGCGTGTTGATTGGGTGGAGTGTTCTGGTGGGGGTGACGAGGTTGGGGGTCCCACTCGCACTCGTAGCACCGGCGCCTGTGGCAGTCCCGGTTGTGCCGCTAGTGCCGTTAGTTCCGCTAGTCCAACTAGTACCTTCAGTGCGGCTGGTGCCGCTAGTCCCAGTCGTGCCGCTCGTCCCGCTTGCCCCGCTACTGGAACTCGCGCCGCTGGTACCGTGGGTTGCGGCCAGCGCGGAAGGCTTACCGCTCGTCCAGGCAGACGCGCGGCCCGCCGCTTCGTGCTTCGCGTGGCTTGCCAAGGCATTGGCAGCAGCGGCTTTGGCGGCGGCTGCGGGGGAGTGAGAGGAGGCGGAAGCGGAGGGGGAATTGGCGGAGAAAGAAGCGCTCCCCATGAAGGCGCGCTTGAGCAAGCTCACGGACGCGCTCAGCGTGCGCAGAAGCCGCCCGCCCTTCTTCTCCGCTGACTGGGGAGTCGTCGGCGCTGCCGTTCCCGGCTCCGCCCCCTGCTGCGCTGCGCCTGCCGCCTGTCCACCCCCTCCCGCTGCATTCTGCTTCCGCAAGACCGTCTCTTCCGTGGCTCTCCGCTCGTCGTGGACTCTGGATCCCCGCACAGGCACAGCAGCTGTTGCCGGTGCTGTCAGCAGCGGAGACTCATCCATGTGCAGACTCCCTTCCCGCCTCTTCTCGTCTTGTGCCGTCGAATGCCGAAAGCCATGCGCATCCTCTCCGAAATTGCTCTGCTGCTGCTGCTCCTTGCGTTTCTCTTCGAGATTCCGCTCCCGATCCTTCTCTACCTTATCGTCCACTTGTGGCATCTCCTCCTTGGTCTCTTCCTCCGCCACGATTCGCTTCTTTCTCGTGTCCCTCGGCGGCGTCTTGAGGACCCCCGTCTCGTGGTCCACAATCTCAACCACAACTGGTGGCGCCACTTCCGCCGCTATCGCGTTAATCCTTATCACGGACTCGTTCTGCGGCTGCACCCCAATGGCGGCTTCCGACTCGGCGGCCATACCAGCGCAGCGAAACGCTGCGAGCTCCTCCTCGGAAAACAGCGCCTCGTCGTCGAGTTTCAGCGTCTGCCGGATTTCCACCGGCCGCTGCCGCTCGTTCGGTTGCCGCTGCTTCTGCTGCCGTCCGCTCTCGTGCCGGCCGTCGGACCTGCCGGCGGAGACCCCCGAGCCGCGGCTGCTGACGGCCGGGGCGGTAGTGGAGGGATGCTCGCCGCGAATGGTGGAGGTACTGGGACGAGACACCGCAGACGTGTCAAGCGAACGCGACATGTTCGAATTGGCAGATGAACTGCTTATGGTACGAGGGACAGTGCCGCCATGAGTTGTACCGCTAATCCTACGAGCCGCGAGAGGCCCAGAGTTAGAAGAAGATAACCCCAGGGAGTTGCGACGAGTGTCGGTGTACGAGCGCGAGGCGTGATGCGTGAACGACCCGGCGACGTTATCGGAGGAGAGGGAGCGGGTGAGCGTGGGGCCTGAGTTCATTCGCGACACGCCGGTACCCATCATGGTGGACCGCGCCGCCCGTAGCTCCCGCGCGCGCTCGATCTGTTCTCTCCGACGGAGTGCATACTCGGTCGGGTCGAACGTGCGGGCAGCGGTCGACGCGGAGGAGTCGACATGAGATGCCCGCATGGCGGATGAATTGAGAATGCCTGCGTTGAGTCGATATGAGATGCCGTAATAACACCAAGTTGAGACGCTGCTTCGCTTTCCGGGATGAATCTGAGAGGAAGGGCACTACATAATTCTTGCTTGTCGGCTGAAGAATGCACGGGCTGAGGAAAACAAAGATCAACTCGTCCAAGGCAATGCTGGTTTAGGAAGTCCCCGCAACTGGGTGGCTTCAGTGAGAGATTGGAGGGTGCCGAAACGCCAATCACCGAGCAGAACAGACCATTGTTTCTTGACATTCACAGCACCCCACCCAATCTGACTCTTGCCTTCAGATGCGGCGCGGTCCGGAGCGCATTCTCGATCCACTTGAATTTACTCTGGGTTGCAAAGCCGACAGCAAGAGACAAGCAGGCGAAAGCCCTCCCATGAGCGAGATTCGTGCATGCGGGGGAGTCGATAATTCCGTTGGCGAAAAGTTTGCGAGGTACGGCTTCGACACTGATCCGTTTGGGGCTTGTGCCATTGGCGCGGAAAATTTGGTGCAATTTCTGTACCTCCTACAAGGAAGGTGCGATGTTGCGACCATAGGGGATACGTGTTCTCACATTGCATACTTGTTAGGTACCTATGTGCAACATGCACACAAACCAAGAAAAAAGTCGTCTGATTTAATGCTGTACGTATTGAAAAAATATAATACCAAGAAATTATTAATTATGTGCGACCTCCGTAACACCTTTCTTTCAACATATAACTCCACACTGAAAAAGAAAGAGATTCTCAAATAGACACGTCAATATGGAGGACATATATTACTCCATGTCATACGATATTAGTCTTAAGAAATTTCATGTGCCAAATGTTTTGAATAGATGCACCACATTTGCAAAGGCTTTTATTGTTAGTATTTACATTAGAATTAACACTCTAGCTATAATGAAGACGTGTTACAAGGTGGATGAAAGTGCCGCCTCTTTCCACATCCGACAACCCTGATCAACTTATATCCCCTTGGTGTTGCTTGCGGCCTCCTTACTCTTTGAGCCACAATCAAAGTATTCCGTCGGGATTCGCAATCTGCCAGTGTGTAGAAGACAAGGAGGCGGATAAACGCTTCGTGGCTCTGATTAAATAACAATGTCTATCTTTGCGAAAATAAAGGCTGTCGATTTCTACAGGTAGGTTGGCATTGTACTTCGTAAGCCCATTTAGAATCCGACCGTACTTTCCGATTTCCTTGCTGTTGCCCATATAGCCCTAATTCACTCCGTCTCGAACATGACCCCCCATACCTTCGCCGTTTGCCACATATTCTCACAACTATTCCCACCCACATTTTCCACCTCCTCAACCCTGATCTCAAGCCTTCGTTATTCCTCGCCTCAACCGCCATTGCCTAATTTCGAGTCACCACCGTCGTGATCCATCGTCTGATCTTTCATCCAATCCTCCATCCGATCCGTCTCCGGAATGGCAGGCGAATACCTCGCGACCTGACAGAGGCATCGCTATCCGGGGCTACCCTATCGCTGGTGGCCGCCACATGGATCATCGTGCTCGTCTGGCTCGTAATCCAGCCTCCCCTTTCCTTCCCCAACCCCTCCCCACTCTGAAAACTCTCCTCTAAGACGTTTCAAAACTCCACATGGATCATCATGCTCGTCTGTCTCGTAATCCACCTCCCCTTTTCTTTCTCAACCTCTCCCCACTCTGCAAACTCTCCTCATTCTCCCCCGCGTGCCATTTCTCGCTCATTCTCTCCCCCCTCGGTCCTCTTGTGTCCTTTCCGCCTGGTCCGTCACCTCTGCTTCATATTCCAACAACCCTGATCCTAGGCTCGGCATTCCCGCCTCCCTCCGCTCCTCCAACCCTCCCCTCCGTTCTTTACCATCCCCGCTCCCCTCCCGCCTCCCCCTTCGTCATCCCTGTCTTCCCTCCTCAAACCTGCCTCATACTATCTCCGTCGCTCTGTGTGCGGCATGAATGTCCCCCCCTGGCCTGGGCGGCATCAGGAGCTGCGGGTGTTTCTGACGGTGACAACGAGCACCACGGTCATCGTGGATCAGAGCCCCAACACCGACCTGCTGCGTATTAACTTCAACTTCAGGCAAGCAAGCAAGCAACCAAGTACAGCGGCCCAGCCAGCCTCTTCACCTTTGACGCGCCTCAAAGGTCGTTTCTTTTCATTGGACTGCCTTGTGAACCCGCTTCGCGTGTCCTGATTTGAGCAGCCCTAAAGCAGCCCGTTTTTGCAGTTTCTGTTGAAGCGTTGAGCCACGCCTGGTCCGACTTTTGCGATAGAAAACGAGCAGAAATCTCTGTGCCTGCAGTGCCGTGAAACAATGTGTGCAGCCTATTCAGCAGCACTCTAGCAGCGAGCTTACATGTGTTTTGGAAACCCCCTTCTCTCTACCTGGCCCCCACGGATCTTCCGTTCTCGTCTGTCTGCAGCTTCCCAGCGCTTTCCTGCGAGTTTGCATCAGTTGACATTACAGACGTCATTGGCACGGTATGCTCGTATCTCAACTGCTGCTGCACCTTGCACTCCAAACAGCGCACCAGGGAAGGCACTGATGCATACTCCGTTTCCTACCCATCTCAACGTTGCCAGAACCAGAACAGTTAACTTTCCACACATGTCAGAAACCTCCATGAGCCACTACCATATATTATACAAGAAACTATATGTGACGCCACTGCTTCACTTAAACCATGCCATCAAAATCTCCAAGCATACTGGGTGGGGGGGAATTTGTTTGTTTGTCAGTTTGACGACGAAATCACTGATTGCAAAACCTCAGAAAAACGTCGAATCACGCCTCAACCCTTTGACTGATAGCAATCCTCTTTTGCTGCACCATTTGACTGCGTACCACCCTACCTTCCTTCCATCCCAATCCCCACCCACCCCCCCTCTTCCCCCCCACCTGCCTCTGCTTCGCCCTCAGGCGCGGTACAATCTGTCGCGCACCCTGCGCAAGCATCCCATCGACTCGTCTCTACGCATCGTGGGGCCACAGCACCACTCGGACCCCATTCCCGAGCTGCTGCGCGGGGGCAATGAGGGCGGCGAGGAGGAGGAGGCGCAGAGGCAGTTGGCGGAGGAGGGCATGGCGAGTGGCGGGGAGGCGGGGGAGAAGCAGTATGTGGGGTCGCTGGTGCTCGATACAAGGACGTTTGAGGCTGCTACCAGACAGTGCGTCGTTGTTCCTATCCTACCCCCCTGCTCCCTGCCATGCCGTGCCCTGCTCCCTGCCGTGCCCTGCTCCCTGCCGTGCCCTGCTCCCTGCCCTGCTGCTTGCCTGTTTCTTGCCGTGCTCCGCTTTACCTGCGCTTTCCGCATCAGGTCATTGCTGTGATTGCACCATTGTGATCAAGATGTACACTCAGTGCACTTCACGCCCTTCCCTGTGCTCGTCTGTACTCACTGGTTACTCACTGTTTACCTTCCGTTCCTCTCACTCCCCCCCGGTGCACCTCTCTCCCTATTTCTCTCACTGCAGGTACGGCATCCTCATTGTGAACTTCTTTGCGCCGTGGTGCCACTGGTGTCAACTCCTGGTACGCGTAACGCGCCCACGCACCCACCCACCCATCCACGCACCCACCCGCCCATCCACGCACCCACCCGCCCATCCACGCACCCACCCGCCCATCCACGCACCCACCCACCTACCCAGCCCTGCTGTGAATGCCCATCTTCTCTTGACAGTGCATCTCCTGGAGCCATGCCTTCTCTGACTTCTTCTGCCCTCTGCCTGCCTTGGCCCATTGCAGGAACCAGCATGGGAGCAAGCAGCAACAGTCCTGAGCCAAAAGTAAATCGGACTTTGCCCCTCCTCCCCTCCTCCTCGACTCTTTCTTTGTCTCCTGCAGTTTACCACCTCTAGTCTACCCTCTACCCTTTTCCCTCGTTTTCCTCCTCCCCACCCTGCACACTTCCCTCTGTCTGTCACCTTGAGCTCTCTGCACTGCTACGTTCTCACACTTCTCTTTCTCAGCAAGCCCTTACTCATTCTTACTCGCACCCCGTTTCCCCATTCCTTCTCATCCCCACGCCACGTGCCCCTTCCACTCTCCTCGCCATCCCCCACCCACTCCCCCCCCTCCCCATCCACTGCACTCCTCATATTCCCGACACCTTCCCCTCGTCCCTTGCCTCTCCCTCGCCCGTCTCCCCTCCTCTCACCCACCAGGTATCACCCGGATCATGATGGGCGCATTCGCCTGGCCAAGGTGGACTGCACTCTCGACTCCAACCTCTGCTTCAGGTGGGCCGCTGGGTGGGTGGGTGGAGAGAGCGATGTGCCATTTGGGTGGGCGTGCGGTTGTGTTGTGTGCGGTTTTGTTATGTTGTGGTGAGCTGTTTCAGGCCCAACTCTGGCCAAGGTGGACTGCACTCTCGATTCCAACCTCTGCTTCAGGTGGGCCCGTGGGTGGGTGGGTGGCGAGAGGCGTGCCAGGTGGGTGGGCGTGCGGTTGTGTTGTGTTGTTGTGAGCTGTTTCAGGCCCAACTCTGGTCTGGGTAAGGTGGGCTGCACTCTAAATTCCAACCTCTGCTTCGGGTGGGTTGGTGGTGGGTCAGTGGTGTGAGTGAGAGAGATGTTGTTGAGTTACGACGCCTCAATTTCCTGTTTGTGTGTGTGTGTGTATGTGTGTGTGTGTGTGTTTTCTTTTTCTTGTATTTATTAACATGTACTGCAGACTTATGTATACATACAATACAAGTGTGGTGCATGTACACTTGACTGTGTTTGTGTGGCGTGGAATGTCGTGTTAGAGCACAGCAATATGAACCCGCACAGTCTGCAGTTTTCTTACCACTTGAAGCTTCCAGGCTCCACTCTTGATTAACCCGTCTCTCCACTCCATCCATCCATACATCCATGCATGCATGCAGCCATCATGTGCAGGGGTACCCCTCCATCCGAGTCTTCCGCAAGGGGGACGATTCGGTCATGTGAGTCGTCTCATTCTCATCACACACAATTCAACCATCTTGCTCTTACTCGTGACGTATGTGCCGGGGGGACAAAGCGACACGCCATGGCATCACACAGCGATGCATGCTGTAGCATAGTATGGTATGGAACAAAACGCGACAATCGGAGCTGATACCATGGATGGATCGGGATGGTATAGGACGAGATGGGATGTCGTATTTCGAAGTACAATCAAGGTTTTTATGGTGCGTTGGTCGTGCCTTCTGATCCCGTCCGGTCGTGTAACGTGGCTTGTTCGGTTGGGCTGCTGGGGGGGTTGCATCGCATGTGTGGTATGGCTTCTAGCAGGATGGAGCATGGGCAGCACGAGCATGAGTCGTACTATGGTGAACGCGACACCCTCTCCCTCATTGCTGTGAGTCACCTCACATCACACCCCACACCCCGCACCCACACCTGCACATACCCGGCACTCGGCCCGCACACAGCCCCAAAACGGCCGACACACTGGCACATAGTGAGTCACGCCACACACAGCCTCTGCATTCGTACTGCTCTGTCCTCCATCCTCTCATCGCCACCATCACCCCCACCCCCCTCTTACCTCCCCCATCCTTGCTATCCCTCATCTCCCCAAATCCCCATCATCTCCCTTTTTCACCAACTCCCTCCTCTGTTTCCACTCTCCCGCGCCTCCCATTTCTCCCCTCTCCCCCTCCCTCTCACCCCTCTTCGCCCCTGCAGTTCTCCGAGTCTCTAGTAGCGGCCGCGCAAGCGCGAGCAGCAGCAGCGGCAGCAGCAGCAGCAGCAGGAGGAGGGGCGGCGCTACCTGGCGGCGATCCTGCAGCGGAAGCATCTGATCCGAACCGCCGCCGTGCCCCACAGGCTGCAGGCTGCCAGATAGAGGGCTTCGTCCTCGTGAAGAAGGTGAGGGAGCTGGTTGTGAGACGCCTCAAAAAGTACTAGGACAACGTGTGATGCGTCTCAGACTCGGAGGCGGATCTGGAGGCGCCGAAAGAATCGGTCCACAGGCTTCCGGCTGGCTGCCAGATAGTGGGTTTCGTGCTCGTGAAGAAGGTGAGGGATTTGGGAGTGAACCAATGTTTGAATTGAATTTGAAAATGAGGGATTCATGGCTCGTGAAGAAGGTGAGAAAATTGTGAAACCTTCTATTGCGTTAATGTTTGCTCCTTTGCTCGTACAAGTACAAGCCCTCTTTGAAGAAGGAAAGAAGCAGTGCGCTTATCTCCCTGGACAAGCGCCTATCTCCCTGCTTCACCTGGATCAAATCACAAAAGTACATCCCCCCCTCGCTCTTGTCTCCCTTTCTTTGAACGTTCTCCTCTCACCCTCACACACTACCCACCAGGTGCCGGGCAACCTGATGGTGCACGCCAATTCCCCGTCGCACTCCTTTGACGCGGCGGCCATGAACCTCTCGCACGTGGTGCACCACCTGTCGTTCGGCCGCCAGCTGTCGGAGCGCAAGCGGCAGCACCTGGAGCGCCTGCAGCCCATGCTGCACCTCAACGACGGGCGTCTCAACAACCGCTCCTTCACCTCGCAGCACGAACGAGTCACTGTCAGTCATCGTTCTGAAAACCCTTCCTACCCATCATAACCTTCCTGCCTGCCTCCAGCTCTGCTGTCTTTCCTGGTGTCCCTTGCGTTCCTGCTCCTCAGTTTCCAAAATCTCTGAACCCCACACCCCTCCCACCCTCCGCCTATCAATGACGCCCGCCTCAACAACTCCTCCTTCTCATCACATCTGAGTCACTGTCTGTCAGCCATCGACCTCTCCCCTCCCTCTAACCCCCATGTCCGAATCCCCCCTCCTCTCCCTCTCCCCCCCTCTCCCCCTCTCTCGCACCCCATCAGCACGAGCACTTTCTGCAGCTGGTGCTGACAGAAGTGAGGCACCGTCCCTGCTTTCCATCTCCCCCTCCTGGAAACGCTCCCGCACCCCCCTCTCCCCCCCTCTCCCCCCCTCTCACCCCCCATCAGCACGAGCACTTTCTGCAGCTGGTGCTGACGGAAGTGAGGCGGCCGTCGTTCCTGGCGACTGCAACGCTGCCAGCCAGCACGAGAAGCACGAGGCGCGAGTGGAGCAAGCATGCGCTGCACGCCTTTGACTTCACCGTGCACAGCCACACGCTTGAACGCCCCGATGACCTGCCTGCTGCTCGCTTCCACTACCTTCTCTCACCCATGCAGGTGTGTGTGGGAGGAGGGGGTGGGAGTGGGGAATGGGGGAGGAGAGGGAACGGAGTTTTGTGCGTTTGTGCATGCGCGCACGCACAGACACATGCACATGTTTGTGTGCGTTTGTGTGCGTGTGTATCCTTACAAACCTCGGGTCTTGCATGTGTGCAAGCATTTGACTACCCCTTCGCGTTGGCGCACTTAACTTGTGGTCCTCTCACGCATCATAACCATCTCAAAATTATCTTTATGGCATACCATGTGAGCTTCAATCCCTCTTATAGACGCTTCAAGCACAAAGCTGTTTCATGCATGAGACCAAGCCAGCCAGTGTGCGTGTGTGATGCTGCTGGATGCAATCCCACTCTCGTGTGCCTTCCTTGTGCAATCCTGGTCCCCAGGTTGTTCTCACTGAGACCAGACCTTCCCTTGCGGCCTTCCTCACCAATCTTTGCGCCATCATTGGAGGAGTCTTCACGGTCAGTTTACATCTTGCACTTCACCCACCCCCCTACCCCCTCTTTCTTTTCAAACGGTCCTTTAAGGTACTGGCATGCACACAATGCACGCATACATTTTTACACAAACACGCACACATGCACGTCCATTTATGCTGCGCACTCATTAGGGTGCATGTGTGTACACTTGCATGTGGCCAAATGGGTATGACTGGTAGTAGTCACTTGCACCCAAAACCATTTACCTGCCATTCTGCAGATTGTTTTTTTTTTTTTTTTTTTTTTTTTTTTTTTTTTTTTTTTTTTTTTTTTTTTTTTTTTTTTTTTTTTTTTTTTTTGCATAGCGATGTCACTTGCATTCCTGCCTTTCTTTCCAGCCCAGCACATCCACTTTGGCTTTTTTTTTTTTTTTTTTTTTTTTTTTTTTCTGAATATCCCCGTTGCACATGTAGGTTGCTGGTATTGTGGATGGGATGCTGCATGGCGCGGTACGTGTGGCCAAGAAGATTCAAATTGGAAAGCATTCCTAGAGCAGAAATATCATATGATTTTCTATAAGTGTAATGCAATTGTGGTTCTTCCTCGGCATTCTGCTAATGTTTTCGAACTGTTCTGAACATGTAGAACAAGCATATCATCCAGCAGTACAACGAATCAACAATAAACCATGACGCCTTCGGTATTGGTTACTTATGAGGGAGCATTACTCTTGAAATACATGAGACACACGGAATTTAGGTTTGTTATTGTACTTCTATTATTCAAGACTTCTAAGAGCTAGGAACCGTTCAGGTAGATTTCTTCTACTGTACCAAACGAACCCCCTCGTCGTGACATGGGGTATTGGGGCACGCTTTGCCATGGTTGCTGTACCGCCAGTCAAACGCCTTTCGTGCTTATTTGTCGTATGCGCGTTGTTCCCGGAAAGGCATTGTGGAATTCCCCAGGGGGTTGAACTGGCTGGGATGGAGTGGAGTTTGGACGAATCTGACAGATAGCTCGTGACAGTTGGGACCTAGGGATCTGGTTTCGTGTTTCACAGGGAACGAGTTTACTAGTTCCGAATCCTGAAAAGAACTTCTGCTGTTACCAGGGCAAATTGTGACACTTGGCTGGTCTGCCGTCCTTGAAGCCACGAAACAAGCGTTCAGAACCACAAAGGAACAGCACCTACCCCTCGTATTTTGCCGCAAGAAGCGTTTTGTTGCCTGCAGTTGCGCGGGAAGCGGAGTCCAGGAGAGCAGAGACCAGCACCACCAGGTGAGCAAAAAAATGGAGGGAGGGAGTGGAGGTGAGCCAACCAATCCTGTCAGTACCCAATCCACCCAACCCCGAGAGTCAGTCAGGCCTGGCGGCCCATGCTGCTGCTCCACCCAACTGCACCGTACAGCTCGTTACCACCACGTTTTACGAACGAGAGTGATTATTAGGCAGCAACATATATGTACCGAAGCGCGTCCAATTCTCGTCAAGACAACGAGGTCTGTGACGCTCGCAGCGCCACCCTGTAGTGACGAGTTGTTAGACTCACCACGGTTCCCAAGCTTTAGCTTTTCCGGTCCACTCGAGTGTTCAGATGGATTAGATCTGCGACGTTGCTTTTTTTTTTTCCTTGTAGTTCTTACACATCGGCCGCTAAGAGACGGAGGGACCAGGAGTATTAACGACGAGCGGCGTGGTTAGGAGGCGAGGAGGGATAGTGGCTGGTCTATCGACAGCGTCAGATGTCCGTATTGGCGTAGGTCATGTTGTCGTTTACGCAGCAACAGTTATGTGCTGTATTTCCCAAGGCGCGGAGAGTCCGCTACGAAACAGCCACGAAAGCGACTGCATGTTAGCTCTTCAACTCTCTACAATGTTTGCGGGCCGTCTGTTATTCTTCCTCTCGCTGTTCGTTCGTCCCATCCCAATGGCTCGGTTCCAGGCACTGGTTCGATTATGACCACGCACGTTAATACTTCAAAACGCCACCCAGGGATGGTGCTACAACGAATCACAGCGAATAACAGCGAATCGCTCAAGTGAGCAAAGAGCGAGTATACGAGGCGAGAGACGGCGAAGGCAAATGATCGTCTGGGAAACGCGAGAAATGTTGCAACAAAGGGAATGCCTCGCTTAATCAGCTGACCGTGGGAGGCGCTTACACTACTGCAGGCAACAGACGACATTATTGAAAGAGAGGCGCGCGATAGAGGACAGCGAGTGCGGCAGGAAAGGGAGGAGGAGGTGAAGAGAAGTGGAGCCTTGAGGAGGAAGAGGAACAGGAGGAGGAAGAGGAGGAGGAGGAGGAAGAGAAGAGGGTGGGGGAGAAGCAGCAGGCGTGATTATGGGATGCGGGTCGTCGTCCCTAAAGCATTCGACGAGCGACGATGGAGTCGACCCTGCGACGCTGAAAACAGCCGATGCCTATCACCACCGGCAGCAGCAGCACCAGCAGCCGCCGCACCAATCGCAGCAGAATGACGGCGAGGGAGCGGGAAAGCGTCAGCACGCGGACGAGGGATCCGGCAAGACCGCTGCTCTAGACGCAACGGTCACCACTGTTCCGGACGCCGAGAGCGACAACGAGAATGCGAGGAAGGATGGCGGAAAGGCCGGCGGTCCGTGGGGAAACGGGGAGGGGGCGGCGGAGGACAGTGGCGCAACAGGGGCGGAAAATGCTTCCGCCAGGGGGGAAAAAGGAGCGGATGCGGGGCAGGCGCAGCAGCCGCATGAGCGGAGGCCGAGCGGAGGGAACTATTTTCTGGACGGGAAGGGGGGCGGGGGGAGCGCGCGGAGTAGTAGCAGTGACGGCGGGGGGGCGCGGGAAGGGGGAACGGCGGCGCATATGTGGCAGCACGTGCACGGCGTTGCGATGCGCATCATGGGGCGCTCCGCGAGCGAGGAGCGGGATGGGAATGGGGGGGGCGGAAGGAAAGGCAAGGAGAGCGCGGGAGGTTCGGGGAGAGATAAGGAGAAGGAGAAGGAGCGGGAAAGAGCCAAGGGGAAGAGCAAGGCGGATAGAGAAGCGCGATCGAGAGAAAAGGTGCGTGGTTGGGTGGGTGGGTGGGTGGGTGAGTGGATGGATGGCTCTCCAACGATTTGGGTTTCGTGATGCCTCAAGAACTGTGAGGAGAAAGGTTGGGTGGGTGGGTGGGGAGAGGATGGGTGAGGAAGAGGTAAAGTGGGAAGCTGGTGGTCGCTGCATAGCATATAATCAGTTTGGGCGTGTGACTGTTCTTCTGCATCAGTGAACCTCCCTACCCACTCTCGCAACGTGTGCGATGAGCTCATATTTGTGTGGTCCATCATCCATCCAATCCAATCCACTCACCAGCACTTCGTCCCTCTCCCCTTCCGCTCTCTACTCTTCCCCCCTTCTTTCCCCTCTCCCTTCCCCCCACCTATTCCTCTGCATGGCTTTCCCTCCTGCTCCTCTTGCTCTCCGTGACTGTCGTGTTTGTGCAGAAAGCAAAGCAGGCTGCATATGATGAGAGGTACTTACCCCTAGCACTCCCGTACCTCCCACTTCCGAGCACTCCCGTGCCACTATCCTTCTCGTTTCTCACTGCTACTGGCCGGCACACCATCGACACTGCACACATGTTTCTGCATCTCATTTCTCCCCATCCATCCCTTTCCCGACCTGCACGTCCCAATCCCTTCCCCTTCCACGGTCCCTCCCGTGCTCCCCCCGCCCCTTTCCTCTTCTTGCTGTCCTGCGTGGAACCATTCCCCCCTTTGTTCCTTCACGTGTGCAGTCTAAACTGCATGCTCAAGACGCCAGTCATTCCCTGCGCGGGAGCCATACGTCAGAATGGCCGGTAAGCTTGCACTGTCACTCTCCCCACCCTTTCCTCCCCTCCAAGCTTCCCTACATGTGGTTTCATTGATTCATTTTTTACCTTTATGAATACGCCAGTGAAAGTTTTGTACATTCTGACCATGCCAGCTCGGCTTGGGGAAACTCTCCAGCACAACGGTTCTATACCCCTTTTTGTGTGAATGCGCTCCTTACATGGAACTCATATGAACTGGTGCCTTCCTCCCCGCAACCCTCTCCCCCTCCCCCCCCCCCCCCCCCCCCCCCCCTCGCCCTCCCCCTCCCCTCCGTCCCGTGGCAGCATCGAGGTGATGTCGTTTGAGGTGGCGCATGTGATGGTGCGGCTGGTGCAGCTGCAGCACTCGCTGCAGGACACGCACATGGCGCAGCTGGCCTCTGGCGTCATTGCCTCCCCCGGCATCGCTGCCCTCGTCACCGCTGACACCGACACCGCCTGGCGCATCGCTGCTCTGGACCGACTGTGAGGGAGGGCGGGAGGGCGGGAGGGCGGGAGGGAGGAGGGGAGGGAAAGAGGGAGGGAGGGAGGGTGGGAGGGTAATCACTGTTCATCACTCCATCCCCGCCCTGTGACATGCAGACCATCACATAGCGACCAGCACACAGCGACCAGCACATGCTGAGAGACCTCCTGACCATGCCCCAATGGCCCCATGGGTGCAGGAACGACCTGCGGGTGATTGCACGGGACGTGGCCCGGTTCGGAAGGCAGTGCCCTGATGCGTCTCTGCACGGGCTGTACGGCCTCTTCAACAGGTGCGCACCGCATCATGCTATCACATGCCATGACATGCTGGGGCATGGCGGGGCATAGCATAGCATGGCGTGGCATGGGTTTGAAAGAACACGGGCACTCCATACCGCTTTTTAGAATCCTTCTCCCCGTCCACCCCCGACCCCCCCTCCCCTCCTTAAAAAAATATCTCATGCTTCATTTTGACATCTCCTCTCCTCCATCCGTCCATTCCTCCGTCCATCCCCCCCTCCAGCCTACAGCCCCCACCCGTGCAACCAGCGCAGCAGCAGCAGGATCCGGAGGGGGATGATGACTGCTTGCAATGGAATGTGAAAAAGAGCAGGAGGGCGGCAGCGGAGGAGAAGGTACGGCAAGTGGAGCAGCAGAAGGAGGGAACGGGAGAGGGACAGGAGGAGAACAAGGAGGAGGGAAAGGAGGAGCGGAAGGAGGAGGAAAAGGAGGGGATGGAGGAGGAGGCGCAGGGTGCGGTGGTGGTGGTGTCGCAGGAGGAAGGATTGGAGGTGGTCAGATGGCTTGAGCAGCACGCTTCGCTCGCATCTGTATGTTTTCGAGCCACTCGCTCCTCCAACCCAACTGCCTGCCCGGTGATAGAGAAGTGTTTTGAGACGTCTCAAAACGCATCTGTATGTTTTCGAGCCACGCGCTCCTCCAACCCAACTTCCTGCCTGTTCTGATCCTTTTCCCTGCTGCTTCGCCTAGACTCCCGTTCTCCTCCTCCTGCTGCTTCTGCTGCCTCAAGCGTTTAGTTCTGTGTTTGTGTGTGCATGGATGTGGGGAGTTGCATGCTTGCATTCTGCATGTGTGCATGTGTGCATGTTCCCATGTGCCCATGTGAGCATGCGAGCAGGAGCTGTACCATGAGATAACGAGCATAGAGCACATGTACAAGGCACTGCAGAAGCGCCTCAACGAGAAGCGCTCCACATCCAAGCCCAGCATCATCCGAGGTGCGCTCGCCTCATCTCGCGCTTCACTCACTCCCTCCCTCTTTCTGCATCTTTCTCTTTTGTGAGGCGCCTCAAAAAGCGTCTCAAGAAGCGCCTCATGATGTCAGTCGGCTCCTCATGATCATCCCGCGTGTTTTATTCGCTCTCTCGCTCCCACCCGACTTTTCGTTCACCCGCGTTATCTACCTATTTGGGTTCATCCATCGGTCAACCCTTCACGATTTTTTAGGCGCCTCAAAAAAAGTTCATCCATCGGTCAACCCTTCACTCCTTTGGAGGCCCATTCAGTTTTGGCCCATGTCCACCCCTTCCCCCCCCCCAGTTTACCCCTTCCCCCCCACGTTTGCCTCTCCCCCGCGCACCCTACCCCTCCCCTCCTCCCAACCAAACCTGATCGATCATGTGCAGTCAGAGCTGCTTTTTGAAACGCCCCATTCCTTCCTTTCCGCCACTCCCTTCCACCTCTCTGGAATGCACTGCCCCCGTTGCATACCTGATCGAGCACACACATGCTGTCTGATCTGAACTGGGTGGGTGCCAAGAAGGATGCGCTTTGGCTCGACTCTAAACTCCTTTCTTGCCCACCTCTCCCTTCCATTCCATCTCTGGCCTGGCCCCGTGGCAGACCTGATCGAGCACATGCGGTCGGAGCTGGATGCGAAGAAGGATGCAGTCAACAACAAGCGAGGGGGCAGCATCTGGACCATGACGTTGGACCAGGTGGGGGGTGTGGAGGGGTGTGGAGGGAGGGATACGGGTGGGAGAAGGGGGTGGGAATGAGGGGATTACTGGATGGTGAGGGGGGACGAGGAGGCGGGATGTGTGAGGTGGGCATTGGAGGAGGAGGGCAAGGCGGCGTGATTTCATGAATGGGGAGAGTGTGAGTGTGGGTTCTTGCAGGAGAAGTGGGCGGTTAATGAGTTCTATCTCTCATTCGCTGTTATTTATCGGCATGGATAGCAACTCTCAGTAGAGCCATTTCCTGCCTGCACTGCACATTGCTCCCTTTGCCACTCCCTTTCCCTCTCGTTCTCTTCTTGTACCCTCTCCCATTCCCTTCCCATCACATCACATCACATCACATCACATCACATCACATCACTTTCCCTCTTCCCCCCTGCTCTCGCTTCCCTCTTGTCTGCCTGCTCTATCCCTCTCCCCTCACCTCGGATTGTCCTTTCCCCGGTCCCTCACCTCACTCATGTGTGTGCTGGCTGGCTGCGCTGATGTGTGCGCTGGCTGCGCTGATGGGTGTGCTGTGCAGGTGGTGGTGAAGCTGAGGGATGCGGTTATCTTCCTGCATGCGCGCATGCACACTGTCTTTGGCAAACACGGTCAGTCAGTCTTCAGATCTACCGCTAGGAGGCTTGAGGCGTCTCAAAATTCAGTCAGTCGTTAGATCCACCGCTAGGAGGCTTGCCGCGAAGAATCGAATGCATTCGTTTCTTACCTGAAACGTGCTGAGTCTTCACACAACGGTCGATCGAAACGCTCTTCCAATTCTGCATGAGGTCAGCCAGTGTCCGAAAGTCTCCATGCACGATGTGTCCAAGCCCATGCCGTTCATCGAGGTTAGAGGTTGAGTGTGAGGGGGCGTCTAGACACCCTTTTCTCCCTCCCCCTCCTACACTCCCATCCCAAGTCCTCCCACCCTCCCATTCCCGTCTCCTCCCACCCCTCCTACACTCCCACCCCTCCTTACCCGTAGCGCACCTGTCGGCGCCGTTCATGGAGGCGAGGGAGAGGGTGCAGACGGGGGCGGAGCGCACGCTGGGGGAGGCGGGCATGGAGCTGCACTACGCCAACATCGTCACCATGATCGATAAGATTGTGCGTTGCGCTCCCCGCTGGTCATTGTGTGTCTGTGTGGGGGGGGTTGCGTGCGTGTGTGTGTGTGTGTGTGTGTGTGTGTGTGTGCGTGCGTGCGTGCGTGCGTGTGTGTGTGTGTGTGTGTGCCATACCTTTAAGCAGACGTCCTGAATCTCTTTTCCCCTACTCTTCCCCTGTTGGGCCCCCTCTTCTCTCCTCTCCTCCCCGCAGGTGAAGGGCAGGTCAGCGGAGCACCATCGGGAGGCGCTGTACTGTACAGCGCGCTGAATGGCAGCACGTTAAACTTCCTGAACCTCTCTCCCCACTCGCCCCTCTCCCCTTGCTGCCCCCTCACGCCTCCCCCGCCTCCCCTCCTTTCCCCCCAGGTGACGGGCAGGTCAGTGGAGCACCATCGGGAGGCGCTGTACAGCGCGCTGCCGCGGAGGGTGGTGCATGTGCTGCGGCGGCGCCTGCTGCGGTCAGAGGAGGTGGCGCAGATGGGCACAGACGTGCTGCTGGCCCGCCTGGAGGGCGTGCTTGACTGGCTCGCCACCATGGCTGAAAACACCATCAAGTGAGCGTGAGACACGGGGGTTGAGGAGAGGATGGAGGGGAAGGGGGAATGAGAGGGGAGCGAAGGCGGCGGTTGACGAAGCTCTGAATGGGCTGAGAGGGCATGCTGGACTGGCTCGCCACCATGGCTGAAAACACCATCAAGGGAAGGGGGGGGAGGAGCCTTCTCATCCACGCTCCCTCACACGTTATCCCTCTCACTCTCCCCCTTCCCCACATCATCCTCTCATCTCCCTGTTTCTCCTCTCCCCTCGTCTGTCATCCCCCACCCTAAACCCCACGACCAGGATCGGAGGGGATCGACGCATACAAGGGCACACGGAGCTGTCACTACTAGAGACGCTGTACCACGTGAATAAAAACAGCTTTGAGGTACCTTATTAGCCCCCGTTGAACCTCCCCTTTGAACCCCACCTCACGACCAGGATCGGAGTGGATCGACGCTTACAAGGGCACACGGAGCTGTCCCTCCTAGAGACGCTGTACCACGTGGATGAGAAGAGCTTTGAGGTGACATAGAAACACCCCCTCAACCCCACCCCCCCTCCCCCTTCCATCTCCCTTCCTCTCCTGTCATCTCCCCCCCATCCCACGACCAGGATCGGAGTGGATCGGCGGTTGCAGGGGCACACGGAGCTATCCCTCCTAGAGACGCTGTACCACGTGGATGAGAGGAAGCTGCAGGCGCTGCTAGTGGATCTTCTGGTAGACCTGCAGCACTATGCCAGCCGGGAGGACGCGGACGACCCTGAGTACGCTTGGGCGCCCATTCCCCGCTTCGCCATTGTCGCTGCTGTTTCCACGGGCGGCGGGGAGGAGAGCGCTGCTGCTGAAGCGCCAGGTGATGGTGATGGTGCTGCTGCCGCTGAGGTTGCTGCTGCTGCTGCTGCTTCTGCTGAAGCTGGTCTGCTTGCAGAAGCGGAACCTGTCACACAGGGTCTCTCTGCTTCCATTGATGCTTCCACACCTTCTGTTGCTGCTGTCACTGCTGCTGGCGCTGCTGCTGCTTCCACTGCTGCTGCTGCTGCCCCTGCTACTGATGACGATGCTGGTGAGAGTGCTGCTGCTCCTGCTGGTGCTGGTGATAACGCTGACTCTGCTGCTGGTGTTGCTGAATCAGTCACGAGTGACTCGCAATTACCTGCAGGGGGGAGCATTCGCGCTCCTTTGGAGGTAGCAACTGGAGAAAGCATGATCGCTGCAACTGATGCGGCTGTTGCTGATTCTGCTGTTGCTGCTCCAACTGTTGCCGCTGCAGCTGCCTCAGCTGCTGCATCCACCCCTGCTGCCGCTACTGCTCCAGACGCCCCTGCTGCCTCGGTGGTGGAGGAGATCCCAGAACCGCACACCCCAACCTTCCCCCTCACGCCGCTCACCCCCCTCACCCCTTCAAGCGTTCCCTGGAGCGCCTTCTCTCCCCTCTCCAAGCCCATATCAGCACCACGAGGGGGAAGCGCAGCAGCAGCAGGAGGAGGAGGAGGAGCGGGAGGAGGTGGAGGAGGAGGTGGGAGCGTGGGTGTGTCGCGTCGGGCTGGCCCTCCCCTGCCCATCCGCGTGTCCTTCCCATCCAGCAAGTCCGTTTCCGCCTCCACTGCCTATGACTCCTCCAACCCCAAATCCCCCTCGGCCGCGTCAGCAGTATCCGACACGGCGCTCTCTGTTTCAGGCTCGGGCCCAAACACGCCAACTCCGCTGTTTGGCAACCATTCCCCTCTCTCCGCCTCCTCGCCAGCCTTCACGCCCTCTGCCACTTCCGAAGCTGCTAGTAGCGTCACTGGCAGCATCACGCCAGGGTCTCTCTCAGGGTCCTACGCCGCTCGCAATTCTGCCTGCAGCTCGCTTGCGCCCTCGCGTGGGGCTGTTCGCTTTGCCAGTAGCGGCGGCTCCATTCCCCGCCCACATTATCACGACAGCCGCAGGCGCACCCGCAGCAACCGCGCCACCAAGTCTGCTAGCTCTGGCGCGCAGTTAGCAGTTGTAGGAGGTGCGGGAGGAGCAGGATCCGGAGGACCAGGAGGATCAGGAGCAGTTGCAGGGGGAGGAGGAGGAGGAGGTGGAGGGAGCTACCTTGTTGCCATGTCTCTACCCGCTGCGATGGTGCCGGGCGCAAAGGGAGGGTCCAAAGGAGGCCCGTTCAGTGGGTACGGCTTCCCAGTGAACCCCATTCACAGCTTTGAGCTGCCTTCCCACCGCCGAAACATTCCCCAGCCACTCCGCCTCTCAGTCCTCTCTGACTCGCCGTACCACGGGGGGGGCCTGGGCACGCCTGGGTTCTCGGGCTCCGGAGGAGGGTTTGGGGAGAGTGCACCGTCCCCGTTGGCACAGCTTGTGGCGTCGGCAGCAGCGGAGGAGGGAGATGAGGACGCTATTCACGCTATGGCGTCACCGCTGCCGCAGTGGCTGCCTGTTTCGTCAGCGTTCAGGGAGGAGGAAGAGGAGAGGCTTCGGTCTCGTGCGTTCTCGACTGCAAGCCCCACGCCTGGTACCCCCACTGTGGTGCCGAGGATGCTTAGTCGAGCCATGCGTAAGTCTATGACTGACTGGGAGATGGGGCCCATGATTGATGCGCTCACGCTGGAGAGTGCCGGTGTTAGTGGCGTTGCGGCGGGTGCGGGTGCGGGCGGGAGTATGCATGTGACTAGGAGCTCTGAACGTCTGTCGGAGAGCTCTGGGGGGGCTGGGAGGGGAGGATGGGGCGCAGCAGGCGGGGTGGGAAGGGGCGGGGATGGATCAAAGGGATCAGGTCAGCGGTCGTTCTTGGCGGTTGGGTCTGGTGGGCACTCGGGAGTGGGGGTGGGAGGAAGCGGGTTGGGTGAGAGCTTTGGTGGGAGCAGTGTTGGTGGGAGTCTGACCGGCAGTGTTCCAGGCAGCACGAGCGGCAGTGGCGTGCTAGCTGCTGTGATATTTGAAGGTCAAGCAGGAGACGACGGGACAAGCCCAATGGGAGGACGGCCGGTCGCGGCAACACCCAGCAGCGGCGGCAGCAAGGGCTGGGCGTGTGGGAGCATGGAGGGAGGGGGGTGGAGTGGAAGGACAGGAGGGAGCAGCCAGGCAGGCAGTGCAGCAGCTACCCCCTGCACGCCTGCAAGCTGGCGTTTACGCCCCATGGCTCCTCTTCTTGTGGACGTGGACAGGATTGATGATGATGAGAATGGTGCTGCGCTCATTGCTGCTGCTGTGGGGGGAAGCTTGCTTACGGATGGGATGGGGGAGGAGGAGCGGGGAGAGGCGAGTGAGGGGGGCACGAGTGTGGGGCCGAGCCCGAGGGTGGCGGAGGTGGGAAGGGAGGACAGTGGGCGGAGTGTTGGTACTGGGCCTAGCGCAAGAGTGATGTCTGGAGAAAAGGCTGCTGCTGGTGGTGTTGCTGCTGGTGTTGCTGCTGCTGTTGCTGCTTCTGCTGCTGGCGCTGCCGCTGGTGCTGCTGGTACTGGTGGTGCCGGTGCCGGTGGGTCTAGCCTGGGGCCGAGCCCCAGAGGATCCAGGGAGAGGAGCGCTGGTGAAGGCCGTGGGGAGTGAGGTGAAGCCATGGGAACGGGAGGAGAGTGTTTAGGTGCAGGTGGTGTGATTATTGTGGCGCTGGTGGTGGCGCAGGGTTGCAATGGAGAGATAGGGAAGCAGGGGTGGTAGCAGGTAGGAGAGTCAGGGTGATTTTTGCACCAGGGAGTGTTTGGTGGTGAAAACTGGGTGGAATCGAGGAAGGCGTGATGCATGGTCATAGATGGGTGCGAGAGGAGTACCGTACGCTGGTGTGTGGGAAAGAAAACCATAACAAACAGTGCAACGGTAATTCACTGCATTATTTCTAAGCGCATTGCTGTACACACTGTTCTCTCCTCCTCAACCCTCGCTCTCTGCACCGTTGTGACTTGTTTGTGATTGATGCCACGCACTGGTTTCATATGCTGGTTTGACTGGTCTGTTGTTGCCTCTGCATTCTGACTCAATGGTTTCTTTGGTATCATCAGAATCTAAAATAGTGTGATGGTACGGAATATTTGTGATCAGAATTGGACCACGGGCGGGCTACCCTCCCCGAAAACTGCATCACGTTAACGTTTTGACAGTGCTGGTCAGAGGCTATTCCTGGTTCTTGGATACAATGATTACATCTGCATGGCGCTTTGTCTCCATTATAAGCTCCGCATTGGGACGATCGTTGTAATCCACCTGGTCAGACAGGGATGCCGGGGGGGGGAGAGAGGGGGGGGGGGGGGGAAGAGGGGAAGAAGGAGGGGGGGGAGAAGGGAGGGGGAAGAGATGAGAGGGGAGGGGTGGTGGAGAGGAGCAGGAAACAAAGGGGGAAATGGATGCGAGACGGAGTCACATGCATGCATGCAAGCATGAAGGGTAAATGGAGTGAAAGATGGATGTGTGTGCACGATTGGTAAATAAACTGCTGGTTCACTGAGTACACAACATCATACACGCACAATGAGGTGAAGAGAGCAAGGTGAGGAGGGGAGCAGGAAAGAGGGCAGCAGGGAGGGAGTGTGGTGTGGGGAGGAATGAGGGAGTGAGTAGAGCTTACCCGCCACTTTGCAACGTCCTGTGTCTTGCCTGGACGCATGCCCATGCCCATGCCCATTCCCATGCCCATACCCATGCCCATGTCCATGCCCATGCTCATGCCCATGACCATGCCCATGCCCAAATCCATACCCATACCCGTGCACATGCCCATGGAAAAGAGAAATTGCCAACAAATCTTGAGAAAAGGACAGCTAACCGACAACACATGTGAAAAAAACGAGTTTTCTATTTTTTTACGAAATGAGCAAGAGGCGATGCCAATGCAGGTAGCACAAGGAGATGATGCAGAGTGCAATATGTGATGGAATGAGATGGCGCCATGTGATGGGATGAGATGACAGCAGCATGTGATGGGACGAGATGACAGCAGCATGTGATGGGACGAGATGACAGCAGCATGTGATGGGACGAGATGAGAATATTGTGCCATGCCTCTCACCTGTTGCCACGTGTCGCTTCTCCACTCGCTGCATTGCCTCATCCAAATCTACCTGCACAAACCTGATTGGTAGCGGAAGGAAGAAGGGAAGAGGAGGTACACGTGAAAGGAGCGAAAGTAGGAGGGTACAGGCGTGATACAGCTACACCCATCCTAGTCTCTCTCTCTCCCTCGTCCCTTACCTTCCTCCTGCCAGCCACAATAAAAAAAAAACGTAAAACATTCGAAATGTCGATGCTCGCACTAGCCCGGCATAAACGCCTTGAACTGACCACTTTCCAGCTCCTAGCGTCAAACTCGCCAGTGCCATCAGTCTGACCCCGGCCTTGGCATGGGAAAGGCGGACCTTACCATGTCTCGTCGAAGAGAGGCTGCAGGCGCGCCCAGTCGCCATCGTTGAGCAGCAGGTAGTTGCCCTCCACCACCACCACTCGCACGCTGCGGCACGGGAAGGGAGAGAGGGAGAGATGCTGAGAGCGACTCAAGCACACAGACCATCGTGGAACAGCAAAGCAATACATAGGTGCGGTGTGGTGAGGTGTGGTGTGGTGAGGTGTGGTGAGGTGTGGTAAGGTGTGGTGTGGAGCAGTGCGGAGTGGCAGGCATGGGTAAGGCGAGAAGGATGTGGGGACAGAGAGGCATGCGGACCTAGGGGGTATGGGGATGTCATTGGGGACCGGGTCTCCTACTCCGTGGTCAAAGGAAGGCAGAGACACAGTACCCTGGGGAACACAGTGCACAGAGGGATTGGGTCAGTCAGGCAGGGAGACCCACGGACGGACATTTGAGACGAAGTACACTCGCTACTTTTGCCTGGCGGAAACGTTGATAAAACGTTGATAACGGAAGGTAAGAACGAGTACATGGAAGGGAACCCAGGAGTTCAGGGCCAGGGGGGAAGAGGGGAAGGAGGGGAGAGTAGAGGAAGGGAGGGTGGGAGTCAAATCACAGTCTCTGGCTTGCAGTGGTAACGGTGAATTGGAAGAAAGAGTGACGGCATGAGGTGTGGGTTGGAAGGAGGAGAGGAGGAGAGGAGGAGAAGGGTGTACGAAACACCTGGTCCTTGAGGGTTCGAAGGCAGTCCACCAGTGATGCAGGGTCGAACGTCCAGGGGGCTGGTGCAAAGGGAGGAGGAGAACGGATGGTGAAACGCACAAGTTAGCGATCATGTGTGAGCAGAGCAGGGGTGTAGAAGAGCAATAATACGAGGTTCAACGTTGTGCATGATGGGATTAGGGAACATGACACAGGTAACTATAGAGAATCGCGATCAAGGCGACCAGACAGGGAACAAAACAATGGGCTGGAAAAAGGCCTCATTCACTCGATGCCTACCTCCTCGCCGTGCATGGGCTTCCTTAGGGTCCTGCCATGGCATGCCAGCACATTGGGTTCGGCATGCCAGCACATTGGGTTCGGCATGCCAGCACATTGGGTTCGGCATGCCAGCAAATTGGGTACACACAGGAGGAGGAAAACTTCACACACACGCATGTGTGAAAGGCCGTGAGCCCATGAGACTTGACATGTGGTGCGGTGGTGCACATATGCCGTGCTAACACAGGAATGGATGCAGCAGATTCAGGCGGCAGCAACTTGGAAAAGACATTCTTGCTACATTCACAGAGATTGGGCCGCAATTTACAGAGATTTAAGCAAGTGCACGTGCAAGACCCCCCCCCTCCGGGCCCCATCCATCTTGCGTGCTCTGACTCACATCCATGGCATCCAGCTGCCATCTGTACAGATGAAACCCATCCATAGGCGCCACCGCCGCCACATCATCACCACCCGCACCCGCAGCAGCACCAGATGCAGCACCAGCAGCAGCAGCAGCAGTAGCATCAGCATGGGCAGCAGTGGTGTGGGGCAGAGCATGGCGCCATGCGTGGTTGACTCGGTCCACCACGGCCTGGGACACTGTTGACTTTCCCGCACCCGGTGGCCCTGCCAGCGCTACCACAAACCTGAAGCAATGGGTCGGACGTAAATGCATGCGTGCACGGATGGGTGGCAATGAGGACGGAACCTGGATGCATGCATGGATGGGTGCGTGATGGGCGCATTGTTACCCAGTGTGTGAATGACGAATGCAGCATAGATGAATGATACATACATGACGAGTACATGTCGGATGCATGAGGGACACATACAGCATGCATAAACGCATGCAGGCATGGTGCAGGCTCACTTGTTGGGGGGTGTGGTGGCACGAGCAGCAGCGAGCAGTCTGTGAGCCAGGGACTCGTACACATCTTCCATGCTCGTGCAATCCACCACCACGGCCGATGCTGATGCTGCTGATGATGCTGAAGACAACTGCGATTGTGATAGTGATTGCGGAGAAAGAATTGAAGATGATGATGAGGAGGAGGAGGAAGAGGAGTCTTGAATCGTCTCGGACCATGAACTGCTGTCATCACCATGGCTGTGTTCGTTTGAAGCTGCTGCTCTCCGCACATCGCAACCGCCCATCCCCTTCCCACGCCACTGCTGCTGCCGCCGTGCCTGCCAGTGCGGCAGCCATTGCAGCTGACCCGGTGCCAAACCCGCTCCGTTCGCCTGCTTCCACAATTGCCCATGTGGTCGTGCTTGCAGTCGTGCGTGCGGTCTCGCGGCAACGATCCCAGAAGATCCGCAAACAACACGCGGGACCGCTGGACGTAAAGAAAAAACGAGGTTTGCAACAAAAAAAGGCGAGAAATTCAGGGTCATAATTCAAATCGACGGGGAGGCCGGAAAGAAGTTAATTCCTGAAAACGAAAACGCGAGTGGCATGATGTCATCATGGGCTTCGCGAAAGACCCCTGCCGTCAGTCACGGGACGAGACGATGACGAGCTGGAGCTGGACTGCGGACCCGACAATCGCACCTGGCTGGCGACGGCTGTACGGGGTGCACGACGTGGGTACGACAACGGCCGTCGCCATCCTCGATGCAAGCAACCCTTTTTCCCCGCCGCTGTGACTGTGCTTCAAGCGCGGACGACGCAGACGACGCGCAGTACCTGGCTTTGTTTTGAGTGCGTGTGATGCGGCTTTGAAGGTGGAATCTGGGTCACGGTGTTGCCGCACTCATCAAACATCCAGAATTTGTGAAATTGTGAAATTTTGTATAATACATTCGTATCAAACGTATAGATCAAATTGTGTGCAGCTGACGCTACCGAGCCGGCGAGCATCGAAACGTCAGTCGCGGCCAATCCCTGCCACACACACTGCCTGGATCGTTACCGCCGTTTCCAATCAATTACTCCGCGACAGTCCCTTTGGACGAATTGACCTTGACACAACCACTCAACCAGCTGTTTCACGGCGCACGTCGCAGGTGGTTTGGCTGTTCGTCCATCGCATACCCTAATCTGGACGGCGAGGATGCGAAGCGATGCAATCGCACAACAATCCCATGACGTTGGCGAAACGAATTCTTTCCAAGGGCCAGAAGTGAGGGCGAGCGACGCAGTCGCGATACGGATTGAACAACCCAGCGAAACTCGCAAACTGCGAGAAACTCTTCGCTTATCCGACAAATGCAACAAATCTCTTGGGATTGGGAGCCACTTCTGTGGCAGCTACAAAACGGGCGTTTGTTCCCACCAACCCTAGAGGACCGTTTCTAGGAGCCATCAAGGCTGCGTATGCACGAAGACAAATATGACCACACGGGACCCTGGTGGTGAAACCAGCCTTCTGACTGAATTGCGGTAATCGCCTGAGCATCGTTATTCCGGCAGACGTAGGACGCCGGTCGGTTGCCGAAGAGCAGAGGCTGCTGAGGTATGAGGCTTGTTGTAATTAGGACCGCTGGGTATCGGTGACGAGGGGGAGCTCTTCGAAACTACCTTGTAGGAGATAGATACAGAGTAAGCAAAGGCGTTTTTCCGGTAGTGCTGGGAACTTGTCGGTAAGGAGCAGTTTCGCTTGGTGCCGCCGATTACGGCGGATAGAGAAGGCATTACCGCAGGGAGGCGTTATTTATGCGACGCTGGTAACGCGGAACGACATGGAGACACGATGTGGGTGCGGATAGCGGGGTTTGACATGCGTCCGCGTTGCTAGTAGCACACCAGATCGAAGCGCACAGACGTTTCTCGAGGCACCTTAGACCGCGTTGATAGCACCGGGTAACACTGGAGAGTCGAGCCACAGAAAGACGACATTGACGGAAATCTTCGCCTTCTCTGGGCCATCTGCGTATTTCGTAATCGTGCTGTGCTATCCGCGCAGTCTGCTCACTTCAACCGTCCAGTGGGGTAAGCCACCAGCGTCCATCCGGACCGTCCATTCAGCAACCTCGTGCACACTGAGACCTGATCGTTGCCCAGTAGTCTCGCAGCATCGCGTCTCGCCGCTGCTGATCGCGTCGGCCGTCCATTCCATTCTTCCCCCCACCGCACTCTCCCTCCTCTGACACGTTTCCCTTACCACTGCACGTGTTTCGCACCTGTGCTTACACCAGCCAATCGCCGGCGATTGGCCGTTAATTTGCGACACACCCTCCAGCGGTCGTGGACCGCAGCTTCCGCGTCTGACTTGTACTCCTCCCCAAGCCGCACCACATGGACCCCTCCCAGTCGTTGCTGCAGCGCGCCAAGTCGCGGCGGCAACCGGACGAGGCGCAGCAGCTGCTGCCCACGTGCCCCATGGTGTACGCGATAATAGACGAAGCGAGTCTAGAAGAAGCAGCCGCTGCCAACGCCGCCGCCAACGCTGCCGCAGCCGTCGCCGCCGCCGCAGCAGCTGCTGCTGGTGGTGTCTCCGCCGGCTCCCCACGCTCCACTGATGGTTCTGTTGGGGGGGCAGCGGTCGGGGGAGGGGGGAGCGTAGGATCCGCGGGGTCTTTAAGAGGGTTGGGCGAAGGCGGATTGAGTTTCGGGACAGGGAGTGGGAGGTCGGCGAAGCAGTCATGGGATCTAAGTAGCGACGGAGGCAGTGGGAGGAGAGCGGGAGGGGGAGGAGGGATAGGAGGAGTAGAACGGGCGGCGGTGCTGCGTGCTCAGATGTCCTCGTTATCGCTAGCGGTGGAGTGCTTGTTGAATACAGCCGTGGTCACTCTAGAAGGCACGTGGACTGTCTCCTCCAATGGCATTGCGCCACGTTGTGAGTGGCTGTTCGCGCTGCCCATAAACCACAAGGTCAGCGTGTCGTCAGTAGAGGTGGTTACCACCGATTCGCATTTCTTCACCACAGCCATTGTAACCAAGGAAGAGGCAGAATCAGCAGCCGCTTCTTCCACCCACCCCCACCCGCACAACCACGACCCTTCCCCCCACCACCACCACACCTCATCCACCTCCTCCTCCTCGTCCTCCTCTTCCTCTGTCTCGTCCTTCCTTGCTAGAGTAGGCTCAGGCAGACTAGGCTCAGGGGCGGGGGGAAGCGGAGGGGGAGGGGAGAGAAGCAGCAGCGGCGGAGGAGGGCTGCTTAAGAGACTAAGCAGCGGTAAGTCAGCAGCCAACGGCACAGGAACCAGCCTGGACGCCCCAGACCAAACCGGAGGGCTACTAGGCGGGAAAGGCGGCGCCATGGATTTCGCCATGCTAGGCCCCGCAGGGGAAGGGCTGCAGAAAGCAGGCGTGCTGCTGCAGGAAGGCGGGGAGTTCAACCCAGCCATGTTCCGCATGAGGCTGCCGGCTGTGGAGGAGGGCACGCAGGTGAAGGTGCGGGTTTCGTATGTGGAGACGATGGGCGTGCGCGCGGGGTACTATGAGGTGGTGGTGCCGCTGGTGGTGCCGGAGGCCGTGGTGCCGAGTCATTTAGAGCTGGTGGAGGTGGTGCAGGTCAGCTGCGCGATTAACAGTGGCCATACCAGGCCGCTCAAAGTCGGGGATTTCAACCATCCCATGAAGGTACGGGGTGATGTGGACATGTGGGGGTGATGTGGGGATGCGGGGATGTGGGGTTGCTGTGGGGATGTGCTGCCGAAGATTTCAACCATCCCATACATTCACTCCATGAGGGTTTCACGGTCACCCGGAGCTGCACAGGCATGCCACTCGTCTATCAGGCCCTCCAGCCCAGCCAACCCATCTCTTCCTCCTGCACCCCTTCTCTCCGCCCACCAGGTGATGTTTGTGGAGCTAGGCCGAGCGTCCTTCACAGGCTTCCCCGCCAGCACCACGCCTGATGGCAAGCCGTGTGTGTGGCCCAACGCCGACTTCGTACTCTCGTACCAGGTGGGAACTGCGTATGTATGCACTTCTGTACAGGTAAATCCTCACTGAGTCTCGCGCGTCAACAGCATGTCCCTCTGCTATGCCCACCTCTCGCAGCTCTTGAATCAACCTTCCCACCCCCTCTTCCCCTGCACTACTCCCTTCCTCCCGTGCGACGCACCTGCCCCGTGCCATGGAGCATCAGGTGGTCTCTGTGAGGACGCTTTTCAAGGTGGCGCCTCACAAGACGGCTTCTTAGGCACATCACTCACTCCATCCGCTTCTGCACGTCTCCCTCCCCCCCTCCCTCCCCCCCTCCCCCCCTCACTCCCTCCCTCCCTCCCTCCCTCCCTCCCCCCTTCCCCCCCTCCCTCTCGTGCATGCCCCATACCCATGTGGAGCACCAGGTGGTGTGTGAGGACGTGGCAGCGGCCATGCTAGTGCAGGCGCCCTACGAGGAGGACCCTGACACACGAGCCATCTTCTGCCTCTCCGTCTGCCCTCCCGACCCCTACCAACTGCCGGTCAGTAACTCCTCCCTTCCTCCCTTCTTGCCTTCCTCCCTTCCTCCCTTTTGCCCAACCTCAACGTACTCCTACCTCCGAGGATCCCACCCCCCTGCTCCCCCTTCCCCCGCTCTCTCTCTCACTGCCGTATTCATCTCCTTCCACTCCTTAACAACCCCATCCATTCACCAGGTGTACGGGGTGAAATTTTAGTCGACTCAAATATCACCTCATGAAAGCCGTGTCCTTCCATCCATCCTGGGCGCACACTCTCACCAGGTGTACGGGCGGGCAGTGGTGTTCATTCTCGACAGCCACAACGCCATGCGCGGGCGCGCAATGGAGGAGGCTCGGCGCGCAGTAATGGCAGCGCTCAAGCGCCTGAGTCCGGCGGACAGCTTTGGCATCATAGCGTTTGACTACGAGCTGCTGGTGTTCGCCGAGGCCATGGAGAGTGCCACTGCAGAGGCCGTCAAGAAGGCCAGCAAGTTCGTGCTGCAGGCGTATGACACCGACGAGGCCTGCAACATACTCTCGCCGCTGCAGCTGGTGAGTGGGTGCAGGTTGGGGGTTGCAGGTTGCGGGGTGCAGGTTGGGGGGTGCAGGGGGGTGCAGGAGTGTGCAGGTGGGGGGGAGCAGGTGCAGTGGCGTGTGTTTTGACCCCATTGGCCCCACTTAAGCGCCTGAGTCCGGCGGACAGCTTTGGCATCATAGCGTTTGACTACGAGCTGCTGGTGTTCGCCGAGGCCATGGAGAGTGCCACTGCAGAGGCCGTCAAGAAGGCCAGCAAGTTCGTGCTGCAGGCGTATGACACCGACGAGGCCTGCAACATACTGTCTCCGCTGCAGCTGGTGGGTGGGTCCCTGCACGTGAGAGGTGCGGGTGGGTGGGAAGTGCACGTGGGAGGGTGGGCGGGGTAGAGTGCTGCAGGGTGTACTGGCGTCTGATTTGATTGACCCCATTGGCTTCTCTGCAGGAGGACACCAGTAGCTCCTAAGGTGCAGTGCAGGTGTACTGGCGTGTGATGCCATGTGCTGTTCTGTACTTGCTGCGTGCCTTCTCCTGAACATGCTGAAGAGCTCTCGGGGCATGCTGCCGCAGGCAGCATTTCTCGGGGCATGCCGTTCACCCTCTCCACCTCTTCCCACATTCCACAAAACCGTCCCTCCTCCCTCCCTCTGTGACTCTACCAACGTGCGATGCGGTGGGTGTGACACACAGGCGTTGAAGATGCTCAAGGGAGTGAGGGGCATGTTACCGCAGATAGTGCTGTTGAGCGATGCAGCGGTGGAGGACGAGCGCTCCATCTGCTGCTACCTGCAGGAGGCGCTGCTTGAGTGGGGACCCAACGCCCCCCGCATCTTCACCTGCGGCATTGGTACGCTGCTGTTGTGCTGCTCATGGTGCACTGCCTCTGCACTGCCTCTGCACTGCCTCTGCACTGCCTTGGCTCTGCTTTGCGCTGTGTTGTGTTCCGCCCACTCCGTTTCACCATCAGTTTTTTGTTTTTCCCCCCTGGTTGCCCACTTCCTCGCTCTGCTCTCACACTCCTCACCCCTCCACGTGTGCGCGCTCCACACACCTGCACAGGTCCCAGCTGCAGCTACTACTTCCTGCGCTGGATAGCGGGGGTCAGCCGAGGGGCCACGGAGTTCGCCTTCACTGCTGGTACGCCCTGCTGCACTGCCATGCACCGCACTTTGTTGCCCCACTCTGTGCTGCACTGTACTGTGCTGTCCTCTCATGCCTACCGCTTTTCTTAGCCTCCGCCCACCCTCCCTCCCTTCCATAATCCATCGCCCCCCTCACTCTCATAACCTTACCTTTCCTTACCTCTCGTCTATCTGTCGTTCGCGCTCTCCTCCTCCCCATTCCTCGCCTCGTGTTCAGACGAGGTGCGGAAAAAGGTGGAGCGGCTGCTGTTGGCAGTGTCCCGTCCTCTCATCACCAACATCACCATCAGAGACATGCCCGCCGGCTTCCAGGTACTTTCCCCTGCTTCCCTTACTCCCCCCATTCTGCTCTCACGGCTTTCCTCTTCCCACCCCTGCCTTGCCCTGCCTTTCCCTGCCTCCCTTCCCCTGCCTCCCGCCTGCCTCCACCTCTTGCAGCAAAGTTATCCTGTTGTCACTCTAGCCAAACAGCCTTAAGCCACCTCAAACCCATCTTATCCCGCATCCCCTCCCCGACATCCCACTCTCCATCCCCTCTCTCCCTCTCCACACCCCTCTCCCTCTCCACACCCCTCTCCCCCTTTCCTCCTCACCTCCCCACTCCCACCAGCTGGTGCCATTCCCCATCCCCGACCTGCATGCAGCATGTCTTTAAAGTCGACCCAAACGTCCCCCCCCACTTCTCCCCAACCCATTTTCTCCCCCTTTCCTCCCCACCTTCCCCACTCCTACCAGCTGGTGCCCTTCCCCATCCCGGACCTGTATGCAGCATGTCCGGTGGCGGTGTCAGGGCGGCTGGACGGGGACGTGCCTCTTGCGCTGGAGCTAAGAGGCGTGCGGGCTAATGGCGCTCCCTGGAAGGCCAAGGTGCCTGTTGTTGAGGCCGCCACTCTGCCGCTCTCCACGGTAAGCTGTGGGATGGAGTGGGATGAAGTGAGATGGGGTGGGTTGAGGTGCCGTGCCATGCGATGCCGTGCGCTGCTGTGTTATGCCCTTTTTATCAGTTCCAATCCCTTCTTCTCTTACTCTGCTTATAATCTCCACTCCCTTCTCCTCCCCCATCTCCCCTCCATAACACACAACACAACACCAGGTGGGAATACGGGAGCACACGGACCTGATGACAGCAGATGCATGGCTGCGGCGCGACCCAGACCTCGAGCGAGGGGTGAGTGAGCACTCTCATACCGACGTACTCACATGCTCACATGCCCATGCACGCACTCACTGTTGAGATTGAGAATACTCGAAAGTGGGTGGATTCCGAAACGAGCGCTCTTGCTGATACAATGCTGTGCCTGTGGGTTGTGCTGCCATGGTTGCATACTGCATGCAGGCGTGGGCTGGAATATAGGTTATGGCTGTTGCATGTGTAGATCCATGCATGGGGATGGGATGCGGTGCTGTGATGGTGGCTGCGTCTGCAGGAGTATAGCAACCTGAATGATCTACCAAATGGCATTTCATATCCCCTGAATCCTCCTGCGATTTCCCATCATAATCATCTCCCTCTCCTCCTCCCTCTCGTCTTCCCACACGCCCCATGCCACTCCCCCCCATGCCCTGCCACTCTCCTCCGTGTGGCACCACCACCACCACGACCACCACTACCACCGTGACCATGAACGGCACCACCAGGTGGCGCGCATGAGTCAGACGGTGTGTGTGCCCAGCCACTTCACGCGCATGGTGCTTTTCGAAACCAACCGGGCCAGCTACGACGCGCTGCAGCACGACCGCATACAGGTGCCACTTCCCTTCCCTTCCCTTCCCTTCCTCAACCCCACCACACCCCGTGCCCTTTGCCCCAGTGCCGCCTTCCCCCCTTGTCTTCTTCTCACTGGATCAATCACTCATCTGACATCTATCATCCAACTTTTCACCCGCCGTTCCCTCACCACCTGCGCTTCCACCAGGGCAAAGACCTCAAAGTCCGAACCTACACCGACCCTCCCTCCGCGCCTGTCTCCATAGTCCCGAGCCTCGTCATAGGCCTGGGCGGGCCAGCGGTGGCTCAGAAGCAGACGAGCCAACAGCAGCAGGAGCAGCAGCAGCGCGGTCCAGGGGGGTTGTTGGGGGAGGTGTTGGAGGAGGATGAGGAGGAGGAGGAAGGGGATGTGCTGCTGAGCAGACAGGGGAAACCACTGGGGTTGCTGGGATCGATCATGTCGTGTTACCGGCCCAACGCTGCTCCTGGTTCCAAGAAGAGATGATGACGATGGTTGGGGGAAGGGGTGGGAGGTGAGAGAAGGAAGTGGCATGGAGCGATGGATGGGTGGTGCAGGTGGTGGCAGGCTGACACAGGGAAAATCGGGTGGAGCGATGATTGCAAGGATGCTAATTTATGGATGAAATCATGCAGTAGCGCATTCTCTACGAGTACTAGGCATGTGTATGTGCTGGGATATAGATAGATGGGCATAAAGTGTAACCGTCCGCTGTTTCAGAGGTGCGCATGTAGATTATTGGCGCATAATGTTTGCGTCATGGTGGGAATATCTAGTGTATATGACTTGCCATACTAGTTAGGGCGTAATTTTTCCAGAGTGTTAGGAAGTAAATAGTAGAATCGATTGTCTGTGAACGGTTTTTCCAATATCGAGCAGCCACCTTTCCGAGCCACACGAACCCCTCCTAAAACCTCGTCGCCAGAACCATTTATCTGACCATTCTGGAACTGCAATGCACGCAGATCGGACGCCTCGCGCCGCCCCAGAGGCATCAGCATTCGAGTGCTAGTTTCCGAGCTTCACCCGAGCCGGGTCGTCCCTGCCGCATCACTCGCGTACACTTCCCCCGCACTCTCCCTCGCCTTCACAACACTTGGTTAATGATATAGCCTTGGAAGCTCGGTCCTCCTCAGCTAGCCACGTGGCTTGTGCCGTGCGTTGCTCACACCTTAGTCTGAAGCATGGCGTCATCATTTCAAATGTTGACGTCACGCGGATGTGCCGCGCCAATGGCGCTGGCAGGTCGGCCTCATCGTGCGACGACTGCTGCTGCAACGAAGCTAGTGCAGCTTCCCGGTTTGCGCCAACGGGGGGGTCTCCGCCCATGCCTCCGCCGCAACGGCGCGCAGTGGCGCAGAGAAAGACCCCGGCGGGTGGCGGTGGCGGCCGCTGACGGCGAGGGGGCAGTCGGGGGCGGAGAATCGGCGGGAGCGGAGGAGTCCTCTCCCGCGCTTGCCGCAGGGGCGGAAGCAGGCAAGGGCGAAGGGAGCAACATGATCAGCAGCATTAGTAGCAACATCAGCAGCGGCAGCGAGAGCGAGAGCGGCGGCGATGCGGAGTCCAAGGAGTGGGAGGGCGATCTACAGTACATGATGTCGTGGCAGTGGGATGACGTGGTGCGCTTCTGGCGCGCGAGCGGCGCGTCGGAGGATCAGATCACGTCGGAGGAGTTCGAATCGCTGCGCGAGTGGTGGAGCACGAGCGCGCGCTACTGGCAGCGCGACGGGCGGCTGGACGGCAAAACCCTCTGGGACGTCGTCGAGATGCTGCGCCGCTGGGAGCTCGACGGGTGGTTTAGGGTTTTCGAAACGGCTATGAGTCCGGAGATGGAGTTTGCTTTAGAATCGGTGGTGGAGGGGAAGGAGGAGACGTTCGTGGGGGAGGAGTGGATGGATCGACTCACTCCGCGCGGGATCCGCGAGGCCAATGAGCGGAGGCTGACGGGGGATACTGGCGCGCGCGGGCTGCTGGGCGCAGGGGACGCGGGGGTGGTTGACGTGGGGGAAGCGGGGGAAGTGGAGGGGGAAGGGGAAGGGGAGGGGGAGGGGGAGGTGAGTGAGGAGGAGAGGAGAGGGGTGGAGCAGCGGTGGAGGGAGATGATGGAGGAGTCGATGGTGCGGGTGCTGCAGGGCCAGACCGCCATTCCCAACGGTGCTGGTGCTGCTGGTGAGAGTGGTGAAGGTACCACCAGTGGCAGCACGAGGCGCGCGAGGAGCAGCAAGTGGGTGGGGGCGCGGCCGGGAGACCTGCCCTCGCTGACGCACCGCCCGCCCCGTGATTGGCCGCCGCCAGGCTGGCAGGTGGGCGCGGATGAGCTGGCAGTGATCCACGGGGCGGCAGGGGGGAAGAAGGAGGGAGGTAAAAAGGGAGAGGCGAGTGAGGAGGAGGAGGAGAAGGTGAGGGAGGAGCGATGGGGGGTGTTTATGAAGCAGTACGAGGCATGGGTGCAGGCGAACAAGGAGATCTTGGATGACGAAGCTGCTGTTGTGAGTCATGCCATGCCATAGCCAACCCATGCCATAGCCAACCCATGCCATAGCCAACCCATGCCATAGCCAACCCATGCCATAGCCAACCCATGCCATAGCCAACCCATGCCATAGCCAACCCATGCCATAGCCACGCTATGGCGTGCCATGCCGTGTGATCGCGGGCATGGTGTGCGTCTGTGTCCGTCCTTCCACTCAAGCTCATCTCTCCCCATTCATGTCTGCATTTCCTTGTGTGTGCGCTTTTGGGGGTTGGCGGCCATGGGTGGGTTGCTGCCGTGACTGAGATTGTGATTTCGTGAATGGATGTATGGTGATTCATGGGTGAATGGGTGCATGGGTGCATGGGTGAATGGGTGCATGGGTGCATGGGTGCATGGGTGCATGGGTGCATGGGTGCATGGGTGCATGGGTGCATGGGGGTCACACCCCATGGCATGCAGGCGGACCCCATATACTTCCCAGGGCGCAGGAAGACGGGCAACAAGTACCGCCCAGGACTCGTATGCACCTTCCCTTCCCCCTCGCTCTCCTTTTTGCTCTCCCTCCCTCCATCCTACCCTCCCTCATGCCCTCCATGCCTTGCTCCTTTCCTCTTTCCACCCCCCCTCCGTGATTGTTGTCCTCCTCGGTATCTCTTGCGTCGTGCACTTGCAACAGAGCCTTGGTTCATGTGTCTGCCCCCTGTGCTGTGCCTGCCCCCTGTGCCCTTGTACCCATGGTGCTCCTTCCTCACCCCCCTTCGCCTCTTTCTATTCCCTCCTCTCCCCATCGTCCTTCCCTTTTTGTCATATTCTCTACCCCTACTCCTTCCCACTCTCCCTCTCCCAACCTCCCCCCCTTCGCCCCCACACACATACGCACGCACAACCGCACCCCCACCCAAACCCCTCCTTCCCCACCCCCTTCCCCCCCTCCCCCGGCAGTACGAGCTACCGTTTGTGGAGGCGGGGCAGGTGTATGCGGGGCGGGTGACGACCATAAACCTGAACGAGGGCTGCTTCATTGACATCGGCGCCGTGCATGACGGGTGCCACTCCCACCTCTCCCTCTCCCTCTCCCTCTCCCTCTCCCTCTCCCTCTCCCTCCTGCATGCTGCCAAAATCCACCACATGCCACCCTAGATTTTTTTTATGAGAACAAAAAACCGAGTTTTTTACCTTTCTGCCGTCTCATCCGATCTGTTCCACCTGCATGCCGCTTCCCGGTCTCAGCATCACCTTCTGCTCCCTGCCTTGCCTTGCTCCCACAATTTTCCCATCCTTTCCCCATCCACGTTGAGCATCGATTCTTGAGACGCCTCATTGAATCCCTCATCCCCCCCTCCTGTGTGCATGCCCGCAGGTGGGTTCCGATCTACAACGACGATTGGTACGAGCTGCGGCAGGTGCTGAGCATCGATTCTTGAGACGTCTCAAAAAAATCCCTCTTTCTCCCCCTCCCCGCGCCCCACCCCCTGTGTGCATGCCCACAGGTGGGTGCCGATCTACAACGATGACTGGTACGAGCTGCGGGAGGCGCTGAGCATCGGCACGCCCGTGCTCGTGGAGGTCACGGCCAAGCGCGACCCCTTTCGATTCCGCTTCCCCATTGAGCTGCGCCTGCTCAACCCCGACGTGGATGACTTGATGTATGTGAGATGACTGTTTATGCGCCTCAAAAGCCCCCTTTCGCTTCCGCTTCCCCATTGAATTGCGCCTGCTCAACCCCGACGTGGATGACATGATGTGAGTGACATGAGATGTTGTGGGATGACTGACCATGTGGGATACACGGCAGCAAAAGGTGCCGCTTGCACCTCGCGAGGGAAAAGCACATGCAAAGTCGCATTGGTACCTGCGGTGCGGCACCATCCACATTCCCAGCCTCCTTCCTTCCTACAACCCACCGTGTCTTTTCCACTCTCCCATCCGCACCGTGTGCTATCCCCATCCTCCCTTTCTCGTCTCCCTCTTTCTCCCGCACCCCGTCTTCCCCCCCTCAGCTTCCGCCGCCAGCGCTACCCCCCACATGCGCCAATCTTTTCCCGTGATGGTGACTTCAACCTCAATGAACTTGCTGTGAGTCCCTCCCCTCCTCCCCCGTCCCTTTCCCCCACCATCCTCTCTCTTCCCTTCCCCCGTCTTCCTTCTCCGCTCTCCCCTTCCCCTCCTCTTCTCTCCATTACCCTTCCTTCCCCCCTCCCCTCTCCCCTCCCCTCTCCCTTCACCCGCTTTCACAACCACCACGGTTCTCTAGAACAATTAAAGCCAACTTCCAACACAGCTGCCCATGCTCCTTCTTACGCCACACCCCCATCCTCAATCAATCCCCATCCCCACCCACCTCCCCCCAACCCCCCACTCCGTTTGTACCCAACCCCAACTCCCGCTTTTCCACCCCCGCTCTTTCCACCTTCCCCACTCCCCATTACCAGGTGGAGGTGCGGCGTCCGAAGCTACCTTTGGTGAAGAGGGCGTTTTTCCCCAACCGGTGGGAGCGGCTGTTTGTGGAGGAGTCGGAGCAGCAGGAGGAGGACTTCCGGCACCCCTACATCCAACACGTGAGTCACACTCGCCTGGCCTCTCTCCAGCATGTGTGTTTTGAGTCCACTCAAACCACGTCGGAGCAGCAGGAGGACTTCCGGCACCCCTACATCCAACACGTGAGCCTCTCCCCCCTTAAACTTGTACCGCTCGCCTCTCTGCTCGCTTCTCACTCGCCTCAGAGTCTCTTCCAAGTCACCTGTAAGGCGCGTCTAAGTAACCTAAGACCTTCTGTCTCTTTTGTAGCTTTCCTCACTCACCTCCCCCGGCACCCTCTTCCCGCAGGTGGATCGCATATAGGGCGCAAAGCGCATGCTGGTTCTTCTCAATTCGATGCGCCCCTATCATCGCTCCAGCTCCTTTTCATTTCTTCCCCTCTCTCTTTCCTGGCCCTTGTCCCCCCGTTTTCCGCAGGTGGAGCGCATACAGGGAGCAGAGCGCATGCTGGTGGAGAGAGTGCGGAGGGGGGAGGGGGTCACACAGGAGGACGTGGCACTCATGCTGCCCGAGGTAATGCATTGATCTCGCGCTTCAATGCGGTTCTGCTTGTGGGGGTAGGGGTTGCTGTGGCATGGATTAGGAGCAGAGGGCAGCCTTACAAAGCATGGAACTCGTTGATCAAGGCGTGGTGGGATGGGATGGGATGGGATGGGATGGATATCACTGCATAGCAATGCATCTTGTTGCTTCAGTGTGTGTGTGCGCGTGCGCGTGCGTGTGCGTGTGTGTGCGTCTGTGTCTGTGTCTGTGTGTCTGTGTCTCATCATCATCTAGCCACTTGCCTGTCCCATTCCCCGCCCTCACCTGTCCCTCATCCCTCACCTTTCTCTCCTCCCTCTGGCCCTCTCGCCCTGTTCGCTGTGGAAACCGGCGGTGTTGAGGCAGCCTGCAGATGCAGCTCTGGTGGATCTAGCTGCAGCAGAGGAGGAGCTTAAGGTATGGAGGCAAGGCAATGCACTTCTGAACAATGCACGGCAAGATGTGCACACCAGCTTCAGCACTTCACTTTGCTCAGTGTGTTGGTGTCTGAAAATTCCACATGGCAACATGCATGTGCCTTGATTCTTCTCCGCCTTCTTCCAATCCACCAGAGCACGTCCTCGCGCTTTATTTCCACCCCTTCTGCTTTCCCTTTCCCCTGCTACCTTGCCCTGCGCATAGCATCCGGTGTTTCAAAGCCCAACAACACAGTACACCTCTCACATTGCAACCTTTCTCCTCCTCCGCCTCCCTCTGGCGCCCCCCTGTGTCTCCCACGCCAGTGGGACGAAGAGGAGGCGGCGGCAGTAGCGCGGGGAGAGGTGGTGGACGCACCTCCGTCGCGCCATGACGTGCTGAGGGCGTCCCTGGCGGCTGTGCATCAGCAGCGCCTGCACGCCGAGCAAGACGCCGTCACCCGCGACCGCGCCGCGTGAGCATGGGGGAGTTGGACGGGGGGAAGGGAGGGGGAGGAGGGAGAGAAGGGGGAAGAGGGAGAGAAGGGGGAAGAGGGGTGTGTGTGAGGAGGGTAGATTAAGGGTACTCTGTAGGGGGCGGACAGAGGGGGCAGGCTGGTTGAAGGTTGGGTTCAGAAGGGATAACAGCCGGATGGGTGGGCAGTCAACAGGCAGAGGGGGTGGTTCTGGTTCTTCCTTCTTTACCCACTCTCGCGCACAACTGCTTCTGACCCCCTCCAACCCCCCTGTGCTTCCCCTGTCAACCCCCCCTTCCCTTGCTCCCTACACCCGCAAAACCCTTTGAAAAACAAAAACAAAAACAAATGCCAACCTGGCAGGCGCACGGAGGTGGGGTTGCCGATCTACGAGCCGGGGAGGGAGAAGCTGGTGCGGCAAATAGGCGGTGGCAAGGAGGAGTGGTGGCGCTACATGTCATTCCTCTACACCGCAGTGGACCTCGCTCTCTTCCCCAACGGCATTCCCGATGAGACCGCTGCCAGGCAAGCAGCAGACGAAGCTCTCATTGAGACTGTTGTCGGCTCTGCTGCACCCTCCTCCTCCTCACTCTCGTCCGCTGCACCCTCTGCTGGTTCTTCGGGAAGTGATGGCGGTGCAGGCGACCTTTGAGGTGGTTTAAGGCTGATGGAGATGGGGATGCCGGTTGGTGGTCATAAAAGCGGTGCAGGAAGAGATTTCTGGAAGCTAATGGTGCAAGTGCTACTGGAAGCTACCGCAGGTTGTGTTGTCTAGAAGTTGAGATTTCTGTGTGCAGCAGTGTCACGCCTGTATGGTGGACTGGACGACTGTGTACTGTCTGTACTGCTTCTTGCCTTCACACCCCTTGTGCAACAAATGGAGTGAAACAAGACAACTATTGCTGACCTTATGAAGAACAATCTTAATTTATAACAGCAGCAGACATCTGTGCTGTGTGTTAAGTAACAATTGACACAACTCAAGCCTGTGTTGGCACCGTAGCATTATCTGATTGGTAAATGTAGCACCATTTCCCACCACCTCTTGATGGATATGAGTACAGCAACAGCATTGCTGCTTGGTGCAGGAATGGCATGGCAGCTGAAGATGCTTTTATGGAGCATGCAGGAATACTGGATGTGAAAGCTGGGTGGCATCTGCATGGCTGTTGTGCCTGCTGGTACTGCTCGCCGCTGATACTGCTCGTTACGGCAGCAGCATTGTGGGGTGCTTATATTCGGTTGCTCATACTTTGGCTACTGCTGTGACGCATACACTTTCTACATTTCTCAGTCCCTGTCATGTTGCGCAGGCCATTCCCTGCTCTCTGTCTCCTCACCAGCTGTGTGTTAAGCGTGCATGTGCCCTCACCTCTCTTCACTTGTTTGTGATAGATTTTTGCCTGTCTCCTCACCACTGTCACTTGCACCCTATCAGTTTGTGTTTGCCTCTCATGTCAACTACACCTCTCTCACTCACGGCAGTCAACAAGGACTTGGCCTGTTGCAGCCAAGTCCTCCTCTCATGACACCGCCCGGCCTGGCATACTACCATCGGGCAAGGCCTCATGCAACACACAGCACTTGCAGGACTCTCTGTCCTGCTTGGGTGTTGGTGCTCTGGTGCCTAGGCTGCCTGCCCTGTGCCCATCCTGCGCACCTTCTCTACATCATGCAGATCCCATCCCACCAGAGCAAATCCTAACCACAGCACATCTACCTAGCAAGAGCAAAGCACATCTAAGCAAAGAAAAAAACAAGCTAAGGACAGCAGCGGCCCATCTTGTCCTCACCACCATGTGGGACCCCACATGTCCTCTGCCTCGCTCTGCACATCACCACAACAGAGCCACATCACCAGCGAGATGGCAATCGCACATGGAAAAAAAGGAGCTGCCACTTAGAAGCTGCAAAAGAGCATATCAACAGAAGTGAAGCTGATGAAAAGACGTGTTCAAATGGGCATTGTGAAGCAAGCACCAAGTGGGAAATGTGTAATAGCACAGCCAGCAACCCCACCCCCCTCCCCGCCCCCACACCACACCCACCCCCCTGAGGATGCTCACATGGAATTCGCAGGAATGCTGTTGCCGCCACTGCTTCCCCCCCAGCTGTTGGCATAGACAGGAATGGGTCACGGAGAGGGGCCAAAGACAATGGCAGCATGTTTAAGGTGAGAGCGGGAAAAGATGGGACACAGAAAGAGGGGAGGACGAGTAACATACGAAGAAGAATGAAGGGAGACAAGTAAGCCACCAAAGTCCTAGACAACAACGCAAGAAATATTGAACCGCTTGGAGGGAACTCGTAAGAATGAGGGTAAGACGTCCTCACCCCTCCAGCGCCGCAGCCGCAATCACTGCAGCGGCCATTGATGCTGCAACTCCTGCTCTCACCACTGCTGCTGCTGCTGCTGCCACCGCAGCTGCACATACTTGTGCTGCTGGAGAAAAGTATTATTCTCTTCTGGTGATGGAAGAGAGGATAGCAGAGAAGAGGAGAGGGCCGGAAAGAAGGGGACTGAGAGCTGAGTTAAGAAGCATGTGTTTCTGGCAAAACAGTACAGTAGCAAAGACATTTGGGTACCATGGAAAGATGGTACAACAGACACATGAATACTTCTTTATCTTCCCTGCTACTGCATCTTCACTCACCGTTACCTCTTGTATCGGAAATGCAATACACCCAGGGCTTGGATGCTGAGCCACCAACGGAAGCCCTGTCCATGCCATTCCCCTCCACCTTCCAAAGAGCAATCTGCCAGAGGCGTGAGCAAGGAGAGGAGAAGCGAGTGTGCGAGAGGGTGAGGATGTGAAACAGCGCCGACAGGACTGAAGAGATGGCAGAGGAAGCTGGAGAAGGGACTGAGCAAAAACGCAACTGATGGTGCATTCGCCCTGCTGCCGCATCTTCTCTCTCGGTTACCTCTTGTACTGGACAAAAGCGGAACTTGTTCTTCCAGGCGATGAGCGGGCAGCCTTCCAACGAGCAATCTGGCACCACCACCACTGCTGCTGCTGCTGTTGCTGCAACTGCAAGTGCTGCTGTCCGTGCTGCTGGTGCAGGACAATAGGTGCTGGCGTACGGGTGATGGAAGAGAGGAGAGCAGAGAAGAGGAGAGGGCAGAAGAGGAGGGATTTGAGAGCCGAGCAGAGGGGCATGAACATCTGGCAACAGAGTAGCAAAGACACATGGGCACCTTAGCAGAGGCTGAGCATGTGAAAGAGCACTGACACGCCAGAATAGATGACAGATGGCAGTTGGAAAGGGGACTGAGACAAGACGCAACGGAGAATGCATTCGACCTGCTGCTGCATCCTCACTCTTGGTTACCTCTTGTCTTGGAGAAGCAAGCAACGAATGTTGTCCCCACCGACGCACTCCGCTCCACGGCTCGGAGCCTGAGAGACACACTCACATGCACGCACACGCACACAAGGACAGGCGCCGCCCTCCTCTCACCACCCCCCCCCCCTCCCCCTCCCACCCTCTCCCCTCCTTTCCACCCCTCCCCTCCCCCTTCCTCACAATCATGGGGAGAGAACACACACACACAGAAGCGGCGCATCAAGGGAGGATTAGGAGCAACAGGAGAGGAGGCGAGCGGAAGAAACAAGAACAAGAGACACGACTATTGCCTCTGCGCGGCGACTCACTTCACGGCCCCCTTGCAAGCACCCCCTGGCACGTACCACACTCCGTCCGTTGCTCTCCCACTGCTGCACCACGAGCAATCCACCACACTCTGGAGCTTGCAGGCTGAGAGGCACACTCAGAGGCATGCACACACGCACACGCACACATGCATACCCCCATCCCCCTTCCCGCCTTCCTCCCACACACACATGCACAGTCCATGTCCACTCTCTGCCATTCCCGTCCGTCTCACAGGCCGTGAGGCACACACGCGCATGGGGAGAGAGAGACATCCACACAGACGAGGCACAACAAGGGAGGGTCAGAAGCAGCAGGAGGCGAGTGGCGGAAGCAAGGGCAATAGACATGACTCTTGCCTCTGCGCGGCGACGCCCTACGACTCACTTCACGGCCCCCCTGCAAGCACCCCCTGGCACGTACCACTTCTCCTCCTTGGCAGAGCCTGCAGCTCCTGCGCCACGCATTCGCCCCAATCAGCACAGCACCCTGCTGATACCTGCAATAACAAGGGAGTGTGGCTTGTGAGTTGGGCCAAAAGCAACCTGGCAAGAGTTCAGAGGACGAAGCAACCTTGCAATACAAGTGATGAGCGCTTGGCATCACAAAAAACAAAGCGTTCGGAGGAGAAAATACTTGGCTGGAAAGTACAGGCGCTGTTGCTACTGCTGCTTCAAGTCACCAGCGCTGCTGCATTCACCAACGTTGCTGCTGTGTCTCGGGCAGGAACGAGACCCGCACACTTGTCACTTCCCCTCCACTCCCTGCCATTTCCCATCTCACAAGCCATGAGACACACACACACATACACAGAGACGCACGCAGACAGAAACAGTGGAAAAGGGGAGGGTTAGAAGCAGCAGGAGAGGAGGCGAGTGGCGGAGGCAAACGCAAGAGACACGACTCTTGCCTCTGCGCGGCGACTCACTTCACTGCCCCCCCGCAAGCACCCCTCCGTGCACGTACCACACTCCGTCCCCGCTATGCCACTCCTGCGCCGCGCCTTCACTTGAGGCGTGCTGCTCCAGGCTGCCTCTCGTGCGAGCCAGCAACGGCAGCCCCGTCCATTCCCCGTCCACTCGCTGCCACTCCCGTCCGCCTCGCAGGTCGTGAGGCACACACACGCACACGCATGGGGAGAGAGACAGCCACACAGAAGTGGTGCAGCAAGGGAGGGTTAGAAGAAGCAGCAGCAGGAGGCGAGTGGTGGAGGCAAGGGCGACAGACACGACTGTTGCCTCTGCGTGGCGACACGCTACGACTCACTTCACTGCCCCCCCGCAAGCACCCCCTGGCACGTACCACCTCCGTGCGCCGCTGTGCGGCTGCTGCGCCGCGCTTTTACTTGGGCCCACCCGACCCCACGCAGCGGCCTGCTGCTGCCCGTGCTCCCGGTTGATGGGTTGCTGCTGCTGCTGCCGTTGCTCTCGTGGCGACCACCAGTGCGTCGCTGCAGAGAAGAGGAGAGCACAGGCGAGGAGGGGGTTGAGAGCTGACAAGAGAGGCATCAACACATGGCAGCACAGCTGCAAAGTCTCTCAAGGGCTCTACGGAAAATGGTAGGCAAGACAGAACGGTACAAGGGAAGCAGGAAGATGGTGAAGAGAGAAGCGGTATACTGCTTGATCTGATTCACTCACCACTTGTTGTGTGCTTGCTTGCCATGATCCAGCCGTTGCTGCAGCCACTGGTGATCCCTGAGTCACGCCAGCCAGTGCGCCCTTGAGTGCTGGAGAGAGGGGGAGAAGGATGGCGCGGAGGCGGACAAGAGGCGTGAGCAAGGAGAGGAGAAGCGAGTGTGCGAGAGGGTGAGGATGTGAAAGAGCGCCGACAGGACTGAAGAGATGGCAGAGGAAGCTGGAGAAGGGAGTGAGGAAAAACGCAACTGATGGTGCATTCGTCCTGCTGCCGCATCTTCTCTCTCGGTTACCTCTTGTGCTGGACAGAAGCGGAGCTTGTTCTTCCGGGCAATGAGCAGGCAGCCTTCCAAAGAGCAATCTGGCACACACTCAAGGGCTTGCAGGCGGACAGGCACACTCCCAGTCACAAGGAAGGCCCGTCCATTCCCCCTCCACTCCATGCCATTTCCCTCCGCCTCGCAGGCCGTCAGGCACACACACGCACACGCATGGGTAGAGAGACAGCCGCACAGAAGTGGAGCAGCAAGGGAGGGTTAGAAGAAGAAGCAGCGGGAGGCGAGTGGAGAAGGCAAGGGCAACAGACACGACTCTTGCCTCTGCTCGGCGACACCCTACGACTCACTTCACTTCCCCCTGCAAGCACCCCCTGGCACGTACCATGCTCCGTCCGCCGCTCTGCCACTCCTGCGCCACGCCTTCACTTGAGGCGTGCTGCTCCAGGCTGCCTCTCGTGCGAGCCAGCAACGGTAGGCCCGTCCATTCCCCGTCCACTCGCTGCCACTCCCGTCCGCCTCGCAGGCCGTGAGGCACACACACGCATGGGGAGAGAGACAGCAACACAGGAGCGGCACAAGAAAGGAGAGATAGAAGCAGCAGGAGGCGAGTGGTGGAGGCTAGGGCAACAGACACGACTGTTGCCTCTGCGCGGCGACGCCCTACGACTTACTACATTGCCCCCCTACGAGCAACCCCTGGCACGTACCATGCTCCGTCCGCCGCTCTGCCACTCCTGCGCCACGCCTTCAGTGTGCTGCTCCAGGCTGCCTCTCGTGCGAGCCAGCAACGGCAGCCCCGTCCATTCCCCGTCCACTCGCTGCCACTCCCGTCCGCCTCGCAGGCCGTGAGGCACACACACACACACGCATGGGGAGAGAGACAGCAACACAGGAGCGGCACAAGAAAGGAGAGTTAGAAGCAGCAGGAGGCGAGTGGTGGAGGCTAGGGCAACAGACACGACTGTTGCCTCTTCGCGGCGACGCCCTACGACTCACTACATTGCCCCCCCTACAAGCAACCCTTGGCACGTACCATGCTCCGTCCGCCGCTCTTCCACTCCTGCGCCACGCCTTCACTTGACGCGTGCTGCTCCAGGGTGCCTCTCGTGCGAGCCAGCAACGGAAGCCCCGTCCACTCGCTGCCACTCCCGTCCGCCTCGCAGGCCGTGAGGCACACACACGCATGGGGAGAGAGACAGCAACACAGGAGCGGCACAAGAAGGGATGGTTAGAAGCAGCAGGAAACGAGTGGTGGAGGCAAGGGCGACAGACACGACTGTTGCCTCTGCGCGGCGACGCCCTACGACTCACTACACTCCCCCCCTGCAAGCTTCCCCCCTGCATGGCACGTACCATGCTCCATACTCCGCGCTTCCACCCCTGGGCCACGCCTTCGCCCCACGCAGCGCCCTGCTGGTGCCCGTGCTCCAGGTTGATCGGTTGCCGCTGCTGCCGTTGCTGCCGCTGCTGCTGCTGCTGCCGCTGCTGCTGCTGCTGCTGCAGTCGTTGCTCTCGTCACGACCACCATTGCGTCGTTGCCTCTGACGCTCCATCGAAACAAACTGATACATCACGGCCACTCTTGCGCATTCTTGGAGGTCATGAGGCCGACACACGTGTGCATGCCATCACAGGGACAGGAACAAGAAACAGGTGGTTAGTTGAGGTAGGAACGGCAAGGCGAGCTAAAGGCAAGGAAAGCCAGACTGGGACTGCTTAGCCCCCTCAAGTCTGCTCGCCCGTTAAGAAGCTCTTCCCATCGCACTTACAAGGTCATGCTCTGTCTGCATCCTCGCAGCGGTGCTTTGATGGCGGAAACAACATCTCCGTCGCAGCGACGTCGCTTTGACCGTAGAATACAAGCGACTTCGCGTTGACGACGGAAACAGCAGCAACGCCGCTCTGCCGTTGAACGGCAACAACGTCGGGTTCACAGCGCACAGCAGGGACGTCGCAGCGACGTTGCATTGACGGCGAATTCAGCAGGGGAATTTCTTGGACGCCGGGAACAGCATCACGAACATGTCTATATGGTAGGAACAGCAGCGAGGTCGCTTTGTCGGCGGGGGTCGGCGTCGACGCGTAAGGCAGCGATGACGATGCGATTCTGGCAGATGCAGCGTCTAAAGCAGCGACGACGGTTCTTTTCTGGCAGAGATAACGGCCACGTCCTACGAGAACAGCAGCGACGACGACACACAGCAATGTCGCAACGGCGGTTGTCGCACCGATGGCGTCGCCTAGGCGAGCAATTGGAACGCTGTCGGACAAGAATCTAGTTTCCGCCTTAACTTGGGATCATATCCAAATCAACAAAAGTACGACCCCCTCCGTCTGAACAAGCAACTTAACGTTGTATCCCGCTGAACTTAGAATCAGATCCGTCGTAACTGACTAGGATACCTTCCTGTCTAGGCACCATCTTAACTACATCTGGCCTAATTTGGCAATCATAGCTAACGGTGGCTCCTAATGTTCTATGAGCAGACTCAACTTTAATGCAGGTACGTGAGAGTTCTAGAGGCTGGTGCGATCAGTAGCTCACTTAGTTGGCTAGTGTGACAAGCAGCTCACTAATTGAGGAGGTAGGAAAAAGGCAGGCCTGAAAGGTAGTGCAAGTGGAGCTAAGGAAGGGATGATTGGAGGTGAGGAGAACCTTGGGGTGATCCTGCGTGTGGAGAAACCAAGGTGACGTCCCTTCCCCCGTCAATGCTCAACTGGAAGGCGGGAGAGCGGCTGATATCTGACAACTTTCGTTCCATGCCAATTTGATTCCTGGCCTGTGAAACAGAGCCAAGCCATGCGAGCAAGCAGAAGCCCAAAAGGGTGAGGTTCGGATAATTAGAGCGAAGGCAGGGACTGGTTGGCCGAAGCAGTTGCCGTGTCAGTCAGAGTGGTAGTTTGAAATTATCGGAGGGAATTGGAGGCTCGGGTCGACATCGGACGAGGTTCGGACAGAACATCAGCCCAAAACTTAATCCGCAACAAGCAGCCTACGAGCCTACACAAGCACTCTGCAACTAGTATTCCTGGTTCATCATATGAATGGACCATTGAAAGTTCAGATGTGTAATAAAAAAACACTATGTTATAAATTTGTTTTGTTCAGCTCTCATCATTATGGCAAGGTATCAAACACTCATACGGTACAGCTATCAAAGTGACCCACAGAGTGCAAGGTCGGCACAGATTACTCACATCCCATTGTCCCAGCTATCATCTTCACAAACTAGGTACCGTACTTGGAAAGGTGAGATAGGTACCGGTATGCTATTTATTCTCATTACATTTGTCCGCTGGGAAATTGCATGGTTGTGCATCAAATATAACTGAGCTGGAATCTAAATGCATGCAAAATACCATAAGATGGGAAGGGGGACATGGAAGGGGGAGTTGGGAGGGGAACGCGGAGGGGGAAAGCTTCTGGAATTTGCGCGGAGGTTCGATGTAGAATTGGCTCATCATAATTGGTATTATCCCATTTGACGAATGGATTCAGAGGTTCTCCCCCCCAGTGTTTCAAGGTGGCTTCAGGAGTGTGAAAGTCACATCAAAAGGTGGCTTCAGGACAGCTTCTCACTTCGTGTGTCCCTTCCTGCTAACCTTGTTTCCGGATGGAATTTTGGCTGCTTGGCTGGTTGGTAAATGTTGGAGATGTTGCTGTTACAGCAGTGCAGTACCTAACCATGCAACTTACAACTCTGATTACAAACATGCACCTATCCAACACAAGGTGTTAAGTCGCACAAGTGTACCAAACAAAAAGCGGTCGGCATTTACAGGCGATTTCTAGTTATACCAGAAAACGTCTGATCTTACCAGCCGCAGCACAAGAACAGCTGCTTCTTGTGAGGATTTTTCTCTGCAGTAAGTGCCTTGCCACCAGCAAATCAACTGCTGCTACTTCAGCAGTTGCTGCCAGGACTCATCATGAGCGACAACTGATATTTGCTCTTCCTGCCATGCCAACACTGCTCCTCCTGCCACAATGCTCCATATGCCCCTGCCATGTTAAAACTGACATCACCATGTTGGTATTATCGCCACGTGCGGTGACAGATCACTGCACCCACTGCTGCTGAACGCACCGCACTGATACCCCTGCACAGCACTGCATTAACTGCCATCGCCCGGCCGTCACCCATGGCACCACACTACCAGCTTCTGCACTGCTGCTCAGAGCGTTGCTGCTTGCACCGCCGCCGCACCATGCCTTGCGAGCCAAGTGACTGACAACGCACGGTCGCTCCCAACTGGGATTAACAGAGAAGAGACGAACCCGAGCGGGTGCACATCACTTATGCAGCACTCTTCATTTGCTTACACGCCCGATAAGCACCCAACCGTCTGATGCAGCATGACCGCTGGACTCCCAGAATCCCAGAGGAGGAGGTAGGCAGTGCGGGTAACAGCAGATGGTGAAAAGAGTGACAGGCAGTGACAGGCAGTGCGAGGCGGTGAGAGGCGGTCTAGTCAAAGAAGTAGGGTGCCTGCAGCACGTTGTTGAGGTCGAACTGGCCGCGGCGCGGCACATTGGGGAAGTCCAGGTGCGGGTACTTCTCCCTGAACTCCTCCAGCAACTGGTGTTGTGATCAGAACATGTGGGGGAGGAGGGAGAGTGTGGTAGCGTTATTATTGATTGTCGACTCAAAATTGCCACATTGGGGAAGTCCAGGTGCGGGTACTTCTCCCTGAACTCCTCCAATAGCTGGTGATAACCACACATGTGGTGGAGAGTGGGGGATGTGGGGAGCGTCGAAAGGATTGGGAAGGATTAGGAAGGGGTGAAAGAATCAGAGGAAGGGACGAGGGAGCGGCAGGAAGTGAGAGACATTGAGTGTCTGTGTGTGCATGCACGTGGTGTGGTTGAAAGACGGAGAATGACAGAGAGCTATTGAACATGCACGTGATCACAACAGGCACAGCGGCAGCGAGGCAGGGAGGCAGGGGGGCAGGGGGGCAGGGGGGTACTGACGTTCTCGAGCAGGGGTTGGGAGTGCAGAGCCACGAACTGCTTCCTGAGGATCTCATTCATGCGCTCCACACTCGCCGCATGCGTCCAGTACGAGTCATGCACGCCTGTCATGCCACACATGAAGCAGGGGGGAGTGGGCGGGGCCGGCCGAGAGAAGCGGAGCGGGAAAGGGTAGGGCCGGGCGCGGAGATGAGCGGCAGGAGGAGCAGGGAGGAGCAGGGAGGAGCAGGGAGGAGCAGGGAGGAGCAGGGAGGAGCAGGGAGGAGCAGGGAGGAGCAGGGAGGAGCAGGGAGGAGCAGGGACGGGAAAGGAGGGGCAAGGAGGTGTTAGTGTATTTCCAAGTTTGTTCTCGTTTGAAGAAGCTCGCGCAAGTAAGCAGGAGAATACAGGAAGCGGCAGGCAGACGGGCATGTAGGAGGAAGGCGGGCAAGGGGAGAGACAGACCAGCGAATATGATGCGGCGGTTGTAGCAGGCCATGGCAGTCATCATCATGTGCGTGGAGTCCAGTGAATGCACGAAGTTGGGCGGGAACGCTGACTTCTGCCGCTGCCCCACCACCTGTAGGTGCAGTGGAGCGATGGGGGTGTGCATGCATGCATGCATGGATGGGTGGGTGGGTGGGTGGAGCGGCAACTCAGGTCACAGAAACTGTGGCAAATATTCTTGCATCCCTCCCTATCACATCTCGCCGTACCCTCTCAAATATTCTTACACAAAAATAATAAAAAAGGAAGACATAACAATATGGAGTCTAACGCGGTGAAAATAAAGATCCGAGACTGAAGAGGCGAGAGCAAAGGGACGAGGCTCACGTCGCGGCGCATGCGGTCGTCGATGAGCGTGAATGACTGCAGCGCGGTCCTGACGACCTTGCGGCCCTCCTTGCGGTACGGCTGCACCACCGGCAGCCCCAGCGGCGTGCTCCAACTCACACTCTCGTTCTCCGCTGCTATCAGCTGTGCGGAGCAGATGAGGAGTGGAGCAGAAGGAGCGGGGAGAAGCGAGAAGGAGAGAAGAGGGGCATGAGTTGAGATTGCTAGACACGGGAGTTGGTCGGTTCCATGAGAGAGCGCGGACAGGGAGGGAGGAGTAGGACGGGGTAGAGCAGGTGTGACAGCGCTACTGGCGAGTTGGTTTTCCAAGAACCAGCTACTTGCATGGAAAGCGGCATGGAAAAACATATGGTAATGGATGGCATGGCGGAGAGGGAGAGGCATGACCTGAGCGCATTTGCCAAGCCATGCCATGATCTGTCGGGCTGAGTCAAACATCTGATCCATGGCTGCTAGTGTCACCTGTGACAGCCGCCACACACACACACACATGCACACACGCATACTCACGCACCCACAGTCACGTACACATACGCACCCGAACAAGCACACGTGCACAGAACAACAGGAAGGGGGAGGGAGGGGGCAGGGGAGGAAGGGGGGAAAGGTAATCAGCCCGTAGGTTGAGAATACCTGGCAGGTACGTGCAACAGCAATGCAACCAGTGGATCAGCCAGCACGAAATGAGCACGTGCCTTGGAGCTATCACAACACACAACCGCCCCCAACCACACAAAATGATTTGATATTACCCAACACAACCATCCCACCAGCACCACACCATTCACCCTACCACACCCACACCCCACCACCACATCCCACAACCATACCCCACCTTGGCAGCATAAGCCGGCGTGGAGTAGAGCTGGTGGTCATCGTCCGTGAGTGACCGCTCCTTGATGCGGTTCAGTTCGAGAAGCAAAGGCACCACTCACCACCCCAGCACCACAACCCAGCAGCGTCTCACTCACCTTGGCAGCATACGCCGAGGCGGAGTAGAGCTGGTGGTCGTCATCCGTGAGCGAGCGCTCCTTGATGCGGTTCATGATCTGCGTGCGCGCGCCCACAAAGGTCACCCCGTACACGGACGTCATGACCGTCTGCTTCACCAGCTTGCGGTCCACCTGCCCCGCCAGGAACCGCGCGTGCACGCCGCGCCTCCTCGCCTCCGCATCCACGCCGCTGCTGCCGTCGCGATCATCCAATACGTCACTACTTCTGCTGCTGCTGCTGCTGCTGCTGCTGCTGCTGCTGCTCGTGCTTCGGTTGCTGTCTCGCCTAGACTTGTCACCTGCTAGTCTGAGCGCATCGGAGCTGCTGCTGCTGCTGCTTGCATCGTCTTGGTCGTCGTCGCTCGAGAGTAAAGTCGCAGCAGGGTCGCTCCCACTGCCCCACTCCTCCTCGTCTGCTCTACACAAGTCACCACCACCGCTGCTGCTGCTGCCGCTGCTGCCGCTGCTGCTGTCGCTACCTGCCACCAATCCATCACCAAGAATGGCATCAAGAGCAGCAATGTCCGCAGCCGAGATAGCATCCCCATCGCCCCGCATCGCCTCACCTCCCTCCCTCCCCTCCCCCGCATCACTGCTGCATGTCGCAGCATCTGCCACCGCATCTGCCCCCTCCCCAAAACGCCCCCCCTTCCCCTTGCTGCCACGCTGACTTGGCTGCTGACTGGGACTGCGCGTCGGCGTCGGCCCGTGACTGCTTGCCTCGTCACCCTGCATCACCTCCTTCACCAGCTCAGCGATGCCCGTGTACACGTCAGCAGGCCGCTCGTTGCTCACCATGTTCACCGACCGTGCTCCCTCCTGCCAGATGGGTGGAGATAGCAGGTGAGGATAGGCGTGGTTAAGGGTAATAATTGGGAGGAGGGGTTGGGGAAAGGGGTTGGAGGAAAGGACAAGAGAGGGATGATGGAGTGGTTGACTGAAGGGGATTGGATTGCACGGAGACTGAAAGCAGGCGTGAGCATGGAATTAAGGGAGAGGGCATGACCACAAGCCTGAACCACTCAACACAACTTCCTCCACCCCACACACCAAACCACTCATAACATCTCCCCTTCCACAACACACACAAGCACACACTCACCACATCCCGGCCGAGCGCCGCGTAATGCTGCAGCCCATTGCACGACCCATCTTGATGCACGGGCAGGCTCGACACAAACTTCTCCGGGCACCCCGAGTCCACCGCGCTAACAATCTCAATGCACGCAGCCAGGCACTGGAACGGGTCCTCCGCCTGCATCCACCACCCGCCCTCCTCCCCCAACGGATCCTCCGCCGACGCTCTCACCCTCTCCATCCGCTCATCCACGTATCTCACTCTCTCGTCGAAGCTCAGCTTGTCCGCGCCGCTCCCGACGAGGTTCGCGAGGTGGATTTTGAGCCAGCGGAGACCGGAGGGGCCGAGGGGTTTGCCGTCGGCGAAGCGGAGGAGGCCGCGGCAGTGGTCGGCGCCGAGATGGTTGAGGTGCGGGTGCATGGGGTAGGCGCGGCCGCGGAAGTCCAGGTTGTGTGGGTAGTAGAAGCGCGGCTCCGATGCATACTGCCTTGCCACCTGCGTGGAGAATAAGGGGGATGGAGGAGAGCGGAGGTAGCGGAAGAAGGGGAAAAGATAGAGTTGGGGCAGCAGGAGGGGAGAGGGACGGAGGAGGAAGAGGGGGGGAGGAGGGCAGCAGGGGGGAAGTTCAGAGATTCAAGACGAGTTGACGTCTGAAATTCTGGGTTTCACGACAAGTTTTGAGTCGCGGTTCGAGGCGTGTCAGAGCCAGCAGCGCACGCACCTCGAGCTTGAGGCGGAGGTCCTGGCGCATGGAGTGGTGCATGGGGTGGCGTGGCGCTCCATGTTCTCCCTCTCAAGGCGGGGCTCACATCTAGCGTGTTCTGAGAAATCTTACAAGATGAGAGACTCTAATACTCACCTCGAGCTTGAGGCGGAGGTCCTGGCGCATGGAGTGGCGCTCCATGTTCTCCTTCTCAAGGCGCCTCACATCCTGCCTGATTTGAGAATTCTCACAAGAGAAGAGACTCCAGCAGCGCAGCTTACCTCGAGCTTGAGCCTGAGGTCCTGGCGCATGGAGTGGCGCTCCATGTTCTCCTTCACCGCCTTCTTCCTCGCCCGCCGCCACACCTTCCTCTCCTCCTCCGTCGCTCCCTCCCCTGGCTCCTCCGGTACCGGCACCTGCCAGGGGGGAGGGAGACGGCAGGGGGAGAGACGGGCAGGAGATGGGAAGGATGGGGGGGAAAGGGGGGATGGGGGGGAGAGGGGGACAAGGTCAGGGAGGGACGGAGGGGGAAAGTGTGACAAGGATGGGAAGAAGCAACAAGGACTCGGATAGGAAAGGGTAAAACATCAAAAGGCAAGGGAAGGGGGAGGAAAGAAAAGGAAAAGCGAGGGGCGATGCGCGTACATCATCTCTCTCAACGAGACCCGCCTTGCCCCCGCCGTCAAGCCAGATCTTCTCCAGCACCCCCAGCACCCTCTCGTTGATGCGCCACGGCGTGGACCCCAGCACGTTCAACGCCTGATGTGGCGGGCACAGGCACACGGAGGGAGGGAGGGAGGGGGGGGAGATGAGGAGGGGGTGGGGATGGATCGGGAGGGGCGTGTGAACGAGAAGGACGGGGAGGGGAGGGGAGGGGAAGGTGGGAGGGGAGATGAGAAGAGAGGAGAATGTAGAATGTGGGCGAAACAGCACGACAGTCAAGCCAGAAAGCGGAACAGGTATCTTGCAGCGAGTGGGGTAATGCAGGGCAGGGCATGAGAGAGTCACAGAGCACGTGAGGCGGCTTACCCGGAAGACTCGGCGCAGTCTGGCAGGCTCGGTGCGCTGAAGCACGTTGCGCTGCTCTGGGTTGCCAAAGACGCGCATTATGTTGTTGGGCAGGAAGAGATACCCGCCCCAGTTGTACCTGCACGGGACTCAGAACAGACAGAAAGAATGAGAACAGACAGAGAGGATGCAGGGGACACAGGAGGGAGAGAGGGCGGAGGGAATAGCAGGGGAGGGCAGGGCAGAGGGAATAGGCATGGGGGCAGAACGCTGAAAGGGACACTGGGATGAGCAAGTGCAAAGAACGTGCATGTCAGCGGACTTCCTCCCTCCCCTTTCTGCTAAGTATCAGCCTCACATCCTCTTCCCAAGTCCCCGTCCTCCCAACAACACGAGCAACAGCAACAGCAATGGCAAGAGCAACAGCGACAGTAGTGGGAAGGGCAACAGCGACAGCAACAGCAGTGGGAAGGGCAACAGCGACAGCAACAGCAGTGGGAAGGGCAACAGCGACAGCAACAGCAGTGGGAAGGGCAACAGCAACGATGGAGTCACCTACCTGCGCCATTCTCGCGGCGGCACAAGCATGGGCATGTAGGGCATGTAGGGCACGTGCTGCAATGCCTGCACCAGAAACATGCGAAGGCAGAACGGCAGAGAAACAGAATGAGAGATCGAATGGGAGAGAGACAGAGATAGAGATAGAGGCAGGCGGGGTTCAAGACAAGGATGGAAGTGTGCACACATAGACACGGCCCTCTCATCATTGCTGCACACACATTAAGGTGAGGTCCAGTGTGCTGTTCTAAGGTAGGGCATGGCATGGCATGGCATGGCACGGCACAGCATGGCATCTTACGAAGTTATCGAGGATGTCACTGAGCTCTGTGGCGCATGCAACCACTCCATACCGCTGATGCGCCCTGACCATGTGCAGCACGACACACAGGTGGTGGGTGGGTGGGTACGAGAGTGATGGAGGATGGCACGAGGCGAGATAGGATGGGATGGGATGGGATGGGATGGGATGGGATGGGATGGGATGGGATGGGATGGGATGGGATGGGATGGGATGGGATGGGATGGGATGGGATGGGATGGGATGGGATGGGATGTGATGGGATGGGATGAGATGTGATGGGATGTGATGAATTGCGGACCGACAAGTGGAAGGAAAACAAAGAGGGAGAGGAAAGTGCATCAAGATAAAAGGGAAACAAGGCGGCAGGCATGACAGGCAGGCAGGTAATGGTGGTGGTGAGCTGACTGAGTCGCGTGGAATTGCAGGGCATGCCAGCACTCACCCGCCAGTGCCCAGTTTGACTCGATCCATCACAAACGCCGGCACAAACTCCTCCTCTGCCGCACCCCCCTCCGCCCCACCATTCTTCCCCTCAGTCACACCCTCGCCTTTTTTCTTTCCCTTCGCTGCTCCCTCCTCCAGACCACTCTCCCCTTCCCCGCCCCCCTTCTTCTTCCCCGTCAGCATCGACTGGGGAACATGCGCGGACTGCAGCAGCAGCTGGATGAGGCACGACCCCACCTGCACATAATGCTCCGTGCTCCACGGCTCCTGAGCCTGCGCTACAGCCGCCGCTACAAGCCGCTTCTTCTGCCACTCCGACAGCTGGCTCTCCTTCCTCAGCTTCCGCAGCACGTCCCTCTGCTGCGCCATGCGCTCCATATCCACCTCCGCCTCCCCCGCCCCCGTCTCCCCCGCCCCCGCCTCCCCCGCGCCCCCTCCCCCTTTCCCCGCTTTCCCCTTCCCCTTCGCCTTCACCCCCGCGCCCTCCGCAACTGCTTCTCCCGCTGCTTCCCCACCTGCTCCTCCTCCCCCGTCCCCCGCGTCCCGCGCAGCTGCCTCCGCCTGCTCCGCGTCTCTAGCAGCCTGCTGGCGCTGCTTCTTCTTGAGAACCCGCATGCTCCTTCTTACCTCCTCCTGCACGCGCGCCAAATTCATCTCCACCTCTACCGCCTTCCCAATCTGCGTCGCCAGAGACACAGCCTTCGCAAACGACTTATGCCCTTTCTCCGTCTCGCCCCGCACCCCGCCCCCGCCGCCCCCGCCCCCGCCCCCGCCCGCGCCCCCGCCGAACCCGCCCTGGCGCTGCCCCTGCGCGCCATCCCTGCCACGCGCCATGCGCACCTGCTCTGATAGAAGCAGGTCCACGGTGCGGTTCAGGGTGATGGCTGCGAGCTTCTCCGCGTCTACCTTCACCAGAAAGTCCCCAAACACCTGCAGCGCGCGGTCCGCGCTCGTCAGCTGACCAACCCCCCTTCCCCCCCCGCTACTCTTCCCGCTGCCGCCACTGGCGGTGCTTCTGCTGCTGCTGGACGGCGCGCGCTCCCCCCCGGTCTCATAGCGCGCGCGCTCCTCCAGCACGGCGGTCTTGAGGCGCGCGAACCACTGCGACATGAGCTGCTTCCCCATGCCCGTGCGCGGACCCATGCGCTTCTTCATCATCTCCTGCTGCTCCCGCCGGTACTCGTCCGCGGCCTTCTTGAACGCCTCTACTTCCCGCTGCCGCTGCCGCTCCTCGTCCTCCGCGCGGACCTTCAGCTTGCTGCGCCGCTCCTCCACCTCCTCCAGCGCCACGCGCATCAGCTCCGCCACCCGCGCGCGCCACAGCGCCTCTTCCGCCACCGGCATTCCCCCCCGCCCGTCCCCGCGCTCCAGCGCCTCGTGCGCGCTCGCGGCAGCTGCGCCGCCAGCGGCGGAAGACACCCCCGCCGCTGAGGGAGCGGCGGAAAGAATCCCGCCAAGTGCGGAATCTGTGTAGTGCCGTTGCTGCGCCAGCTGCACCTGCTGCTGCCGCTGCCGTTGCTGCTGCTGCTGTCTCCGCTGCTCCTTTCCGCCGACCAATCCCTGCCTCAATGCACCATCCGCACCCTCCCCACCTGCCTCCCTTCCTCGTCCCCGAACCCCTGAACCCAATCCCCTACCGCTGGAACTCGGCTCGGCGCGCTGCGGATCTGAGAATCTTTCCGCCACCAGTTTTTCCCAGTTGGTGCTGCTGAAATCGCCCCTAGTGCTCTCGGATAAACCCTCCTTCAGGTTGCTGCTGCTCTGACCCTGAGCGCTCTGTATTTGGCCCAATCGAAACGATCCACGTCGGATGGGGTCCAGATCTAACGTCCACATAGGCTCCGTATCCTCCGCTACTGCCTGTCCTCCTACGTTCGCCTTCGCTCCTACTTCCGCCGCTTCTCCCCATGCAACTGATCCCGCCTCTGCGCCTAAAGCTGCGCTTTCCGCTGCGCCTACTTCCGCCTCTACGCTAGACACCTCTGAAACCGGCTGCGGGAAGCCTGCAGGCGCGGCTGTTCCCGAAATGCCCCTGCCGCGCGCATTCCCTTCCCCCACCTGCCCAATACCGCTCCCCCCAAGCCTGCGCAAGACGTCCTCTCGCCCCCCGCTTCCGCCCGTCGCGGGTGCAACCCCCCCGCCCCTAGTGAGCGCCAGTGACCAAGGTCCGGCGCTCGGATCCTGCCTTGGCCCGTTGACCGCGTTGACCGAGGCTCCACTGGTGGCAGCGTCCGGTGCCGTCACCCACGTGTCGATGACGTGGAAGACGGAGGTGGGGCAGACGGCAGCGAGCAGTTGCCGACAGGGCAGGGCCATGCTGGTGGCTAGCACCGCTGCAGGCGCCGATTTCGTCGCCGCTGCCGCCGCCGCCGCCGCCGCTGTCGCTGCCGCAGAGGCGTTCCTAAGATGCGATCTATCGGAGGGGAATAAATGCTGCGAGATGCTGGGATCTATCAACGCAGGCGGCGGCGCGGCGGAGGAGGCGGCGGAAGGGGAAGAGGAAGGCGCCGGAGACGGGGAGGAGACCGAGGGAACGGCGCCCGTGTGCACATGCTGACGTGGCATATCTCGCACGTGTGGAGCATGCGATGCGTGTCGGGATGACGTGGACGGTCGAATGGGGCCTACTGGGGGAGCTTCGACGGTATTCAGGGTTTTAGAGATATCGAATCTTTGTGAAAATGACAGGCTGGGAGGAATCTCATCTCTTTGGCGGCGTTGTCGGGAAGCAAGAGGGGAAGTGGGTCGATAAGAACGAGAGCCTCGGGACCTAAGGGCACGAGATCCAGAGTGAGAGGGATAGAAGGCGGAACGGGAAGGGTGCAAGTGGGAGATCCCAGCTCCCCATCCCGTGGCTGGACTCGAGAGAAGAGCGGAGACTGCGTGCGATGAGCGACTCGTAATTGGAACCGCCAGATCCGCCGCGTTTGGCGCACCGGACGACACGCGGCTGGCGAGATCACAGCCGCCGCGCAACAACCCACCCTCCGCACCTTCGCAGCTCCGCACTGCGGCGCCGCTGTCAACCCTGGTGGCAAAGGCGGCGCTGCTTGCGGCGGAACTGGCTGCGCCATCCGCGGAAGTCAAGGAGGCGCTCTGCCGCGCGGGCGAAGCTTCCCAGAAGCTCTGCAGCTGTCCGGCCTGCCGCCGCACAGAGTTCTTTCCTCTGTGAAGCGTGGCGCTTGCCGTGGACGCGAACGGACCCCGCCACATGGCCGCACGCGCTGAGATGAGATATTAACACGCTACCGAACAAGGCATACGAAACATGGAAAACAACGCGCGTTCAGACCTGACGTTCTAGGAAATTACTACTACGCCGCGAGCTGCTGATGGTGGCTGGGCTGTGGGAAGATGATGAGCCTGGCGCTAAGTTGCTATGGAAAGGGAGATAAACTACGTATGCGTGTGGAGTGGACAAAGGATGGAACGGAATGTGCGTTTTAGACGATGTGCCAATAATGAGGGACGCTGTGTAGGAAGGATTGCAGCACAGCGATGGCCCAATCAGAGACGTCGCAAATCTACCAGTTTTGTCTTGTACAGTCTACAGCGAAGGGTCATTGCACATTCTGCGACTGTTTGCCCTCCAAGTTGATTCGCGGTGAACGACGCGGCAGGCTGTTGCTGGCGACGGAATGGCCTTGGATGTCGCGTGCTGCTTCTCAGCCACCACTTCCACGCGACAAGAAATTGCGTACCTGGCATAGCTTGATTGGTAGTAAGGCACTGTATTGGACGTGTTGCGAGCTTAGCTAAATGTCCCCAGAAACAACTGCGATATAATTAGCGAGGTTACCACGAGCGAAGATGCATCTGGGTGGTAAAGGTTTGACACTATAAGGGATGTTGAAACCAGCTCACCACCACCTCAAAATCCAAATTTAGGTACAACACAATTGAACATTCAAAAATCCTTTAGGAGGCATTAACAAATCTAACCCATCTATGGCGAGTCATTGACGTTTGGAACTAAAGGCATCAATACCGGAGGTTGATAGTTAGAGAGATGGCCTGGGAAGAGGAATCTCATGATGGGGGGGACAAGCACGCCAGTGCTAGGGAACTTGCACCAGCCGCCCCTTAAATTGCTCCATACACCTGCAGACATTCTCCTGATTACACATTCCATGCCATGTGCCACAGCACCCACACATCAACTCCTTGGCCCATAATGTGTCTCATGGAGCCCCAGCAGACATGACAGAGGTGGGCAGACCCTTGGCCTGCATGGTCTTGAGAGTGTTTGAAAGCCAGTCCAGTCCCTCATAGAGACCCTCGCCCTTGGGAGCACACGTGCCCTGGATGTGCCAGTAACGGTTCCGCAGCTGCTGCAGCCCCATCGTCTCACACACCTCCAATGGCGACAACGCGCCTTTCTGCCAAGGAGAGAGCAGGTGGGTGTTGTAGGAGGAGAGGAGGAGGATCAAACGGGATAGAAAGCAAGGGAATAGAAGAGCAGAAGGAAGCAAGTTGAGAGTGCAATCGAAGTGAAGCTGTAGAAGAGTGGGTTTGTGGCTGTGTGGAGGAACAAGCTGCAAATAGCACAGGAATGGAGAGGCAGACGGGGAGGAGGAGCAGCGCGGGGAGGCATTGGCATGCAGGTGCCGAGTGCACTGACCAGGTCTTGCTTGTTGGCGAAGACAAGGATGGCGCTGTTGCGCATGAGGGGATCGCTCACTATCGTCTGATGGGGGACAGGCAAGATAGGAGCGCATGGAGGACGGAGGGGAGAAAGAATGAGAGAGAACCAAGGAGAGGGGGGGAGAGAGAGGGGAGGGGGGGGGAGAGGGGGGCTACAGCATCGTACTGTAACTCGTGGAGTCCACTGAGATTTAGATCATTACCTTGTGGCAAGGGCGGGCTGTGGCACTCAGTGCATGGACGAGCACAGTGCAACACGCAGACTAAGCTGAGGTGGTCGACATCGACCAGCCTGTTAGTGCTTGTTACTTACTCCACATCGTAAGGGGGGCCCTGGGTTACCTTGGGGACCCCAGGCGGTAGGTAGCTAGACTTCCGCCGTACCTCACATGTGTGCATGTCACTCGTTGATACCAAGGAGCATTCGAGAAAAGAGGGAACCTCAACAAATTGGCTGGTTTAAGACAGGGGAGGTGTAGGATGACGTGGGAAGCGAGGGACATGCTGCCATAGAAAGACACAGAGTGTACATGCATACAAAAAACAGCAACGTTGCGTGTTGAGGTAGGCACGTCACCTGGAATTCACGAGCTGCTTGTTTCACTCGCTCTTTATCAAGAGAGTCCACCACATAGATCTGAGAGGGCGGGTACACAAACATCAAGGGGGGTAAAACAACCATGAAACACACCACACTCCGTCCGTCCTATGTCAAGCCACAAGCAGAACCCATGTGGCTGAAAAAAACTCCAGTAAAGCAGAACCGCCGCAGGGAACAGCAGCTGCCCCGTGGACTGCGCTTGCATCTAGTGCATGCACACCCACACCACAGACAGAAGCACCTGATCATCTGGTCGTCCGTTCATCATCTAACGCCGTTGTCCACCTACTCATCTGCCCCAGGGCACTGCACACACACTTATGAAAACAGAATGAACCACCCGTTGGCAGCGCACGTACCAGAGCGTCCGTATTGTTGAAGTAGTGGCGCCACAACGGCCGCAGCTTCTCCTGGCCTCCCACGTCCCACACCGTGAACTGCACGTTCTTGTACTGCACCTTCTCCACGTTGAACCCTGCCAATCCGCTCGCACACCAGCACACGCAAACACCATCAAGCACATGCGCGCACGCGCAGCACGGGACGGGGGGGGGGGGAGGAAAGGTGAGCGCACACGGTGAACTGCACGTTATTGTACTGCACCTTCTCCACGTTGAACCCTGCCGTGCACACCGTGCACACACCCCGCACACCATACACAACGCACACACAGTGCACAGACAGCACACCGTGCACCGCACACACCCCGCACACCGCACACACCACAGCACAGCACCTCGCAATTACCCATGAGGACACAAATCCTACGCTGTTTCAATGACGAATGCAAAACGTCGGAATTCCAGACGCCAGTAGACTCAGACACGACGTTAATTCTGTTTCTTTCCCTTTTCTTGCTGCTGCTTTTGCCCCACTCATGCTGGAGCAGGGGCGAATGGTGGCACTAACCGATGGTGGGGACAGTGGAGAGGATTTCGCCGATATGGAGCTTGTAGAGGATTGTCGTCTTGCCTGCTGCGTCCAACCCTAGCATGACAACCTGTGATAACGAGGAAGCGGAGAAATGTTTAGTGGGGGGAGGGAGCAAGGGAGGGACTGAAGGTGCAGGAATGGGGTGACTGGTCAGCAGTGACTTGTGAGCAAGCGTGCTTTTTAAACGACGAGTGAGGGCACAGAGAACACGAGAAGCATTAGGTCGATAAAACGGCGAAAACGAGCGGGTGGAAAGAAAGCAGAAACACGTACGCGCATTTCTCTGTTGCCGAAGATGGAATCGAACAGTTTCCTAAACGCCTGCCCCATGGTCGGCCCCTCCACACGAAGCTCCCGTACTTCGCGACGCGGAGCCTCGATACAACACAGAGCCTGAGAAACTGAGCTTGGGCGAAGTCATGTGGGGAAATAGTGGCAAGGTAAGGGCATCAAATTGTTAGAAACGTCGAATTGTCAAGTTATGTAGCGTCTTGCAAAAAGGGATCTCATTATGGCAGATCGGGTTCTGTAAGGTAGGAGGAGGCTCAACATGGCCAGAGCGTATGGCGTAACGAGTCTGAGGCGAAAAAAGAGGTCGATCAAGCCCCCGCTTACCGTTAAAGGATGAGTGTACTAGGTCGAAAGTTTTACGCACAGCTGATCGCGCCTAAAAGGCAAGTCTGGCTTGAGAACGAACCTACGCTTAGAACGGCCCTCTCAAGGATGAGGTGGTGCCAGCACTAAGTCTCCCTATACTACCACTACGTTTAGGACCACGTCGAGGCCATTAATCTCACAGCATCGTACGTACTACGAACCCATAGTGGACGGAACAGACCACCATTCGGATCGCACAGCGAGGCCACTAGCTAGATCCTGAGTCGTTCAGCACCACCAGACGCGATAAGGCAGCAACAAGGGATCCCAGAGGCACTCGAGAAATGACGACAGCCAGAAGGTACGAGTTCCACGAATGAATTCCGATCAAGGGTGTCCCTGGGATTACATTCTCCCGTCTCCTTCCGTCTTGGCTCTGCTCCTGTCCTATTCTCGTTTCCCCAAGGCCGCGAAACATTTGGAATCATGCGGGCTTTTCCGAATGAGGATAACAGAGACAAATGGGTAACAGGTGGTGCATTCTGGTTTTCTAACTTTGAACCCCATTTATCTGAGATGGTCCGGGCAAGAACGCACTCTCACGAAACAAGCCCACAACAGTTTGCTTGCTTGCACTGTGCAACAGAACCGACCAATACCATGGGCCCGTCGACGTGGCATTTCCGTTCTGACAGCTTCAATACGAACCGCCAGACAAAAGTTGAAACCAACGGTTCCTTGGAACACTGACGAAGACAACATCCGTTTTAAAGCTGGATCCCGCTTGAAGGTAAAGGGCCATCTGGTATTGTTACATTGCTCCAAACACTGGTAACACATACTAGAATCAAATTGTTTATCATTTATGAAGCTCAAGGCCACTGGTATTCCCTTATAGCCCCTATCAGAAACATCTATCCCCTCATCCTTTCCTTTTGAGGTTCTTGGACAGACACATGGATCATAATACCGTAGTCATTTTTAGGGTAATTCGTTTATCCAAGGGTGAAGGCATGGCTAGGTGGCGTATGCATTTGATTTGCAGCAAAGCAACTAGGTACCACATCTGCCACAACCACCAAAGTTCCTAAAAGTATGGGTTTGCTCACTAAGAGCCTGCTATACAATGTATATACCAAGGTAGCTTATGGAGGGGTAGCTTATCGAGCCTATTAATTTGGCAGGTTTCCAGTGAAACCCCCATTAGCTACCCCGAGTTCTGTGGCTTATCCGGGGTATCACGGTAAGTAAGAACTGCTGCGAATGCATGCTGGAAAATCTTTTGTTTTAGCCTTTCATTGAAAAGGGTGTTACCGGTATGTGGGTCTGTTGGATAACGCCTAAGAGAATGCCTAGTGGGGAGGTTGCAGAATTGTCTGCTAAGGATGCCACATTATTCCAGCCATAGCACAAGCAGTGAAGCCCTCAAGCACATGAATGATACTACGGCAGCAGATGTATAATATAACCTCTGAATCAAATTCCAAAGCTACAGCAGGAGCACAATCGAACTGATGACCATGCTAAGGGCTGAGATCCCGTGGATCACGGGAATCGTGGTTCCTGCATGCAAGGAAAAGCACAGAACACGCAAGCATATAAGACCAACGCATCATGAGCAAGAAATTGACGAACGCATACATCTAGCCCATCCCATTCCGTGAACCAACAACGAACGAAACCTACCTGACTTGGTGGTGTTAGCAGGCTTGCTGGCGCTGTCGAAGAGGACGCTCGTCTTGGCGGGGAAGAGCACGGCGTCGATGCCGTGGGCGGCGTATCCATGCCCGTCTATGATATCGGGAATCACGACCTTACCCACGGCAGTGGAAGTGCCAGGGACCGCAGGCACAGGCGCGATCACGGGCGCGGGTGCAGGAGCGGAAGCGGGAGCGGCGGGTGCTTTCGGGGGAACTGTAACAGCAAGGACCTCGGCATGAGAGGTGTGCGTGTCGTTGCCTTCAGAGGGAATGGGGAGCGGGGTGACTCCGGCCGGTTGACTGCCCGTCACTGTGATGACATCAGTGACATTGTTGTTATAGAGGAAGATGGGTTCGTTCTTGTGGCTCGTAAGCCTGTAGTACGTGTTTGCGGTCAACTGCAGAAAGGGTGTGTGGAGTGGACAAGCACAATCAGTAGTCAGACCACGACAACTGAAGAATGCAAGGAAGAGTAGAATGAAGAAGAGGACAACACGTTGCTCTGATGCTAGCTAACAGGTGGTACTCTGATCCTCGGCGGACTTACATTTGTCGTGATGAAAGTCGCGTTGATTCGATCAATTACCAAGTGGTAATGCGCCAGATTATGAAACACGTTCCATGCGCCTTGCGACATGGCGAGCAAAGCGGTTTCGTTAGCCTTGGTATCGACGATGGTGTTCAGAGCCTCCTTGACCGACGCGTCGACCGCGCTCAGCTTGAGATACCCATCACGAGCCTGCTGCCAAGCGTCGTTGGTGGGAAGAAAGGCACTTCCCTTCATGTCAGAAAGCATCTTAAATCCGCCAGTGATGTTGAGAGCCGTCACGGACCAGCTCGTGTTCCCGCCTGTTACCGTAACATTCGCAGCGTCGTTAGCAAGTTCGTTGGCGCTGTGAGCCGAAACTGGAGTCGCTGTCCAGCTGACGGCCAGCAGAGCTGCAGCGAGGATCAGATGTCTCGCCATGGAAGCAGGAGATCGAAGGCGATCGAACAGAAAGTAGAAGATGAACAGAAGCAACGATTGGCGACGTTGACACGACAATGATCAAATAAAGCCCGCCCTAGCAAATTGAGTTGCGAGCCTGGCAGCCTTTTGAATCCGGTGATCAAGACCGGGACAGGAAAGGCACCAAGGTGTACCACAGTTGCGGTGAGCCGACGTGGCGCGTAGCGGAAAACAAGCGCAACCGCATCGTACGATCCACCCACCTATCCAACCATAGCCGAAAGAACCCCAAACGAGATCCGACGAGGTAGGAGGAGTAGAGTGTGGTGTGGTGTGTTGGAACTGGGCGCGACGCACAGCGCCATTGTCGAAGCGCTTGTACGTGCACTCGACGCTGATTGCCTAGCGAACAAGGGAGCGGCCTGTTCCACCACTCAGAATTTAGACACCGTGGAGGAGAATATCTCGTGTCGGCTGAGCACTCAGAAGAATCGAGCGGTTGCATGGTGGTGGTGAGAAAATTGCGGCAGTTGTGTTGTCGGATTTGTCAACCCCACTCCACCGTCCAGTCGTCATGTCAGGGGTCCCACTGGTCGTACAGGGCTTGTCGTACATCGTACACCTTCACCCAAATCGAGTGGACACGTGGCAAGGAGCCAATCTAGCAAACCAGGGAAAATCGTGACGTTGCAGATAGTGTCATGATCTAGAAGCTTGGTGATTTTGTTTTGATGTTTGGCATTTGCAAGTGTAGCTAGCTCTTGGTAACTAGCTGTGCATCACCAAGTTTCCTGGAAGATATGCTTACTTGAATTTGGCATCTCCCACGCATTATCTCATGGAGACTAAGGTACAAGACAAACTATTTGCTTTCATAAAGAAAAAAAAAACACATCCACAAACTGTACTTCAGCAACAACACTATGGAAATATGCCACTGAGGCGGTAGCTTGTTGCAATCTTCTCAATGGCGATAAGGTAGCATGCCGTGCGAAGACTGCAACCCTTTGCGATGTCAAGGGAGCAGAAAAAAATAGAGGCTTAGAAGTTGGAACACGTTCAAACATGAAGAGCTACGTAAACAAGGTGGAGGGATGTGGCACAGCCCAGTGTGCAGCAATTTACCTTGACACTGGCAACTTGGGCAACATGACGCCATGCTTGCACCATCGTCTCCTCAAGCCCGGAATACACGAAACCCCTTTCTGTGTTGCTGTGTCCAGAAACAGGTCACAACCCACCACACAAACCACGGAGAACAGTAAGTTTGCTAGGATGAGACTGAGTACTCCACATGAGGGATCAAACATGGTGGATTGTGGAAAGAGGATGGACGAGCCGTAATTCATGACTAGGAGTATACAAAGAGGCAATGATGCAGCTGCGGTTAACCAGGTAAGGCTGCGTGGGAGATGGAACGGAAAGACTTTCCGTACGAGTAGGGAACGAAGACACTGCTACCACAACATGATCCATACTGCCTGCCTGATGCAGCATATTCACAGCACCATGCTGTGACATGGCATGGCATGGTGGTGTGCATTACCCTCGTATGATTTGTTGTCGAACATCACTATCAATACGCTCTCCCAACAGCAGCTCCCGTTCCAATGCCTCCACCAGCGCCTGTATGCCATCCATGCCATCCATGCCATCCATGCATGCATCCATGCCATCCATGCCACGCCACACATGCCATGTCATATCATAGTTTCTAGCTGAAAGCCATACCGCAAAACATATCCCAAGAATGCGACAGCCTGTTGCCACACATACACACGGTGGCAACCCGAGGTAGGATACACCACCGGCGATGCAGTGCATGTGTTTCCACATGACAGCGGCGGACCCAGACAAAAGTGGTAAGTGCAGCAGCAGGGAGTGCACACGATGGCAGTGCGGTGAGCACATAATGACATGTCCAGAAAAGTGGACATGCTTAGCAGTCAGGCATGGCTATGGCATGCACCGCACCTCCTTGCCTCTCTCCTCCATGTGTCGACTCATACGCCCAAAGCGCATGTGGTTAAGATTCTTGAGCCACTCGAAGTAGGACACTGTCACTCCCCCCTGCCATGCCATGGCCATGGAGTAGCGCGGCATGGCATGAAATGGAATTGAAGGGAATGGAATGCGGAGAAAGAGGGGCCGATACGAATTGAATCATTGGAGGGTCCTCCTCGCAAAGGATTAGGACACAAGAACAAGATCCAAACCCAGACCTGAGACAGGAACAATTCTCCACAACTGTAACTCCCCTCCTCCTTCCTTCACCTCCAGATTCCACCCCCACCATCTCCCTCCCGTCACCGGAACATCCCCCATTCCCCCCCTTAGCTCACTGCATTGACCAGCAGGTCGGGGAGAATGCGTGTCCCTTTGGCTTCTAGTATGGCTTCAGCAGGCGGGGTCACCGGGCCGTTGGCTGCCTCCACTACCAGCCGCGCCTGTCGCAACGGTGGGAGCGGCGGCGGCGACAATGGGGGAAAGAGCGCGGTGGGTAGGAGAGAGGGGCGATGATGGTGGTGGTGCTGGTGGTGGTGCATCAAGTATAGCCAGCCAGTATGGCAAATGTTATGTGATTGGACTAGCATCACGAGGGTATCGATAGACCCGACAAATGTAACAGCACCGCACGGACTATCATGGCATTGCATGGCATGGGGCTTAAATGCATGGCATGGCATGGCACAGCACGAGGAGGAGGGACCTGAGCAAGTCACCTTGACGCCAGCAGCATTGCGAGAGTGAATCTGTCCCTCCAGAGCAGCGGGGATGAGCACATCACACGGCAGATGCAGCAGCGACGACGGATCTTGCAACTTTCGTGGGAGAGGGCAAGGGCGACAGGGGAAAAGAAAGAGAAAGACGAAGAAAAGAAAGGAACGAAAATGGAGACAAGAGCCTGGTGGCTAAATGAATGACAGAGAGTGCTAATCGGGTATTCCTACGATTGACAAACCATGTGCCTGGTGCTGCTTGTCCCGCTGTTGCTGTTGCTCCTGCAATGTGCGTACAGACATGATGCACTGCTGTGAGATGCGCTGCTGTGAGATGCGCTGCTGTGATTGCTGCTCTGTTTGCCGCCGTGATGTGCTGCTGTGAATTGCTGCATGCATACCTGCGTGGCATATGGAAAGCCCATGATGGTTCTATGCCTCTGTTGGTAAAGGCGCAGAGCAGCCATGTCCATGCCTGTGCCGGTGGTATCCAGCAACCCTCCATTGTACTCCATCACCCCCACCACTCGCCCCCCTGCTGCTGTCACCGCCTGCATGCATGCTCACACATGCACATGCCCACACATGCACGCACATCCACACACATGCACGCACATGCACGCGCATGCACACACATGCACGCACATGCACATGCCCACACATGCACGCACATGCACGCGCATGCACATGCCCACACATGCACGCACATCCACACACATGCACGCACATGCACATGCCCACACATGCACGCACATGCACGCGCATGCACATGCCCACACATGCACGCACATCCACACACATGCACGCACATGCACACACATACACGCACATGCACGCACATGCACACACATACACGCACATGCACGCGCATGCACACACATGCAAACACGCGCACACACAAATGCAAACGCGCGCACACACAAATACGCACACATGAACAGACATGCGCATGCATGAGCAGGCATGCATGCATAAGAAAACATATGCGGGATGAACAAGGAGATTGGCAGAACACAACACGTCATGGCATGGGCACATGGCATGACGTAGTACAGCACAACATGGCATGTGGTATGGGCACAGATGCACAGCAGCACGGCACGAACAACTCTGGTAGCCAGCCAGCCAGCCAGCCAGCCAGCCAGCCAGCCCCGACGAACAGCCCACTGCCAACCACCGCCATCCCCTCACACGTGAACCAGCAGCAGAAGAAGCAGGCAGCAAGCAGCCGCCCAGCAACCCCCCATGCGTGCGCTGCTCACATCAGCTGTAGCGCGGCCCACTTTCCCAAAGCCCTGGATGACGAATGACTTGCCACGCACCCCAGGCTGCATGCCCACTGACGCTGCATGCTCCTGTGGTGGCGAGGCGCGACCAGAGGTGGGGTGGGAGGTGGGAATGAGATGGGTAGGAGGTGGGTTAAGAACGACAGGAAGACAGGCAGCGGAAGGAAAGTGTTGGGAGAAGCAGCAGCAGGAGTAGGATGAGGGGCAGCAGACAGGAGGAAGAGCAGCAACAGGCACAGGAACTGGTGGGCAGGAAATTAGCAAGCACAGCGGAGGTGAGAAGGGCAGTGAGGGGAGTGGAGTGGGTGTAAGAGGTGCAGCAGCTGCAAGTGATAAAGACGAGCCAGGAGCTGAGGGAGGGGAGAGATACATGGGAAAGAAAGGAGATGCGTGCACATGAGGCGACCTTGGAATTGAGGAATTCCCGGAGGCAAAGGAAGACCCCCATGCCTGTTGCCTCCATGCGACCTCGAATGCCCCCCTGCACACATGCAACTTGCAACCCCACAGCCATGCACCCATCGCATGCACGCATGCAAGCATGCACACGACAGACCCAGGGCAACCATTGCCCCATCCATACAGACCCACAGACATACGAGCATGCATCAACGCATCAACACAGCCAGCCGGAACAAGACATGCAGTGCAGACCGCATAATTACCCCCACTTGTGCGAACGCATTAGCCATGCAGCCAGCCCACACCCTGTGGTGTGGGAGAGCAGAAGCACGTCAGCAGGAGGTGCTGTCATAGTCACATCGCCTCCTGCTAGCATTCTTATCGTCTCACTCACCACGCTCCACTCCCCACAACCCAGCCCCTTATCCCCTCAACTCTCCCTCCTTTCCCCCACTCACTCACCCCCCCTTCCATTCCCCTTCCTAGTTGCCCCTCCTCCACACCAACCTCTTCTAGGGGCTTGCCGGTGACGCATGCTGCGGAATTGAGATCAGATGGGTGCAGCGATGTGTAGGTGTCCTGCCATGCCCGCACAGCAGCACAGTAGCACAGTAGCACTGCGAGTGAGAGAACAGTGAGAGACTATGTCACTGTGGCTCAGCGGCAAAGGAAGGGGAATGGGTGGACGATGGGATGGGGAATTCGGACAGAGGCTAGCCCACTATCAGCATGTCGCGACGTTTGTGACCATAACACACGTGTGACGCCTCTGTGTGTCGTCGTGCAAGCATGCGTGTGCGTGCGTCTGTGGGCGTGCCAGATTGTGTGTGTGCACTGGCATGCCTAGCCATGTGTGGTGCACCCACCTTTATCCACGCCATCTCCTGGGGCCCGGTTCCATAGTCAGGCGCTGGCACGTCCTGTCATGCAGGGATGCGTTTGAACATGCATGTGCGCATGCATGTAGGCACGAAGGAGGACAGCGCAAGGCACCAGAAAATGGTGGCTCATATGGTGAGAGAGGAGCACGGATGGGGATGGCATGGCATGGCATTTCAGCATGGGCGAGCAGAGAGAGCACTCGGAAAGAGTGCTGGAAGGGCAGTGGGAGAGAGGGAAGCGTGCAGGAGCAGAGGAGACGCATGTAGCAGAAGAAGTGTGGCGCATAGACCATGGTGTCCCATGGTGTTGCAGGCGTGGCATGGCATGGCAGGGGACGGCATGGGATGGCGTGGGATGGCATGAGACAGGGAGGCGAGGGGTGGGTGCGTACAATGCCTGGGCCGATGCAGTTCCTCTTGCAGAGCTCCACGGTGTAGCGCCGCACTATCGCCTCCTTCTCCTGCCGGCTTTACTGCTGGGGTCTGCCGTGCACCCATGCAGCAACGCACGAGCGGAGAGAGAGGGGATGACCAGTACACTGAGAAATAGAGACGAGGGGGGGAAGTTGCTCACATGGATGGATGGATGGATGGATGGATGGATGGATGGATGGATGGATGGATGGATGGATGGATGGATGGATGGATGGATGGATGGATGGAGAACAACAGGTAGGGAAGGGTGAGATGGGCTACAAGAAAAGTGCAAGACAGAGACCACGAGAAAGAGCATACTAGGAAGAACAACGTGTCAAAGGGTTGGGAGGGGGAGTGAGGGGAGTCTTTTGAGGGAGGACACTCCACCCCTCGCATTGGTACTAATCACCCGTAGCAGCATCACACAGCACAGCACCGCATTCCACCGAACAGCACCGCACCAGAGCACCCACACCGCACAGCAGAGACACGGCGCAACACACCCACACGCACCGATCTTGATGCCTCCCTTGGCCCCTCCAAAGGGCACGTCCACGAGCGCACACTTGAAGGTCATGAGTGCTGCCAGCGCCATTGTCTCCTCTAGATCCACCGTCAATGCCATGCGCACCCCGCCCTTGGCTGCTCGCCACATGCATGCACACCGTGCACACATGCACACACACCGTGCACACATGCACACATGCACGCATGCATGCATGCATGCATGACCGCACCATGCACACACTCATGCATGCACACACCCACATGAGCGCACATGATGCGCGCCTCTGCACGCTCACACATACCCACAATTGCAAACACACGAGGCGGCGAGGTTACCAGGAAGGGGTTGGGTAGAGACGCCAAGAAAAGCGTTCACAGCAGTGGGAGGAGGCGGGAAGAGGAGGGTTGGAGCAAGGGGACGAATGAGAGAAGAGCAGGATCCGAAGGCATTCGCACATCAACTTTTCGAGAAGATACGACTATTCAACGTTGTTAGCTTGACTTCCTTCCTGACGAGTCGGGCCAGCAACAGGGGGTGCTTTACGGGGAAAGAGGAGCGCAGCGGGGGAGGAGGTGCAGTGCAGCAGCGTACATGGGAGGCGGTGGTGCGAGTGCTGCGCGCGGTAGCCCTCCACGAGCTCAATGGATCCGTTGGCGAGCTTGAGAGGGAACTGCACCATCAGCACCGTGCTGCACGCCTGCCACATGGGCAGCACGGAGGAGAGCGCGCAGGGGAGGGCGCACAAAAGAGGGCGCGGAGTGGATCTAGAGCGCTGGCACGCACAGACGAGTGAGCTCAAGCGCACACACACGCCCCACAGATGACTCTCACACGCAGAACAGCAGTGCGGTGCGGTGGGGTGCAGCGAGGTGCAGTACGGCGACACTGACCTTGATCCGAGCCAGAATATCGGAGGAGACCTGCGAGATGGCAGCGGCGCGGTCAAAGAAGGTATCCACAGACTCCAAGAAGGGAGGGTCGGCTGAGAGGGGTGCACCAATACATGCACACAGTCACACAGCCACACAGCCACACATTCACACAGTCACACAGTCACACAGCCACACAGTCACACAGTCACACAGTCACACAGCCACACGGTCACACAGTCACACAGTCACACAGCCACACAGTCACACAGTCACACAGTCACACCATCACTCAATCACACAGTCACACTGCTTTAGTCAATACATTCGGCACAAGACGTTTTTTAAGCATCAATGTCCTTCGGTGCACTCCACCAACGCAATGAACTCCCTTCGTTGCAGGTCGTCTGCTGCATGCGCGGGAACAGGCTGTGACCTAAACCTGTTACAGAAGACGTAGAATATTCTCGTTTCACCGTCTTACCATCGTTCCTCGCCTCCACAGAGGACGTAAGTCTTCTAACACAAGCTGCTTCTGAAAAACGAGTAGCTGGCAACGCGTTCCACCAGCAGCGAGTCGCTTGCCGTAGGAGGCCGGCCATAGCTGCACGCGATGCCAGATCCGTAGTACTGTCTCTCTCTTCTTGACGTTCCAGACGCAGTTGTTACACGCTGGAGCAGAGCACGGTGTGTGAAGAAGGGGTCCACAAACAGGCACCGGATGGAAATGCTGCATGCTGACGCTCGGTAGAGGCTGATGACGTAGTATGGAGAGTTCTTCCTTCGGTGGAGGCACGTGGCACTCGGGAAGGGAGAGCCATGGATTCAACAATTGTTGGGGAGTGCGAGAAGGTTTGGGGGTGGGAGAGCGTGAAGGGAATGGAATTTGCATGCCTCGCGTTTCAAATGCTTGGTGCAAAAACAGACTCGCTAGGACTACTGGCCATATCTCGTCAGGTCCCTGATACATACTCATACAATAAATGTTGACAGACTATACACATGCTTACATCTGGTGGATTCAAGCAGACAAATATCAATTTGTTGTATCAATTTGTTGTATTCATTCCGACGATATCAATTGCCATTTCAAGCAGAAAGATTGGAGATGATGAACGATCTATGAAATTGAAACCGTATTACATATTCAGTGGCCAAGGACCTCGTTGCAAAAACCTTTTGATATGTAGGTTCTCATCAACGTTAGATGGATATGATTTGTAGAACGGTTTGATAAACCACATTTACTTACGTACAAGTGTAGGAGAATCAACGAAAGTTTGAGGAAAGCCAAACCATTTGCTCTCGGAACGGGACCGCTACCATATGATGGAGCTGTAGATGGTGGACAACATGAAAATACAGTGTGTGCAATTTACACAAAACGACATACCCCACCCTCCTTTGCAGCTTCCACAGACCCAACGAAACCGGATGATTGCACTTTCGGCGTCAAGTTGTGTGAAGCCTTACCCAGTGGCAGTGGCTGTACATTGTCACATTTGCGGTAATATTTGCTATAACGACAGAACATTACGGTGGTGTAACGGACCCACATCTGCCCCAAATCTGTCCATTTGCAGCTTCTGAACACACAGAATCTCAACAACATCAAATACTGTATCAGTTCTGGCACACCAAGTCCAGGAAAATACCACTACGTTTTTCCTCCCGTCAACCCTCCTATTATAGTCGTACACTTCACTATCAATCTAGCTAGGGGATGTTCTGTAGAAACATTTTGTTTTGTCACTGTTTTGTTTCATCATCTGTATAAAACGCAGAAGGGAAGAAACTAGGCCCAAGACTAGGGACGTGTACAGTGCATGCTCAATCCAACCATAACCGTCCATTGTTGAGGCAGCCCTACAACATCGCGTTGCTTCCGTCCAACTTCGATGATGTGAACAAAGGTAGAATTTGTCGTTAAGGTCGAAAAATTTGCGGCGATTCGTTGTCGCCCTTGTTGGCGAGGGAGATCGAACACAATCTCCAGGTTTCTTGGGAATACATTCACGGTTGCCCTGACAAAGATCGTGCCGAATAAATCGTTTGCCCCAGCGACTCCACAGGCATGACATGCGCACACCACGCCGTTCCATGGCCCCCCTTCTACTACAAAGGCCATGGAATACCAGGATCTCAAAACAGCCTTTGGAATTTTGAAAGGTCTATATTTTAACTTTCTGTGTAGGTTCCACGTGGATGGCTTGAGCCCAAAGCAGCAGCTCTGCTCGGAGTCCTAGGCTGGGTGGTGCTTTGGTTTGTTGTGACAATCTTCCGAGGCTGGGTTCTGGTTGCTAGTTTTCAGTGTTCAGTCCAATAGTTTGTCAATTTGATGGTGTACGTGTCGAATTGTAGGCCAGGTTAAATTCCTCGCTCAACATTATTCTCGACTACGATATCCCTTCACGCCTACAATCTGCTACGGTCACACTCCGAGGAAATCACTTAATAAAAGACCCATACGAAACCCCGGCATGAAACTGTTATTCCTATTTCGATGCCCCTTTGTTTGTGGCAGCATTGTAGATAGGTTCGGTGTTCCGAACGAACCCCAGCAGAGCCAAGAATCAAGGAGTTTACACGTGTCAAACTTTGTGCTCGCAGCGCCCAAAACAGCACTGTGTCTTCCGCCGCCAAGCACATCAAGCAAGCTGTATGCCCTCCCGCACCCCGCTGCGACTCAGAATCACCGCCATTCACTTCACGAATCACGATCCACCTCACCACCACCATCACACCACCATCCTTCCGCAAACCCGCAGAGAAAGCCGTGTGCGAACGAAATCCGTGTCCTCAAGCGCGTCGATCACACATCCTTGCCTCACCTCATCCAGCCTTGGGCGCCGCCCCCCATCCCATCCCATCGATCGTATCTATCTCCTCCGCCATCGCTAAGGACCCTCTCCCCTCCCCATACCTCCCGCGGCAACGAGCCCGCTTCCCCCATCACTCGCGTCTCCGTACTGTTGCTTTCCTCTTGTTGCTGCTCTGCTCGTGTTTCACTTCTGCCTGCCTGTATATCTCCCATTTCACTCCTTCCAGTTTCTTCATACTCCATTCATTCTTGTTGGAGTCATTTTTTTTGCCTGCTTGCTGATCGAGCCACGCAAGTTTAGCCCGATTAAAGCACCTACATGATCAACCCGATCTTTTCGCTTGCGTGACGATCGATCGCAGCAGCACCCGTCCTTGAAACTTTTCAACAGTTATGCCAGGCCGTCAGCTCATACATAATACTTATCACCACTCAACGACAATCATCAGCCAAACTCCTAACAGTTCGCACAAGGCCGCTCAGTCGTCGGTGATTGTAACATCAGACAATTGCTTTGGGTCTTTTCACGCTCATCCGATCTCCTGCGACTTCCCCTCGTCTGCCTCATCCGCTTCCCCACTCACTTCCGCCTCCCCCGACGTATCGCCCATGGACGACCGTTTCGACTCCCACGTGGCGGTCGGTCGGAGCGTACCACATTCTGTAGAAGCAATCGATCCCAAGATATACTCCGCGACCTTCTGCGCCGTTCAACGGCAGCCGTCGTCGTCGCTCGCTGCCGCCGACGACGGTTCCCACGTCGCCAAGGCAGGGTCTGCGAGAAAAGGAGGCGTACGCGTTTCGATCCGGGGAGGCCGCGCGGAGGTTATTAACACAGACCCTGACGCGACAGACGATTCGTCGGACGAGGAGGAGGACTCGTTCGGCTTGCCATCCCACGGATTATTCTCCGGGAACCGCCGCAATTCACGGAGACGCGGCTTCGCCACCTCTACTGCCCCGATGTCCGTCCGCTCGTCGAACTTCGCTGCTTCGCCGCGATCTGCAGCAACAATGCGATACCCGTCCGATCCGCTCGGGGGAACTGGCAATGCGGTGGCCTACTCGTCTGCCGCGGCATTGAATTATTATTACGGGGGGCAGCATTTCCCGTGCAGCCCCTCCACGTATGGCTACACCGCGCAGAGGAATTACCACGGTGGTTTAGTAGGCGGCGCTTCGGGCGCGGCGAGCGCCGGACCGCCGGCGATGATTGCGACGAGCAGATTGTCGTGCTCCGTCGCTGGCTGTTGTGCTGCAAGTGCGGATTTGCCGTACGGCGGAGGAGCCGCGAATTCTGCCGCTTTCGGCGCTTATTACAGCGCCGCTTACGGGTACTCGTTTGGAAGCTCTCCCATTCTCTCGGCTACGCACGGCCATGCCCAGGAGCTGGCCGATCAGCATCAGCAACACCTCAATCAATTCGACCGTGACATGCGGCAGCAGCCGAGCGGTTACATTGGCGCCCCCGGCGCGCCTTCTGCGCTACGCAGCTCAATTCCCCTCCACGACGGATCCCGCGTCGCCACCGGGTCGATGAGTCAAGTTCCTGACGTCAGGCAAACCGGATCGTACGGCGCGCCGCAATCCATGGCGCATTCCGCCGCGTTCCGCGTTATGGGGGAGGATCAGGCGACCATCGCTGCCGCCGCGATGCGACCAGTTATTGCCGCATCAGGTTGTCACGCGAATGGCGGCGAGCGCAGCGATCTGTCGCAATCAGCGCATCCGTCGGAGAAGCTTTCGGCCCCGCCGATTCACCTCCCCGCCGGCATTTCGACTGGCATGCCGTACCTGCCGCATTTCCCGGGAGTCCCCGTCGATGCGCACGCGCTGGCCCAGGCGCAGCAAGCGGGGATGAAGCGCAAGCTGGTGATCGGCGGGAAGGCGGCGAGCGGAGTAAGCGGAGTGAGCGGAGCGGGCGGAGCGAAGAGGCAGAAGGACGGCGCAGGGGCGGACGCGAGTCACAGCACGTGCAGCACAATCACCGCCAGCGGCGGTGGCGGCAGCAGCAGCAGCGACGGCGAGCATCCCGACGCGCATTCACCGCGATCCGCGCACGCCAGCGCAACGACCGCGCACGTCTCCAATTCCGCCTCCCCCGGGGCTGCGGTCTCGTCCGGTTCTCCCCCGCCCGCGAAGCACGCCAGCAGCTGCGTGTTCCGGGGCGTGCGCCAACGGCCGTGGGGCAAGTGGGCGGCCGAAATTCGCGACCCGACGCGCGGCGTGCGCGTGTGGCTGGGAACGTACGACTCGGCCGAGACGGCCGCTAAGGCGTACGATGCTGCCGCGAGGGCGATCCGCGGTGCCTCTGCTAAAACCAACTTCCCGTTGGCGGATTGCGCGTCCGCTCCAGCTGTCTCTCCTACTGACGTTCCTTCTGCTCCTATTCCCTCTGCTGCCGTTGCGCCTCTGCCTCTGGCTACCGCTGCTGCGTGCGACACACCGCTCGTTCCCGCTAGAACCGCTGCTGCCCGGCTCGGGAGCATCAACCTTATGGCACCGCCGCCGCCAGCCATGGCCATGCACAGCCATCAGGGCTCATCAGGCAACACTGTAGCCGCCGCCCCCGCAGCAGGCGCAGCCGCCATGGCTACACTGAGCAACGGGCAGCTGATGAAGCCTACTGGAGTCGTCGTCCCCTCGGGGAAAGGCTCGCGCCGTGCTGCTGCGTTTCCGGAGGTGGCGACGCCGCGCGGCGCGCTGCTTCCGCGCATCGCCAGCTGCACGTCGTGCGTGGCGGACGCGGAGCCCGAAATGGCCGCCCCCTCCGCGCCTATCGTTCCGCCGCAGGCGCCGGCGGAGGTTGCGGCGACTGCAGCTGCTGCTTGTGCGCGTGGTGGTGAGTCCAGCGGGTGCGCCCGCACCAGGCCGTACGCGGGGAGGAAGAGTGGTAAATCCGGGAAGTCCAATGGCTCCAGCGGTGCTGCTGCTACTGCTGCTGCTGCTGCTTTTGCTCCTGCTGTGGTGACCGCAACCGGTTTGTGCAAGGCAGGTTCAGCTAAGGTCGCTGCAGTTTCATCATCATCACCGTGCCCCATCACACGATCGGACAGCCCCTCTGCGCCGCCTACTGCTGCTGCTGCTTCCGCTGCTGTTGCCTCCCCTGTCGCTCCTGCTAAAACTGCTGGTTGTGGCGCCAATCTAGCCAATCTGGCCCTGGACGATATGACGTTGGAAGCATTGAGTAGCCCCCACGAGGCATTGAGTAGCGACGAGGCTGCAGCGCTGCTGGATATGGAGGTGGCGTGGAGTCTGGACCTGGCGGATTGCATGGGCGGCAACGATGCTGGGCTGTCGCTGCTGCTGGAGGGCAGTCTGACGCACAGCGCCAGCGTGCAGGATCTGGATGAGATTTCGTGCGCGCTTTTCGACGGTGAGGATGAGGCGCTGCTCATGCAGGGCGCGTTTGATCTGCCTGCGTGCTTCGGAGGGGAGCTGCAGGAAGTAGAGGAGGAGGAGGGTGGAGAGGAAGAGGCACAGCAGGAGGGGAGGGGAGAGGAAGGTGGGCTGATGCTGACTGCCTCTGTGAGGGTGAGTGGGTGGTCCGGTGGTAGCAAACAGAAGGAGGGGGAGGGGGACAAGGAACAGGATGACCTGCTACTGCACCTGCCGGAGGGGTGCTTGGAAGGCATGGATGGGTTGGAGTGCATCGGAGGGTTGGAGGATGGGGATGGGTTTGGGGAGGAGGATCTGCTGGGCGGAGAGTTGGAGCTGATGGATGCCTGGGAGGTGGAGGGAGTGTCGCTGGACTTTATGGATGAGCTCGATAGCGTGCTGCTCATGGGCAGTGGCTCGCACTCTGGCAGCAATGCTGCCTCCGCTCTCACACAGTAGGGCTGCTGCTGCTGCTGCTGCTGCTGCTGCTGCTGCTCTGAGGGTGCGCTATGCTTTTTTATATTCGGTGTCGGTAGTCTATGCTGTATTTATGCCATAATGGCGACTTGACTGGCAGCTTGAACTGCCAGTACTTAGATTTGTTTGTTAGCCTTATAATGTATTAGGGCGTGTTCCTACGACCCGTTATCAGGCAACCCGAAACCTTTCTTATCAGAAAAAATATATCCACAATCTGGGCTACATGAGTGTGATGCCAAACTGGTATCCTATTATGATATCAGAGTGATTTTGGGGAACTTATGTACTGTAGTGCATCATTTAAACTCATCCTATGCCACACCCTTTTGGATGCAAGCAATCCAGCAAGCATGATGCGAAGCAAGGAAAACACATTTCCAGTACGGGTGCAGTGGATGCACTGAAGAGTCAAGACATGGCAACTGCACAGTAGCAGAAAATTCCCATAGTAGCGTATCACAAAGAACACACAAGAAGCACGTCCTCAGTGGCCCATGGTCTCCACCACTGCGTTTTGTTTTTTTCACCAAATCAACAAGGATCAATAGAATCAAATCAGGCCACCGTTGCAGCGGCAGACCCTCCAAGCAGCCCCCCACAGCCCGGCCAATACCACTCATCTGCCCCTGCAAACTGCAACGCATACACAACAGGGGGGTCCACGCCAGGGCACCAAGGCACAGCCCCTCCCGCTGCCCCTGTTGCGGCCCCTGCCACTCCTCCTGCCCCTGCACCTGCCTGCGAGGCATGCGAGGCAGGAGCAGGGGGGGCGGTGTGCAGGATATGGATGGCCTCTATGTGGCGCCGGTCCAGCTCCATGTCTAGACACAGCGCCTCCACCGCTGCTCGCAGGAGGGGCGTGGAGAGGAGAGCGGGGAGAGGGGAGGGGAGAGGAGTGGAAAAGAGAGTGGTAAGGGGAGTGTGGAGGGGAGTGTTGGGAAGGGAGGGTGGAGGGGAGTGTGTGGAGAGGGGGAATGCGGAAGGGGGGGCGGGGAGGGAGAGGGGGAGGGGGGAGTACAAAGGGGTATAAGAGAAAGGGGGCGCGCAACAGGAACCACATGCGTGGCAGAAAGAACCTGCTTGGATGGCAACAAGCACAGGCATGCAGCAGCACAATACGACTACTTCTTTCACGCACGCACTGCACATGCTCCCCCATGTTACTACCCCCTCCCGCCCAGAATTTAAAACACCCCCTCCCCAGCAACACAACCCACACCCAGCAACGTACCTTCCCAGTTGAGGCATGGAACCAGCGACGGCTCCTCTTCATCCTCTCCCTCTCCCGTGCCCTCTCCGCCTCGTGCTGTTGCTGCTGCTACAGCCGTGTTGCCCACGCAGCTGGAGTGCAGCACCTCCCCCACAGGCACGCAGTCGGACTCAGTCAGTGACACGCCCGCCAGGTCCGACCCCAAGTCCATACTGAGAGCACCACTGAACGCGCCCTTCCCTCCTCCCAACCTCTGCATATTACCAGCACCATTCACAGCAGCCGCATTTCCGTCAGCACCAGCAGCAGAAGCAGCGCCGTTGTAGGGACGGAAATCCATCAAGGCTTGCAGCGAACCGCTGCCGTTGCCGCGGGCACTGGCGGAGAAGGCGAGGCTGTCGGGGCTGCGCGATCCGGACTGCGACCAGTCGCCCTGCGCGCCGAGCTTGTTGCGCGCGCGCGCGTCCATCAGCAGCGTGAGATCGTCCTTGCCTGCGCGGGTTGGGCGGGCGGGAGGTGCGGGGGAAACGCGGGGGAAGGGGGAGGGAAGGGAGGCCAAGAGTTGCAGACGGGAAGGGCGTAAGGCAAAGGGCGAAGGGGAAAGTGCGAAAGGGTGGGAGATGGCGATAAATCCAGAAGCGATAGCAGCTTGAACGTGGTGAGAGGGGCAGCGGAATCGAGAATAAGAACGTGGTGGGGCTCCGTCAGACGGGAAGAACCGGAGCGGTACTATTAGAGGAGGAGGGTAATCAGAGCGAGATACCAGTCACTCGTATTCCCTTCGCTCACTCATCACCACTCACTCTCTGAGCGCGTGGGACCAGCGCCGTTGTTGGATGTCCGCAGCAGCGAGTGACTGCGCGCGACCACCCCGCCCGCCAAGTGGCTCCGCCCGATTCCGCCACCCGCCGCCGCGCCGCCGAAGTGCGGGTGATCGGGGGAAGTCCCCGCGGAGAGCGGCAATGCGCTGTGCGGCGGGAAGAGCAGATTGTCGGGGGAACCCGGCGTGGAGAACCCACCGTAACCGCCGCCTCCGCCTCCGCCGCCGCCGCCGCCGAGGCCGGTCATGCGAATCATACCGCTGCTTGTGCGGCGGCCGTGCAGCGACCGCAATGCGATCGCCGACGCACCGGAACGCGCGCCACCCGCACCCGCGCCGCTGCCAATCCAGCCCGCACCGCCATCCTCAGCTCCGCCGCCGTGAACTTGCGTAGGACTGTATCGCGCGTCGAGGTGGTAAGAAGTGGGGAACATCTGGCCGCTGGTCGCGCCGCCGCCGCCGCCGCCGGCGCCGCCACCGTCGTGGCTAGTAACACTGCTCCCACTGCTGCCGCACTGCTGGGGAAGCGCGTGGTTGACGCCCCATCGCTGCACCTGCTCCTTGTGCGACATGCTTATCGCGGCGCTTAAAGACATGCCCTTGGAGCTGTACGTCGGCTCTTTTGTCGCGATCCTCGCGCCGCCGGCGGCGCCGCTCCCGCTATTGCTGCGGGAGAAATTGCGGGGCGAGTTTGCCGCGGATGCTAACGGCGAGCCACCGAACGGCGAGCCGTTGCGGCTAGTATCCCGCGGGATTCGCGGCAACGGACCGGAATTGCAGTTTCCCATGCTGAGAGTCGGATCGCGATAAAAAGCCGCCGTCGCCCCCCCCACCGCCGGGTAGGGACCGTGAGCGCCATCGCTGAAGGTAGGATCGCGGAAGAACTCCCCGGAGCGCGGCGGCAGCTGGGGCGAGGGGGAGGCGAGGGGAGACCCGCCCGCGCTGGAGGGGCGGGAGGAATGATCCCCCCCGCCCAGGCGTGGCAACTCGCCCGATTGGCCCGTCGCTGCGCCGCAAAAGGCGCCAAATCGCGGCACGTTATCTGGGAGGTGCACAGGAGAGGACGACGTGCGAGCGGGGCTGCGGTTGGGGCTGCGGCCGTTGTTGCTGTAGCTGGGGAAGAAGGGCGGCAGGTCCGAGGGAAAGCGAGCGGATTTTGAGCCAGTAAAGTCGCCAGCGTGAGAGGCGTTGAAGCCGCCGCTGCTGACGGTGGTGGCGGTGCTGCTGTTGGTAGATATAATATCGAAGTCGCTGGTGAAATCACTGCTGGGGATTCTGCCGCTCCTGCTGCTTCTGCTGCTGCCGTAGCTTCCGTACGACGCAAACATGCCCACCGTATCATCGTGCACCGCACCGACACCCCCGCTCATAGACGCCATGGCGAAATGCGGGTGTTCGCCGTGTGCAGGGGCCATGGCTGAGAGATGCCGTGGAGAGTCAGCGCGTAGGGCAGGATGGAGAAACGAGCAAGTTGCAAAATTCAACGTTTCACCATTCTCTTGTCGATGACATTTGAGGGAGGGAGGGGGAATTCAGGCGACGGGGAAGGGGACAGCTGTTTTCTGATGGCGGGCGAATTTGGGGGGATGGGAGGAGGGAGGGCGGAATTCGTGTGGCTGTGCGAGTGCCTGTGTGCTGTAACATGCCCCCGCAAATGGCATTTCTAAGAAGCGCGCAGAGGGGAGGTGATGGGGGTAATTCCGGACGAGGGAAGATGGACGGACGCGATGATCGCTGTTCCATTACAGTGGGATGGGATCATGTGGAATGGGACGGGGTGGTGAGAATTTATTACAACGCTACTTGCAAGGACCTGCATGGCCACGGCGTTGCCGTGTGGGCAGGTGAGGTTTGACGAGGGTACAGTACATAACAAGGTCTCTGGTAAGGACGCGTCCCAGAACCAATTTTGATTGTGGCTAGAGAGCGTTCTAGAGCTTTTGAAAGCAATCTTGAACGGTTGTTTTGGGTATTGTGCGAAAATGAGCGCAATTAGATTCGCCCTAAAGTGAACGGGAAGGTGAAATATGAGTGTGGCGCGTGAAAATTTCTACAGTTCAGTTCAATGACAAGCATCTCGAAAAATATTTTCAACAACTGGCACAGGGACAGCCCCTAACCGAATCTGCGTGCAGGTGCCAGCTTGTGGATGTCGTTACATCTGAGGCGGAGACAATCATTTTCCCACTCCTTGCGGTCGTGCGGAGCTCAGTTTGATCCTCAGCCACGAGTTGCACGATGAGCGCAACTAAACCCGTCTTTTTCCAGCCCCGATTTCATTCTTGGATGCGACTCATGATCTGTATGTATAACGAACTGTAAGTCCAAAGAGCCACACTATCACACATCTGTAGTGTTTTCGCACGCACTTCATATTGCTTGCACATGAGTGATTGTGTGCTCAGGAGCAGCTTTAAACTAAAAAACAATAGTGCAACAGCTAGTTTTACTCCATGTTCTGCATTAACACTTCAAAAGAAGATATGCATCACCAATAGGCATAGTGCATACCCAAACTGAACACGATTAACCTAAGTGCGTTTCTCAATAGCAGCAACTCTATATTGCCGGGACAGTATCAATGTTCATCCTTGAGCTCTTGTGTCTCCCAGCTGTCAGCGGGTGCTGAGATTTTGCACAGAGGAGATGGAAACAGAGGGGGAAAAGATAATTCAATAGCTGAGAACCACCAACGAGGTGGATAACAATATAAAATAACTCTTCGCAACCCACTCCTCTCTCCATCCCAACCTCTGCCCTGCTCTCCCCGCTCACCCCACTCTGCACGTCAATCACTCTTGTTCCCCCCCCCTCTCTTACCATACGTGGCATGCTTGACTGCAGCTGCCATGAGCCTGCGCTGCAGGATGGCAGCGATGGCAAGGAAGAAGGAGCACATGCCAAACATGGCCGTGATGGGGAAAGCGCTCACCTGCACACGGGGACACACAACAGAGCAGCAGGAAAACACACAGAAAATCACATGCGGGCTTTTTTGCCAGTCTCCCCCAGTGCAAACAGCAGGAGCGTAAGGTCACCACCAGCACTCCAAAATCAGCAGCGGCAGCAGAACGGGCTCGTGTAGACGCAGAGCAGAAGAGGCTCAGAGGCTCACGTTGTAGAGGACAACGCAGACGAAGATGTTGAGGGGGATGCGGAAGAAGTTCATGATGGTGGCGCGGGACTCCTCTGGGATGTACTGCGACCGCATCTTCATGATGGACGGCCAGAAGATGCCCACGCACACCTCAAACAGGCAGAACCCCAGCAGCTGCACCTGCCCTCCCGCCGTGATGCCACCGCCCTCGGGTGGCGATGGCTCAATGAACATCTGCATGGCAACAACGGCCAGTCAGCACCAGGAATTAACAAAGCTCTTAGTTTGCTTCAAGCTCCAAATTCAACCACCAATCCACCAAACGAACGGTGAGCTTCGAACACATGCGAACACGGAAGATGTGCAAGGTGGATGAAGGCATGCACGGGCGTCCTTACGAAGTTGAGGATGGGAACAAGCAGCGACACGGACGCGACGGAGAAGACGATCTGCATGTACAGCTCCACGCGCAGGTTCTGGCGCGCCATGAGACGCGAGGCGAGCGACGAGCCAATCATGGAGGAGAGCATGAAGGTGGCGAAGATGAATCCGTGCGGGATGCGCTGGTTGTTGGGCGACAGAGCGGGCGTCCACAGGAAAACGAACGTGTACATGCTGCCCTCGAACAGCGACTGGATTGCGCCCAGCAGGGCAATCTTCTCGTCTGCATCATGGGACAGGCGCAGGGAGCTATTGATCAGCAAGCAGAAAGAACAAAAAGTCGAAATGCCACAGCTGCAGCAGAAACACCGTTGGACCAGGGAAAATGTGGATGAGGTCATGATTGGCCCGTGCGCAATGGGTGTTCTGACAAGGCGAGCAAGCTCACCAGACGTGATGGCAGTGAACGCATTTTTAAACTGCGTTGCCAGGCCCTTGTTCTCGTTCGCGTCGCCGTAATTCTCGGGCCACGTGTAGATGATTACCGCCATGCCGATGCCCAGCAGCACGGCCGCCGCGTCGAACGGCGCGACGGGTCCCAGCGAAAGGTCCGTGACGAGCGTGTTGGCGATGAGCCCAGCGAGGATGGCGACGAGCCCGTTACCCAGGAAGATGGCCTTGGAAAACGTCACAGACAGCCACTGCGCTTCGTATCCGCGCTGCAGCGCCGGATAACAAGGCGAGGGAGAAAGAGGAGGAAAAACGGTGAGGCTACTGACGGGAAAAAGGAGGGAGGTACGGCAAAACGAGGGGGAGGCGGGGGAGGAAGAGCGAGGGCGGAAAGTAAAGGCGGAAAGATGTGGAAATTTTCTGACCAGGACTGTTCTTCCTTACGTTATTCTAAATCTGGCAGATTCACTTGTAATTTTTTTTGCTAATATTATTCTTACAGGTATACATCACCAATTGAGCTCGTCTGTACTTGTTACCGCAGGTCTTTGCGCATAGCGTACCTTGAAATGCTCCGCGACGAGCCACGACTCGAAGGCGGAGAAGAGCAGCGAGGTGGCGATGCCACCGAGCACGCGGCCCACCATGAGCACGCCGTACTGCGGCGAGTGCTTGGTGAAGCAGCTCAGGATGTACGTGATGCAGTAGATGATGCTCGCGTTACGCCGACCACTGCCACAGCGACAGATCAGTCGATCGACACAGTGTGAGCACGAACGACGATGAATAAGGAACGGCGAACGATCACGAAGGGGTGATGTATGAGATCAAAAAGCGAGAGAAACAGCCCGTGGGACATGAAATGGCAAGAAACCCGAGACGAACCTACAAGACAAAGCAGGTCGATACAGAAAGAAACATGATATAATCGGACGGCTAGCGACCTTCCGACGAAATAACCAGCCAAGGCAACTTCACTTACTGCTTGTCAGCAAGCGAACCGACGATCGTTCCGAAGACCATGGATGAGCCGAATCCGGCGATGAAGAGGCGACCGATGTCGCCTTGGTCGTAGCCGTAGTGCTGGTACAGCGCGTACACGTACGGGCCCTGCAGCCAGTCTCCCGCTGCACCATTCACACGACAGAGTTCACACCGTTAAGCAATGTCGTGTCGTAAAGAAATCAGGTGAAAGATTTGTACCCCTGAATGCTTAGGACGGACGCTACGACACGATCTGAGACCCAATTAAATGACGACGAGTGTAAGCGCGTACTTACCCATCATGAGGCAGTAGATGACGAGGTAATTGTTTTTGAAGCTCTCGAACGCGGAGCTAGTCTGCACGCGGTCATTTTGGCCTTTGCTGAATTCCAGCCCGCAGCACGCTACCAGCAGCAGCGCGAAGAGGACGTAGAAAAAGATCTCCATGGCGAGCCTTGCTGCTGATGCTGCTGTTGCTGCTGCTGCAGCAGCTGAGGTGGTGATACCTGGATCTGCCTTTTCCTGCTGAGAATCTGACTAGAAGCTCCAAGCAGCAACTGTCGCTTGTGCTCTGGATGAAACAAGGCAAGCTTGATGAGATAAGCAAGCAAGCACTCGCTGAATTCCTTGGGACGACCTTGGGATTTCGGCAGCCCAGATTCTGTCACCCAGTCACATCTGACAAGCCCCGTTGTGCAGAGAACTCCTCCCAAACCAGAAAATTGCCGGGCCTCACTTCGTCTGCCACGTGTGCCAAACCTGGCTCGGCTGACTCGAAGTCTCGCTGGGCCGCGGGAAAAGTCGCTTCGGACAAAACCAGACTTGCTCGCGGGCCTTTCAGCATGATGTGTCAGACAGCTTCGTCTGACCGCTCATCCTGCCAAACTGCCCTGGCAGTCGTCAAGTGTCAGTTCGATATAAGCGGCAGTCATGCGGCACCCTTTGATTGCAAAAAAATCAAAGGTGAACGTTAGCTACAGTAAGCAGATTTTCCCGTAAGAGGAATAGGGGATGTTGTTTCTTGTGAAGGCTAATAAAGTAAGGGTGGAGGTTTTATGAAACATCTGAAACCTGTGTTGAGGGTTCCAGTGCTACTTGGTGTGGTTGAGGCAAACGTAGGCTTTCGTCACCCGCATTCGAAGCACCAGAATACGCATTGTCGCTATTCCGCAGCGATGGGGGTGATAAGTCGTATGGACGACGGCAGCGAGGAACGGAGGAATGGTGCCACAGCCGCGCCCCTCGACGGCGTCGCGAACGGCAAGAAGAAAAGCAAGAAAAAAATTAAGGGCCGCGCAGCAGGCAACGCGGCGCAGCCCGCGGAAGCGGGCACCGAGAATGGAAACAGTTTGTCGGGCAGCAGCAGCAGCAGCAGCAGCAGCAGCAGTGCGGCGCTGCCGAGCCAGGGCGAGGTGGAGAATCGTTTCCACTGGCGCGTGCAGGTCAAGAAGGGCAAGGGCCGATGCGCCATCGCTAGCAAGTGAGAGCCGGTGCCAGGGCCGCGATCACCCTGCATGCACGGCGATTATAGTATAGAAGGCTGCTTCCATCCAGCACCCCTCGTCCGTGTACTCCCGTCCGCACATATCGCTCGTTGTCACATCACAAACCCTCGCTGCCCCCCGCGGCCCGGTCACATCGCCTTTCCGCTCGTTCGGCGTATCGTCCCTCCGTGGCCCGCACGTTAAACCCCGCTGGCCCACTTATCACTCTCCCTCCCCTCAACCACTTCCGCAGGGCGTTCGTGCGCGGGGACGTGGTGCTGAGGGAGACGGCGCTGCTGTTCGCGCCGCGGGACGCGTACCACGCGGCGCTCTGCCACTGCTGCGGACACACGTTCGGGGACAGCGGGCATGGCAGTCAAGGCACCCAGTCGTCGCCCCTCCCGTGCCATGGCTGCGGCTTCGCTGTCTTCTGCTCCGTGCGTCCCGTTCAACCCACGTTAATCCAAACCCTCACCTTAACTCCAACCCCCTGTCTTTCCTCTTTGCCTTCCCCTCCCTTTACCACCTGATCTTCCGTCCCCCTTTCACCCCCACCCACACCCCCTCCTACCCACTCGGAACCCCTCCTCTAACCCCCTCGCTCCACTTGTGCACTGTATGCTTGCAGTAAGTCGCTTTTGAGAATGCTCAATGGTTCAATATTGCAATGAGTGGAAGGGCTTGGGTGCCACTCCACCTCCGGCCTCTTGCTGCCCGTGGGCTCTACTGCCCTCTCCTCTCCCGTGTGCCTCAGCCTCTCTGTCCCCATGTGCGGGCGTGTGTGTGCATACGTGTGTGCACATGTGAATTGGAATGCGCACATTCATGTACGCATGCATATACCCATGCATGCGCACATTCACGTCACCCACAGGAGTGCGCCCCATCAGCGCAGCCCAGGCACAGCGCGTTGTGTCCGCTCTTCCGCGCCCTGCCTGCCATCGCACGCTCCGCTGACTGCTCGCCTGACCTCCTCCGCCTGCTCCTCTGCATGGCTCAGGTAGGCGCCTCTTCCCCACCCTCGCACCCTCACTATTGCCCTGCCTCTGCCCCTTCATGCCTCCGCCCTTTCATGCCCTTGTTGCTGAAAGCTGCTCTCTGAACTGCCTTTTTGCCGTCATCCACCTCAAATCAGCTCTATCCACTTCCCCCCCCCCCCCCAGAGTCCCCATCTACCGTTGCCTTCCCTGCTTCCTCCCTCCCCCCTTTCCCTCTCTTCGTTTCTTGCGTGGGGCAACTTTTGATCCGCGCACCACACGCACTTGCCTCTGCGCCTGTTCCTGCCCCTCTCTGGGCATCCTATCCTATCCCACGCCTTCCCCTCCTCCCTCCCCTGAGCGCGTGTCAGGCGCAGCATGGGGCGGCACAGCAGCAGCCCACGTGCGGCCACGCACTGCATCAGCATCAGCAGCAGCCGTCCAAGGGGTCGCCCACCGCCGCCTCTCTCAGCCCCATCACGCCCACCTTGCAGGCACGTTACCACATTGCCGTCCGTTGCCGCATCATTGCTTTGCTTTGCTTTGCCACGTTGCCACGTTTGTTTCACCAACAACTGTGCCGACTCGAAACCTTGTTACTTAGTGAGGTGCTTTACCGCTTCTCCTTCTTCCAGTTCCCACCGCCCCCCCACTGCTGCGTGCGTGCGCGTGTGCATGTGCATCTCCCTGCATCCGCGTCCCTGCATCCACTCTCTCCCGCGCACTGCACAGGACGCGCTGAGCCTGTCAGCCAAGGACGCCTCCCACCAGCCCGAGTGGGCAGCGGCAGTTGCTGCCGCCTGCTCTGCTCTCACCACCGCTGCTGCTTCCCTGCCGCTGCTGTCGGATGGGCATAAGGGGGAGGAAGGGGAGGGAGGCGGAGGGGAGGGCAGCAGGGCAGGAGTAGGTGCGAACATGCCGCTTCTTCCGGACACAGGTGAGAGAGGCCAGGATTACAGCCTTGGTGCTCTTTTTGAGGCGCTGCCTATGGGACTGGTGCTCAGCTGTTGACCAGGAGACGCCAGCACCACTCTTTCGCAGCACTCAGCACAGCACACATCCATTCTGACAGCCCCCCTGCGTCTGTCAAACACTCACACGCGCGTGGCTTCGTGCCTAGCTGCGTCGCTCTCCCTGTCTCTGCATGTGTATGCACGCACCCGCTCATGTACCCACCACGATAACCCCACTCTTTCCACCCATAGCGTGCAGCTACGCCCGCCCCCTCCCCGCCCGTTCCTCTCTCCCCGTGCCCCCCTGGCCGTGTGCTCACAGCAACACTGCAGCGGTGGGCAGCGGTGTTGGGCAACAACGTGCATGGCATGGGCGCACACGGCCCTCTCAACACCGACATTGCTGTCGGCCTCTTCCCCTTCGTCTCCATGCTCAACCACTCCTGCCGGTATGCTGCACTGCTCCCTGTCTTGATCTGCCGTGCCATGCGGTGCGGTGCCGTGCCATGCCATGCGGTGCAGTGCTGTGCAGTGCGGTGCGGTGCGGTGCTGTGCTGTGCTGTGCTGTGCCGTGCTACCATGGCGGACCATTCTCTCCACCATGCAGTTCTCTCTCATGTTCCACTCACACATCCTTCACACTACCCTCACACTACCCTCACACTACCCTCACACTGCCCTCACACTGCCCTCACACTCCCTTTACCATATTTCACCAGTCGCGCTCACACGCAAGCTCTCTACCATTGCTCACTTCATTCCACCCGTCTCTTGCTACTAACCCCCAATCCCACCCGACCCACTGACCCACCAGCCTATGTCTATCACTCCCTCCGCCCACTCCAATGCCCGTGCATCTCTGCATCCTCTCCCACCCCTCTCCTCCCTCCTCCCCGTCCCCCCTTTTCTGTCTGTATGGCTGTGTCTCAGAGCTTACGGGGCAGTCCAATGGAATCTGGACGGCCCAGAATGGGACCCAGTGCAGTGCAGTGCCCTTGATTCCAACAAGAACCCACTGCCGATCTTGGCATTGGCAGTGAGGGTCGTGTTGCCCTATCGATCGAGGCTCGTAAGGCACCCCGGCGTGCTGCAAGTCAGAAAGGGTGTTTCATCTAATCTAATGTCTCACGGCTCTGCTCTCTCTGTGTGGCTCACTACACACTTTTCCCGTTTGCAGCTTCTGCTGCACCCGCCAGGATTTATCAAGGAGGCAGGGTTTTTCGGCGCTGGGGGCAGGGATTTATCTCAGGCTGTGTGGTGCCAAGTCTGGGTCTTGGCTATGGTCCCATAGAGCAAGTTCACAGTTTTTATGAAATGCAGTGACTGCTGCAGTCGTAAAGGGAATCTCGCTTTGAGATTGCTGCTGTGAAATCTCTGATATTCTCTAATGAGGGCTCGTGAACTAGGGATGTGCACCGTAGCATAGGGCCAAGACCATGTGTGTGTGCGTGCGTGTGTGTGTGCGTGTGTGTGTGTGCATATGTGTGTGCAGCCCTAACTGTTGCTTCGCATCACAGGGCAACACCATGGTAGTGCGCGCCACATGCCACATTGACAAGGGCGCAGAGGTACGTGCTCCCGCTGCTGTGTCTGTGCATGTGCATGTTTTTCCTGTGAATCACACACCACATGGACCTACCTGCACAGCACGAGCCCACAGACTCTCACTCACTTCCCATCACTACCACAGACTATCACATCACTGCATGCTGCCGTGTTGCACCCCCTCTCCTCCTTCCCCGCCCTCAGCTATGTGTGTCCTACATCAACCTGTACGAGAGCAGGGAGAGCCGGCAGCAGCAGCTGCTGGAGTCGAAGCACTTCATCTGCGCGTGTGACAGGTGCTCCGAGCCCCTCCCTCTCTCCTCCGACCGCCTTCTAGAGGTACTCCTCCTCCGTCTCCGGCAAACAGCTAAGGCGAACAGCTAAACCGCCCCCAGCTTGCGGCTATATCCTTCCTTTGAGCTGTGCTGTGACCCCTGTCACACACTGTGTCAACGTGATTGATAGTGAGCGCCTCACAAGCTACTCTTCTTCCTCTCCACTCCTTGCCCCCACCTACTTAGTACCTAATTCCCACCCTGCTTTGACTTGTCCCCCACAACAGGGTGTGCTCTGTCGCAGCAGCAGCTGCACGGGCACTCTCTACCGGTCCTCTCCCCGCCGCTTCCCTCCCCCCTCCGCCTCCGCCTCTACCTCCGCCTCGGGCCCACCCGTCCTCCCCTCCTCGTCAACCCCCCTGCCGTCTGCAAAGAATGGAAGCTTGAACGAGGGGCAGCAGTGGCAGTGCGACGCATGTGGGGTGGTGGTCGCAGAGGGGGCGCAGACGGAAGGAGCCCCGGGAAGGGAGGATGAGGCGGAGGAGGTGGGGGGTGAGGATGGGGAAGGGACGGGTGCAGACGAGAGCGTGGCGAATGGTGGAGAAGCAGGGGAGAATGGGTTGGAAAACGGTGCTGCGGCAGCGGCGGTCAGGGGAGGGGGGAAGGCCAAGGGCAAGGGCAAGGGGAAAGGAAAAGGGAAGGGGAAGGGGAAGGGGAAAGGGGGGAAAGGGGGCGAGCGAGAAGGCGGAGGAGGAGGGGGAGCGGGGGGAGGGGGGAAGGGCAACGGGAGCGGGTGGGGGACGGGGGGACCGTGGGAGGTGGAGGGTGCAGCGCGGGCAGCCCTGCAGCAGTGCATGGCGCTGTATGAGAGCCCCCACCGTGACTCCAAGGCGTGCCTTGCTGCCCTCTCCGCCTTCCAGTCCACCTACTCCAAAACACTGGTACTGACTGACCCATATTGCTGCCCTTGCTGCTGCACCGTTCGCTTCAGTCGCCTGCACCATGTCTTGCGTGTTGTAGCTGCATCGCTGCTGCTCTCTCCTATCCGCACTTCCTACACTCCCCACCTTCCCTCACTCCCTTCCCTCCCAAACTCCCCATCCTCCCACACTTCCCACCTTCTCGAACTCCCCACCCTACCCACACCCCACACCCTACACACCCGCCCACTATCCCCACCCTCCCCGCCCGCCCATCCCCCCTCGCAGCACCCGCGCCACGTGCTGCTATTCGACAGCCTCACCCCATCGCTCAACTGTGCGCGGGCCCTCTCAGACTACACACAGGCCATGCGCCACGCACTTGCCCTCGTGGATGGGCTCTCTGCCGTGGCGCCCTCTGCTGTGCTCGAGGCTGCCAACTTCGCCCATGCTGCCAGTGAACTTGCTGCTCTGCGTGCTGCATCTGCTGCTCCTGCCCTCGAACACCGACTCACCAAACAGGTGTGATGTGGGAGTGTGGGAGTGTGAGGGTGTAAGATTGTGATATTCTCACTCTAATTCCCCTTCCGTCTCAAGTGAGCCACTTCAGCTTGCATGCTAGCCTTGTTACCGGTACTTGAGTGTCTTCTCTGCATGCAATGCGTTGTGGTTGGTGCAGAGTGAGGAGTGGGCGAGCAAGGCAAGGGAGCTGCGCATTGTTGGACTGGGAGTTGACAATGTCGCCTGACAAACACACACCATCATCCACTGCACTGGATCCAAGATGAGGGTGTTAAATTATATTGCATATCCTATTTATACCTGTCTACAGCTTGCTGCTAGTGTATTAGTTAGATATTAGAACCTATTGCTGGTGGTGTACCCTTTTGTCTTGCCTAGCCTCTTCCCTCTCCTATATCTTGTACTCTTGCCTAATATCGAACCCCTCTTTGGCCAATCTCCCCTCTCGATACCATCTCTCACCATGCTCTTATCTCCAACTTCTAGCTCCTAACTAAGTTCAATCTTTAACAGAGGTCTCTCATGTCTTGCACTGTCTCTGTCAATGTCAACACAATCTTCATGGATGTGCCACCTTTATTATTTTTTCATGGATCTTTCAGTAACGAGTGGCAATCAATTACAGTATTGCTGTATGCAGAGAACAAGAGCATTATGCTTTGCCAACAAACTGTTAAGAACAGTGACCACAGTGCCATGCAATGATTGGAGCTTGAGCGTCACGATAGGACATTAGCCACTGCTGTGTGGTATGTGGGGTACACAAACAAGATGGCCCTTGGCCTTCCATGCATTACTTACCACCACCATACTCCTTTCCCAGCACTGTGTGCACATCGCCTCAACCGAAACAGCCAGAATAACGACCACTCGAACCATCAACCACCATCCATCCCCTGTGCACAGTCCAGCTCGCACCCCTTTCACTGGCTCTCAATGGCAGCATGCCAGTCGCCCGGCAGCTTGGACAGCAGCGGCAGGTCCCCTCCCACAGCACGATCCAGCAGCGCCTCCAGCCCCTCCCCCACGCCCCCTGCATGCACCGCAAACTTGGCGCGCTTGGCATTGACGATGGCCACGGCGGGGGGGGACGAGATGCCGTGTGGCTCGAGGAAGAGAGCGGCAAAGGTGGGGGATGCGGTGGTGTCGATCCAGTAGAAGCGGAGGGGGTCCCCGTGGTACTTGAGGGCCAGCTGCTGCAGCTGAGTCACCTGGTCAAGGGGGCATGGATGCGGGATATATGCACGGACACATGTGGGCGGATATATTTTGAGGTGCCTCATAAGGTGTCAAGCCAGTAGAAGCGGAGGGGGTCCCCGTGGTACTTGAGAGCTAGCTGCTGCAGCTGAGTCACCTGTGGACGTATGCAACCGCGCGGGTATGGATATCAACATAAACAGCTTAGTCAGAACCAGATTGACAACACACTAGCATCAGACCAGCTATGCAGACGGCGCAGGCAGTCATACAGGCAGTGGAGACGCTGGGAAAGGGCAGGAGAGGGGAGCACAGCAAGAGCAAGTTTGAATGGTCTACTGGGCAATGTGAGTGACGTGGTGTCAGTCATCACCACGTCACTGCACGGACACAGAAAAGAAGCACCGGATCAGCGCACCTGAGCAGTGTCAAGGCCGTTGAGCAGAGCGATGACACAGAAGCCTTTCCCCTTCACACACCCCGCCTCCACCTCCTTGGCCTTTGTCAACTGCTGCACCCCTGCTGCCTTCCCTGACCCTGACCCCCCACCACTGCTGCTGCTGCTGGTGGGCTTGGAAGAAGAAGGTGAGGGCTTGCTGGAGGAGCCTGGCTTGGACTTGGGGAGAGCGTACTGGACTCACACATGCACACACACATGCAGGGCAAGCACAATTGCACATAGCGACAACAGCACAGGAGAGGGGGAGTGAGCAAAAGATGCTGGGCATGTGCATGTGCACGCAGTGCCATGCCAGGCACAGAAGCAGATTTAGAGATCTGAATGACCAAGAGAATCAAGACGACGAAAACCAACAGGTGGAAAGGAGTACGCATCCACGATTCATGCAGGTCAGTGATAGGAACAAAGGCGTGTATGCAAAGCATAGCGTGTTAGGAGTGGCAGGCATGGGCGCATATGGCAGCAGCGCGTCACCTGCTGCAGGAACTTGAGCAACGGCTTGTGCTTCAGCTCCCCATCATACCGCGGCACATCACCCTCACTCTCCCCACCACCCTCTCCCTCCTCCCCCACTTTCAGCGGCAGCACCAGCAAGCTCGGCAGCTGCCCCTGCTTCACGCCATACTGCGCCATGAGCCCCGCCTCCTTGCTGCTGCGCACCTCCCCCAGTGCCATGCGTCCCTTGAGGTCAATGGCAAGGGCTTTGTACAAGGGAGTGGTGGTGGACTTGGCTGTGAAGAGCAGCGCCTTGGGCAGGTGCGCGTTGGCGGAGAGGAAGGTGGGGAGCGAGGAGGAGGAGAGCACGGTGACGAGGTTGGGTAGAGCCGCCACTGTTGCGTCTGACATGGCCTTGGCCGTGCGCGCACCGTTGTACTGAGGGTGCGGGGTGGGTGGGAGCGAGGGGAGGGACGATGGGGACAGGGAGTGAGGCGAGGGCGAGGGTGGGGGTTGCTTTTGCTTTATGGATAGTGATGTATTGGTGCTTCTCAATGGAGAGAAAGTGATGTTACATATTGAGACATATAACAAGGGAGAGAGCATGGCAAGGCATGGCTTGGCTCACGTCTTCTGGCCGTTTCTTGTTGGCGCCGAAGAGCTTGAGCGTGGGGAAGCCGCGGATGCCGAACTCCGATGCGATGGACTTGTGCTCGTCGCAGTTGATCGCACCGAACCGCACAATGCCCTGATATATCCATCATGCCATCCCATGGTCATGCCACCATGATGGCATGACAGGTTATGTCATGATACCATGATGCCAGGATGTCGTGCAGAGGGAGGAGCAGCGCGTTGCGGGGAGGAGGAGGGGAGAGAAGAAGCAAGAACGTTCACAGATTGATTAAGAGTGGCGTAGCTCGGGCTGTGTTCGTTGCTGGCGGTGGAAAAGGTAGTACTTGGGACAGGAATGAAGCGAACGAGCACAGGCACACAGCATGGGCGCACTGTGTTAGAGCACTGACCTTGGTGGCGGTGGCTGCCTTGATGTAATCCGGCTTCAACCTGCACAACGCACCAACTCATCCCACCCGCAACCACCCCCACAACAACATCATCCCCACACGCGAACATGGCAAAAAAGCGATGGATGTGAAGGAGCGGAAAGGGAAGTGGTGCCGCGCGGCGGAACGATCATGGATAGCAACGCAACGTTTGTTGTGGGTCGAATCCCATCAGCTTCCGAATCGTATTACGCAATAAATTCCGGTCAACCAACAGCCGAGACGTAGCCGGCAGCACGCGTACCGTTGGCAGTGGCCACACCACGGCGCGTAGAACTCGATCATCCACACATGGTCGTCCTGCACCACCTTGCTGCGGAAGTTGCTCGCCGTCAGCTCGATCACGTCCGTGCCCGCGTAAAAGTCCTGGCCGCGCACCACCGCTGCTGACAACGCCGCTGCCGAAGCTACCACGGCGAGCAGCAACCGGTACACGCGCGGAGGGAGGGCCGACTGCCCGGATCGCACCGCCATGGTGGTAGTCGTTGCTCAGTTGAAGAAACGGAAGTGAGGAAATCGAAGTGAAAACGGTGATGCTTGGATTTGTTGGTCGCATAGAAAGTTGAGTCAGATGGAGGTCGAGGGGAGATCTGGCGGAAAGGAACGGTTAGGAAGACATCGAGGCTGACGTGGTGCTTCCAGAATGACAAGATCGAGGGCAGCGAGGAAGATCGAACATTCGACGGGACTGTCGCGCTGCAATATATAGGGAAAATATGCGAATGGTAACATACATGGGGCTCTATAACACGTACGGTAACCGTAACAATGATTTTTCACGCGTTTGGTAACTCGATTCACGCGTTTGGTAACTATACACTGGCAAGCCATCACGCGAATGGTAACTAGAAGAAACCCTCGTCCAACTTGACCCTGATTCTGGTTTTTCCCGCTCGCGCCAGACAGAATTGACGAGTCCTAAAGCACGAAATTCTGACACACTTTCCGAAATTCTGACACACTTTCCGAAATTGTGACACACTTTCCGAAATTCGGACTATTTTGTGAAAAGTTGCTGTTTTGAGAACCGCTTCTCATATATTGCTGATATTCTGGCGCTCACGGAAAATTGATTTTACTTAATTCTATCGTACAACCGGGGCAAAAGATATATACCCCTTTCGGATGGCAAATGATTTTGAGAGCATCAACCCTAAACTCCTTGCGACAAGGCGTTCAAAGTTATTTCTACAATAAAGGCATGCCATTCGGAAGGGTATTATTTTCCCACCTCCAAAATTATCCCATGTTGCATTAATTACACGTTTTTTAAATTAGAATATTGTCGCTTTTCCGGGATAATTTCCTCATTTTGCAATTATGCAATCATGCTTGCAAAAATATATATATTTCCGAGCCTAAAATAGATATGAAATGGCTCTGAAACTATTTGGTCCGTGGTAATTGAACAAACGCGATCCTTCAAAGTCACGGCGGGAATCGTTCAAGATTGATACAACGGTCCGTGAAAATTTTCACTTTAACGAATTCCTTTTAGTCAGGATCATTTCGGCGGGAGTTTCATCTAGTTACCGTCCGCGTGATCATTCGCCTGTGCTAAGTTACCAATTGCGTGAGACGAGTTACCAAACGCGTGAAAATGTACTGTAATAGTTACTGTACGCGTTAAAGAGCCCCATGTATGTTACCATTGGCATACTTTCCCCATTTTTTACCACGTAATTAGAAATAAATATGTATGAGCTTGAAATGTATGCATAAGGTATATCTTACATTTAAACAGGCAGCAAATGATTACACCACTTTCCGAAGCTTACCACAGAGTGCCTGAACGTGTGTCTCATACCCGATTCTCGCAAAAAGGCCATCAGACAGTGCACTACTAATGATACTTTGGGTCTCAGCCAGTGTCGTAAATATTGTTTCATCTGAAAATAAGAAACTGTATCGCTTGTCGCGGGGCTTGTCACTAGTGATGTTTCTCACAACTTGACCCACTTGGCCTAGTTCAGTGGCAGCGCAAGAAGTCCCGCCGCTGAACGTAGGCATCTTCCCCCCAGATCTGATGTGCAGGATTTCGACATAATATGTATAGTAGTATGACGTCGG